CAGGCTAGGGAACTACACGTTGAGGAAGCAGAATAAGATACAAAGTTTAGCCTTTGCCACCACAAGCCATTGTCGGAAATACAAACACCATTGCATACAAAGTCTGAGTAGTGGCGGTGTGGAATAAGCATCTAGCGGTCAACGTCAACATGCATGTGTTCTTACGGGCTTGATGCGAAGGAAGGCCTTGATGGTCACTCTTTCTGCTTCTTTTTTCCGGCATGTTCGCGCCTGCCCCGTCTAGACGATGGTGGCAGGTGGTGTTGGTTGACGTGTTCGCGCTGGCGCCACGGTGGAGATGGTGTGTGTGGGGCGCAGCAACTGGTGTGCATTCTTTGGAGGCGCCTCCAAGGCGATCGTTTGTGTTTTTAGCCCCAAGGTGGGAACATGTACATACCGGCCTTACTTTCCTTGTTCGGCAGTGAGAGTCGTCGTGTTCTTAGGGCCCCGTTCATGTTCCGCGTGGCGCGCGTAACAGTATTTGAAGCGGGTACGCTTAGAATTGGGTATCAAACGATGCGAGGGAAGCGGGTGAAGCGCGTTTGGCCCCGTTCCTGCTCGTGCAATACATGCAGATCATACGATAGCATAGCATGCAGGGTAAGTGGGGACAATCCGGCATGGTTTAGACGACATGATTATGGATTTGGATATGACATACGTACATGTGTCTTTTCGATCTGCTGTAACGATGTAAATGCATGTGTATCCCGATTGGGATTGGGCTGCTTTTTTTGCGCGGCAAGAATCATCAACTATCTTTGCATCATGTCTGCGTCTTGGTACTGCAGCTTTCCATACCTGAGTCGACCACTGTGTTTCTTTCTTTCTTCTGTTCGGAGAGGCGACCGAACGCAGGTTCACCGCCTATCTGCCGGGTTTTCCTCATCTCTTGCAGGTGTTCTTGTTGTGATACGCTGTGTGTTGCCGGGCGGGTATGCATCGATCGTTCCCCGAGTCTGCAAGACCGTTGCAGTACGGATTGCATTAGTGAATACATGGTAGTTAATTGTGTTGGTGATATCTTGGACATGGACAATTCAAGAGAGAAGTCGGCATGCAGATGCAGTGATGATTTGGAGAGCAACTAGAAGCACATCTAAAACCAGAACTTGAGTGATCGGGAAGGCGAGTGCATGCTTGGTAGATATCTCTGTATCTCCTGATTTCACCTAATTCAACCTGATTTTTGGTTGTGAGACATAGAATTCGCCATATAGTTCATCTTTCACAGTGTATTTGAGTAGGTTATAAGAATATCCCCACCTCTGAAACCCATCCAACGTACCTCTCTCGATGTTCAAGTCCAGCCTCATTTGAGGATACGGACTCAAACACCATGGTACCACCATAGCACTACTCGCTTTCTCTTGTGCTATTCAGCTCGCAACCACATCTACTGAAACCGCAGGATCCAATCTGCGTGCTATTACACAACATGATCGGCTATCTATGCCTCCTGTCTCACATATGCCCACACATACGAATCTGATCTTGGGGCCTTGTGCAACGTTCCTGCAATACGTAGCGGCCAATCGGTAAACCTCGCTTCTGCGTCTCACGTACCGACCAGAACACAGTATAGTTTGGTGAAGAACGGTGAAGGCTAAAGCAATGAAGTAGTCATTGTGCTTTTCTGCCTCGCCGCAACTCCAACGGATATGCATGTACATTACATAAACCTTCTAGATCTGTAGCGTTTGGCGTCTGGATCCAAAGCCACAGCTGAGCTGATGGATACAACGTAGTGAGCGGTGTGCCAACACTGCGTTTTGTCCCCCATCACCCAGCTCCTTGTCTAGCAGATCTATATCAAACTTACTTTAACAGACTTGGAAGACACGTTGTGTGTTGGTGGCGAGAATATCCATGGGTGGTCTAGATACATGATGTCCCCTATACCGAGTACGGCTACTACAACAAAAGTACCGAGACGGGCATACAGCACCACTACCGAGACGGACATGTACATACATTGCCCATCAAGCGGTGTGAAGCGGTGTAGAGAACCTTCTCGCATCTCCACCACCGTTGTGGCGTTACACACACACACCATGCTTCGGCACCAAGTTCATCCCGGAAACCTACACGACCTACCCACTGACGCTTCTCTAGCTAACAATGGTTCTCGCCCTACACGCCCGCGAAAAGAAGACGGTTTGTTTTGTAGCGGTGTGAAGCGGTGTAGACAGTCAGACCCTGCCCAGCCACTTGGAACTAGTGGTGTTGAACGTTCTTGACGTCCGGTGAGGATGGGTACGACACTACACATCCCACGATAACTATGTACCTTGCACTACATCTGCACGCTTCGCTCGCTAACAGTAGAGAGACTTTGTGATACAATCATGTTGTCTCGGCCGGTATCGTATCGTACCCTAGCGACGAAGTTTCTAACTTCTAGATGCAAGGAACATGTCCGTAGTAACGGGTGTGTGACAAGTTGGCCGTTACCTCGCCTCGATGTTGAGGGGAGAGATTGAAGTGGTAAGGTGGTTGGTGATACGGCTTCTTCCTGTTCAGCTATCAAACGCCCAGCACAGATGTGAGAGAGGCTCGAGGCTCAAACGTTTCTCTGTTGGTGCGCAACTGTCGCGTCGTCCTGCCATCTCGTTTTCTCGCTCTTCCACCCCACTTTCCCAAGTAGGCACTCTGCGAAAGTCTGAACGCGGATGCGAAACAAGACATGTCGAAACATTCAGCCTGAAGAAGAACCAGCGATCCCGCAATCAACTTCATACGTTCAAACGTCATTGGTGCACAGAGTTCAGCCTCATGTGTGGAGTCTTTTCTAGGTTATACAGAGCTGTCATCGTCGCAGCCTTAATTCCAAGGACGGAACTAAGGGCGGGGTACGTAAAACCACAGTTTTAAGGCATCCCGTTCCTTGCAATATCAGGCCCATGGTTGGCAACGTTGATGTTGATGTGCTGATGCTGGTGTCTCATCATGTCTCCTCGTTGCGAGGGAGTCCCTTCCAGGCAGGCACTCAAGGATAATCACTTATTCGTACGGTGTGTGCCGTGTTCGGCCAGATAACGAAAATCATCGGCGTGCTATGCCGAGCCCAGTGACATCTCTAACGTGTACTTTATGTAAGCAAGTTAGAGACATATTATTGTGCACGACTCGTGTAGTGTAGCCCGTCCTTGTCGCGTGCCAGCGAAAAAAAAAAGAGATTTCGGCTGTGATTAGTCGTCTTGTGGTTTAGCGGTATTTCCTCGGTCTGGGCTGGTGCGAACAGGGCGTGAACTATTCGATCGGCAGCACTAATCTCGTTGCCTTCTTCCTTCCCTTCCACGCTTCCTTCCTTTGCGGAGTGGCCTGCGACGCTATGTCTCAGTCCGATCGTCCGATTGCGGTATGCATCATTTTAGGTAATTTGGATATGCGGGCAAAGCACGGTACGGTACGACACTAGACATGAGAAAGCCGTTGGGCATGTGTGTCGGATGCGGATTTCTTGGTTCGGGTGCTGAACTGGAAACTATTGTACATTGGCCTATGCATTCTTTGCTTGTTGAATGGATGGGCGAGTGTTTGCGCATCATTGGCATCGGCATTGGTGTGCTTCTTTTGACGCAGGAGGTGTGGTGGCTTGAGTATGAGCTGATACCTTTTTTTTACTTTTCATAAGCCCGCGCGACTTGCGCGAACAGACGATACATGGCTTGACGCATTGTCTCAACATGGTACAACTCAGCTGCTCTTCGGATGATGACATTGAGGCTCCATCTGTGCTTTGGCCGGCAGATTGGGTGTTCGTGACGATGACCAAAAGGACGGTATGACCACATCGCAACACAATAGCCAGGCATCTCGAACGACGGGGAAAACTCCGATCGGCCAAATCTTCATCTGTCCGAAATTAGATGAGTGGCACGTGGGGAGGGGTGTGTGCGAAAGAACATTCTTGAGACGTTCTTTTCTCCCCTTCCAGCCCGCACGGTTAGCTTGCTTCAAGGTGCAGCCCCCATGTTGCATGACATAGATCGAACAGAGCCAGGTGCCGCCAAACGCGTGGGCAGCAAGAAGGAACGCCATGGTGCCATTCTCGCATCTCTTTCCATGGAACAGCCCTGATGCAGAGTGGAGTGTGCCTGGTCCACACACATGTCACGGAACGGTTTTTTCCCTCGCTCTGCAGCTTGCGGTTGCGATGCTCGCCCTTGTCACCTGTTTCGGCCCAAGGCAGCGATCCCGGGCGATCAGAAAACAGCACGTATGGTGATTACACTCATGCGATAACAAAGGCAGAAGCAAGATGTCATAATAATCGTGTTATGACAATCTGTCAGGAAGGTTCACGCGGGTAGGGTTGACGGGAGGCAGGTCCTAGTCTGCGCTGAACGTAAAAAAGGAGGGGTGGCTGGGTGGTGGTGGTGAAAGGCCCTGGGGTCGATCTGTGTGTCAAGTGAAGGGGTGTCGTCATGTGCAATATGCATCCGTCCCAACGTGTGCCCATGATTCGCGTTTGGCGAACAGGTGGGAGATTTGGCATTGGGATTTTCCCTTGTCCGCTTCGGGAAGGCTTCTCGAAGGGAGGGGATCGCCGGCCATACAGGCGAAAATAACCACACGGTTCATGCATAACCTCTTGTTCTTTTCTTGCATTTCGTTTATGCGCGCATACACAACTTGCGCCGAGGGGCGGCTCGGCCGTTTGATGATAGTTCACACATCCGTTCCGATCATGCGAACACCTATTGCGTTACACGGCCGACCCCCGGAAAAAGTAACGTAAGGGCGGTCACATAGTCGCCGTCTTTTGGTTCGTTCCCACTTTACAATTGCCGTTCCGTTCGTGTCATGTTGCATGCTCAGTTCGTCTCCGTATGCCAGGTTGCTCTGCATTGATTGAGTTCGGCATTTGCGCGGCGCGGTCTTCATGCCGATAAGGGCCATGCAGATAGATGAATCAATCTGCCTAAACGCGATGTCATGAATATCCTGGTGTGGTTGCGCGAACGAACGGCGGGTGGGTATACCGCAAGGGGAATATGTCATGGGCACAGAGTTTGGTTAGTCTAAATCCACCTTCTAGAAGGATTATGGAAGGTTACTGCGAGGCCGCACTGGGCAGATTGGATGAAGGAAAAGGCCGGGCGCCCTACCTTGGGCGGGTTGAACTAGGCTGTTTCAAAGCGGTTCGTGAGGGCTGCGGGACGTGCACAAGGCATGGTGCATCTCAGCCTTGTGCTCCGAGGGGGACGGGAGCGGAGAGCGCGCGCACACTCACACACAGACACCTACAGCACAGTTTGAGCGTAACGCCAGAAAAAAAAAGACCGATTAAGTTTAAGAAATGCAGAGTAAGCGCGCGAAGATGGTTGGCAAGGGCGGCAACATGGCATTTGACTGTGCTACTAATCGATAAGCCCTACGACATCCTTTGCATCGAAGCTGTCCAATCATGGCCATCTGTTGCTTTTTGCGGGGCTGAACACCCTCATCTCTGCACGACAGAACCGATGACACGACACCCAGCAGCCCTAGCCCTAAAATAGTTTGCAGGTTACTTAGGCACACCACATGCAAGGACAACGAACCGTTCTAAGAACAAGTTCATGCAAGCAGCACACTCTTCTCGCCCGTCACACCCAATCGCATGGCACACAAGTGAGGCTACGAGGCTGTGCTAGTGGAGTTCAACTATGAGTCTGAACAACGCAGACCCTACACACCCTCTTTCGCACGCAACCTTGACGCGAAGGCGAAAAATTTCCGATTGGGAGCTAAGCTTCGCGAACACACCCTGAAGCGGTGACAGCGCAGCGCTCCGGGCACCATGAGTCGGCCACGTATGTACCTGTTTGACCGACCTTTTGATGAAACATGACAAAGTGTGCTCGTGGGTGCTACGTCATCATACGATGATCCGGGGTAGACGAACGTTGTTTTCCGGGCGGTGGGAATACAGCTGTTCACCGCCACGCCACACACCACTGTTTACAGGGTGATGCTGGAGCATCTGGCATGTTGAGAAAGGGTAGTTGTAAGTTTGAGTGCGAAAGCAACGTAATAAGAGGCGAATTTGCTTTCTCGGAGATGAACGGAACGGTTTGGTCGATGTGTATTATTTACTAAGTGTACTACTGGGACATGTGTTGGCCATGGTCATGCTGGCTTGCAGGGCACAGGTGGCGCAAGTTTGCAGCGATGCGAAGAAAAGAAGTCTTTCTGAACTGATGGTTGGGTTCATCATACTCGAGACCATGAACTAAGTGGTCCGACACGTAAGATCTAATAAGAGAGGAAAAACATGGGTGTAAAGGTATCCTCGCCACGCTATGCCGCCGAGTGCTTGTATTGAGATGGGTAGATGAGAAAATGACAAACGCTATGTGTAAAATGCACAATCATGAACCACCACACCAAAACAGTGCTGTGACAGAACGGTTGAAAGAACAAACAATGACAATGCGAGTCTAGACAGAAACCAAACAAACGCTATGATGTTCCGCGATGCGAGAGGAAGAGGAAAAAAAAAACCACAATGCCAAAGAGATGATATCGATGCGAGAAATGTAACAACCAACCCACGCTAAATGCCACAGTCGTGCGGATGCCCCTTCGTTGTTAACGTTCATCCATGCTCTGAGCGCGGTTTCCCCAGTCTAAGCGTTCGTGGTATACCCATACTCCTAAACTCTCCCTCTTGTGCGCCGAAACCCAGGGTATACCCACGCTCATTACGGTTCCTGCCCGAATGTTGTATGCATTGCATCCCAAATATGTCTATATCCCATCTACTACAAAAAAAATGAAAATCGTTGCGTTGAATAATGCGACGGCGAAATCTTCTATGCAACTGCTGATGCCGGTCGCTCGTAAGGCGTGGACGGTTGAGGCGGGGAGGGTACTGTGGCTGTTCGCTCGGTTTCCTCTGGCTCGCGCTTCATGCTCTTGATGCTTCCGGTCGCGCTCCGTTGGGACATCCTGTCAGGACTCCTCACACCCTGGCTCCGTGCCTCGTGTTCCGATCGTGATGGGCCTGCTGCAGCCTCTTCTTCCCGCCTCCTCTGGTGGTAAGCCTCCATATAGCTAGGTCCCTCCAACTCTCGCTTGATGATCGACTGCATCCCTGGTACCGGTGCTGTCCGGGCACCGCTGATCAAGTCCTCTTCCGACTGTGGTTGAATCTGGGGAAGAGGTTGACCTAACTGAGGGGGAACACTCGACCGGGATCGAGGGTCTGCGCGTCTGCGACTGAACGAGCTATTCCTCCTCCTTCGTCCACCTGCACTCGAGCCACTGTCGGTCCGCTGGTGACCGTAGTGCATTGGTGGTCCTTGAGGCATTGGTGGGGGCACCTGGTGCAGCTGCGGCGGCATCGGCGGTGGTTGCGGCATCAACTGAGGGGCGTTGGCGGGTGTGAAGCCATGCGGGGCAGAGGCAGGTACAACGGGCACTTGCGATGGCGAGCTCATGCCTGTACCGGTTGCAGATGGGTGAAGCTGAAACACCGGCGCATTTGCACGCGCGCTCATCTCCTGCTCTCCCAGCTGCCAGTGCATCGATTCGGCGGACCGCCAGGGAATGCCCATCTCTGTAGCAACCTTCTGCCACATTTGGTCCTTGAATCTAACACAAAAGTCAGTATTGATTTTTTTTTGGGTGTATCGCGCAGAAACGCGTCGCGTGCTAGTGCGAGAATGTGCTGGGGTACATCTGAAACCAAAGATGTGGGCTCAAAACGAAGGAACGGATGACCAAAATGAAGCAGTCTGGGCATTCCGAGTTGTCGAGTGGTACATACCGTGCGTAGAGTCTTGCGAGTTTGTTTTTCTTCTCTTCGTCCCAAATGGCTCGCTTCTCGAGGTAGTTCTGATACCGTAATCGGCAGGAAATGGAGCTTCGTCCTGGTAGTCGTTTCGCAATGTCGTCCCACTTCATTCCTTGACCCCGCAGCTCAATGGTCAGGTTGTCCTCCTCTGGTGTCCATTTGGACTGCTTCTTGGCTGGACTTTCGTCGGGTAGAGGGGTTTGAGAAGCTTGTCGTTTTAGCGTTGAAGGGGGAGAATGGTTAGTATTTTGCGCGTGTCGAGGCGGTGAAGGTCCATGCGGGCCGGAGTAGAGAGGGCGAAAATGCGGGAGCGGGGCAGGTTCAGCATGTCGATGAAGTTCTGAGATTGCGGGTAGAACAGGTCCTCCTAGCATTGGCCCGGGTACTTGGGGTGCTGATGTCGGTGCCTGGGTGTAAGCGGACGTTGGTGCATAGTGCGGGGGTCCTGGGTATACGGGTGCTCCAGAAGCGTAGGCAGGCGATGCTCTTTGTGAGGGGGACTGTGTGTATGCTGAAGGCGCGGTTGTGTATCCTCTGGTCGCTCCTGTCGAGTGGGATGCATTTGATATGGAGCTCTTCTTGCTCGCAGGAGACTCTGAGCCCCGAGCGCGAGGCTCGAGGAGGAGGTTGATATCCAGGATGAAGGTGAGGGGACTAGCCTATTGCCAGCCCATGTATCGATGATAGTTCCCGAATAACCTGAGTCCTCCGAAAGCTGAACTTGTTGAGATTGTGTAAGATCAGTCAGTAGTTGCGACGTGGGAATAGGCGGCTGTAAAGTAAGAAGTGGAGCAGATAGATGGCTATCTGTAGGTTGAACGTCTACCGGTCAGGTTGGGCGTTATGTCGTAAGGTTGATGTCCAAGGTAGCCTTGGAGATGATGACAGGTACCAAAGTAAACGGTACGATGATCAGCCCAGGCGTGGCGTTGGGCAGAGGCAAGGCAGAAAGTGGTGATGCGTCGAGGTACAGTGACTGTTGATGTGCAGATGAAGTTGGTAAACAACAACAAGGAGGCGATACGTGATATGGGTAGTTGTGCAGGAGGGTGGAACAGGAGAGGACAGTGGTAGGATGATGAGGTTCGGATAGACTAAATGTGCCGACGATGACCCAAGCAGCCAGTTGGGAGGTACTTTGGATGATTCACGCTCTAAGTGGTCGATCGACTCGAGCTATTTGGGCTATGGGCCGGGGCTTTCTGAGCAGGGGGTGAAACAGGCCAACCACTCGGTCTGATGAATGACGGGCGTGCTTAGCCACTGACTTTTCAGGTCGAGAAGGTAGGAAGCGTAGCGTAGGGGAGCAGTGGATACGGGCTGGTAAGAGCAAAGTAGGGTCTGAGAGGGACTTGGAACATGGATGCGTGAATAGAGAGGCTTAGCGTGCGACTGTAATACTAATAGCAGGCATCCCTTGAGGCCCTGGCTGGCGCCGCCTCATGGTCCGCGGTAGGGATCCGGGGGCTTGGGATCAGGATGTACCCTTTGCGTTTCTGACTTGACACCACTACTTTTGCGCTTAACGCTTTCTCGACTCGTGCTGGCGGCGCGCCACATTAACGACCCACAGACCACAGCATTACCACAGCTTATCCGATCTAAGGAAGCATGTCTGCCGGAGATTTTAGCGAGACCAAAAAGAAATGGACAGGCCAAATTGCAAGCGTTAGCTTGACACAAAAAGCACGACACCCGTTCTTGCGTGGTGAGGTACAGCGATGACGTGTCTTGCACTCGAGTAGTAGTGGGAGTAATAACAATAATGGTATTAGCCAACCTGCTCACCCTCGTAGACGTGGGAGACGGCTCCGATGCATTGCGTTGATATTGGCTTTGCCGGCGTGGTGTGCTGGGCCTCATTTGCTGCCCTCCTTTCCGTCAGGCCTCAATGCGCCGCCCAAAGACGGGGCTGCGGCTTTTGCAGCAGGGCCGCTGCGTTCACGATCGTCGACGAAGCGGCTGAAGCGTGTTTCTGTCACTCGAGGCAGCGAATCAAGGATAGTATTAAGCGGTGAACAGTCTCAGGGATTCGCTGAGGGTTCGGAAGAGCACAAGCGCGATGACATGGAAGATCTGCAGCATGCTCGCCCTGCTCCGGCTATTTGACGCCAGAAGCGTCGCTACCGAAGCCTTGCGAACGGCTGACATCAATCAGGCGGTGCAGGTGGTGATGTGTTCACGCCAACGTCTTGACAACGTCGAAGACATGCTCCACAGGTGCAATTCCTGCGTTCATGGCTCCGGTCAAGTACCCCACTGTGGACGGCGATCTAGCAGTATCGACGCATGCCTAAGAGGAGCGGTGAACTGCGGTGAACTGCGGTGAACTGCCGGCGGCCGTGGGCGTGACGTCTAGCTTTGCCGCCTAACTGTTCATAGTGTTCAAGGCGCGCCATAACACGATGCTGGCTCGCTGGTGTTTATGCGACTGATGGGGACGCCGAATGGTAGCGTCGGCCTCATCCGCAACGAGACGTGTTTTTGTGCGCCCCTCGCCCACGTGAGACGCGGCGCTGTATCGCGCTGCGGCGGTGCTGATGCTGCTGTGTTGTCTCGTGTTGGAGAGCCACGTTGTTGAAGCTACGAGAAGGCGCCGCTATGCCATGTCACGTTGCTGCCGACGTTGCGTTGTGCGCCATGGGCGGCAGCGCTCGCGGGTGCCGGATTGCATCACGGGACTGGGATTCGCGATGATGCGCATTAGGCGGTGAGAAGAGGCCGAACTGGACGGATGTTTTGGATGAGGTTGAATATAGTAGGTAGGCCCTTGGGCCAGTGGGAGCCGAGATGCAGGTGCATTAGCCATGAACCATCCCCGTGCGTTGTCCAGCGCTAGGGCACGAGGCCCTTCGTCGGCGCCGCACGGCGTGGTTGAGTGATTGAAGGATTAAAGGACTCCCCACAGATGTCTTTGCAATCTGCCTACGGCCGACGGCATGCGAACTGGACTTTCCACAATCCTGGTAATTGTCCTGCCGTACTGGATGACGCCTGCTTGCAGGTGCCACAGCCTCCGACCTTTGCGTGTACGCAAATCTGCAAAGGCGCAGCACTCTATATTTAAAGACGACTTGCATTGCATACAAAGAGCGGTGAAGTCTGTTCACTGTTGGAGGGAAGTTCCGACTGAACAATGTCCATATCCTGTTGACGCTGGTGTGCAAGCGCTGGCTCGGAGGCGCCCGCGCGAACAGTGCCGGAACATGTCATTAAATCACCCTGTCTTGGCTGAAGATCGGACGGTTTCGCATCCTTCGTATGAGGCAGCTCGACCCGGATGTCACTGGCAGGCCTCACCTCGACGAAGATCATCATAAATAAACCGCCCACGCGTGAACGATGCCAGCGCACACAGCGTGGGGTTGTATCTCGACTTCCCACGCACTTGTGTGGTGTAAGTGAGCGCGTGGGGTAGGCGTGGGTGGTGGGCGTTCATGATGGGTTCTGAGACATTCACTGTGGTTGAAAACCATGGCCTTGGCATCGCTTAGCATACTCGATACAGCCATGCTCCAATGCTTTTCCTCGGCCCTACACCACTCGTAACCTATCCCGCATACAGAACGGGTCACCTGTCAACGGTACACCAGCAACACCAGCAACAACTCATACCACATTCATCCTCCTACATTACCCCTCTAGTCTCGACAGATACCTCGGCTTGTCGACATGTCACTCCAGAGCGCGGCAGACGTGCCGCTCCTCATTAGCTCCCCAAATTCGTCCTCGGAGCGCCGTATTTCTCCGTCTTGGAGCATTGCTCAACTCAAGGCACGCCTCGAGCCCATCACCGGTGTCCCCGCAAGCAGTCAACAGTTGTCGCTGCGCGTTGGCTCTCAGGATGCCGTCGCTCTCATCGCTCCGGATGAGGAACAGACGCGTCTTGCTGCCTTCCCGCTGCAACCGTATGCGGAGATAACCGTAAGTGCTCCTCCTGCTTTCTCATTGAACAGTCGCCGCAGCCCTGTCCTTGACCAGTCTACCATGCGGTCCTCTCGCGAGCTGCCACATCTCTCCAACCCCGGCTCGCCTCTCTGCTTCCTTGTATCTTCTACTCTACACCCAAGCTTAGCAGTTTCATGCGTCCTGCCTCCCATCTTTCCCATTCGTTGTCAAGGCCGACATTGAGGCTGTGGACTTTAATCAGGTCATGCCTGCATATTTGCATGCCCCGCAGTGCCCCTCCTCGACTCTACAACCCAGTTATGTCAGCCTTGGTGGAGCGATCCGCGCGGAAGCCATGCTTTATTTCACCTGCAATTACCACATCGTCTGGAAGCGCTGGGCTCCCTTTGCTACTCGGCATCGAGTACCGGTCATTTAAACTTTCAACCTGCTGAACAACCTTTCTCTGTTGTTTGCCATTTCTTTCTCGGCGGTTCGGCCTTATTCGACGCCTCTCTTGGCCTCATGATTCATCCCATGTACCGGCTCCTAGCTAGAGCAATCTCAACTGGCGTCTCCGAGCAAATGAATCCTCTCAGACATGCTCCCGTGCTGACAAGGCAAATTTAGGTCGTTGACACACGTCCTCCCGCTGCACGAACTGACTTTACCGATCTGTCGTCCGTTGAGAAGTACGAAATGCCTGCTGCAGAGTACGAGCATCGGACCGATAGTGTTCTTGCATGGAAGAAGGCGCAGAAACTGGGTCGTTTCGACCCAGATGCTCCCAGTATTGAGCAGCAGAAGATCCGCGCTTCAGAGCGGGAAGTAGAAGAAAGAGGTAAGCCGCATGATTTCCCGCATATCCCACCTCACCGTTGAGCCATACGCTGTGGCAATGGAGATGCCGGAACCCGCAGAACAGCCTTGTAAAGATCCATGCTGTTCATGTGTACAAACCGGAGATGCTTCAAACACTTCCCAAAACGGACGGCTGCATACCATCCAACGCCACTCAACACTCGCCTCACCATAGCAGGATCCATCGTGTCTCAGCCTGTCATGATCATGGTCCAACGAGGAAATGTGCGCGACAGGCAGCCAATCCCCCAGACCAATTGTCGTCTTACCAAGCCCATCATACATGATTACCTCTTCAAGCACGCCCTGCGTCCAATCCTTGGCCCAGACCTTTGTAGCGGAATGCCATGGCGTTTGAAGATTCATCCATTAAGCACATGTACAAGATGAGATTTACCACTTGGGAATTGCTTACTACTACTACCGTCGGTCGTATCCAACGCTGTTATCGCCCCCGCTAGTTACCCGTTCTGGCAGGGACCAGGCTGCGGGAAAAGGAAGTCGCCGAAACTCAAAACCCCCAAAGTGATCGTCGGTCCCTTTGCCACCAGCCTCATTCTCCAGCTTCATTCGTCCGTAATCAGCGACGAATTCATCTCACCTCCAAATACACTTTCCAACTACGACGGCCAACATCTTGTTTCCCCATGTTGCAAATCTTGGTCTCGCCTTTGTTAGGCCCCGAGATCGACAATGCTGTTTTAGAAGCGGGCCGCACCATCCGAAATGCGATGGCTCTAAACCATAGTCATCACTCCGCATGCTATCACTCGCCGCTTCGCATGTCATCATACTCATGGTTTACATGTACGAAATTTGGTTGACGCGACGCGACGATCCAACGCCGCACCACAGACACATACGCTCCATTATTCTCGCCTCAAGGAACGCCTAAGGACCATATTGGGCATATCTGCATCCATTTTCAAGCATCAGGCCGCTTCCCCGCTTGAGCCTCTGCTGCGCTGCCGTCACATCTCAGAGAGCGGGCGCTTGGGGGGAGGTTGGGTCAGATGTGATCGGTGTGCGCAACTGTGTCGTCCCGGCATACGCGATCCTAGTTACCAACCTGCCGCTGCCGCCGGGAGTCGGGACGTTTTGTCGACTCGCCTTTCAGTGCCGCTTCGGACGTTGTTTTCTCTTGCTTTTTCCTCGTGTCGCCCTGGTGAACCCGATGGATTGACAGCCAGTCAGCCAGCCAGTCAGCCGACAAGCCATGGGATCAACAGCGATTATTGTTGGGCTCCACCAAACGACCACGTTCTGCGGACCCTCGTACGATGGTCTAACCTTATCCAAACATAATCTTTCCCTCCTTCCAAACTCAAACTTGATCCTCCCTGACCACTCATCAACTGCGGAATTCACTTGTATACTTTTCTTTTTCTATTCAAAAGCAGATCTGAGCGAACTCTACTAACTCAGTTCCAACTTAGGTCTTTCTCTAAACTGCCGCGTCCGCCTCCTGCCCGAATCAGATGCTCGTCGCGGGACGTTATCCTATATTGGACTTGTGCCTGAGATTCCCGGGATTGGCGTATGGATCGGCGTTAGGCTTGACGAGCCGACTGGTAAGAACGATGGGAGTGTCAAGGGTAAGCGATACTTTGAGTGCGGTGCCAATTGTGGTGTCTTTGTTAGGCCGGAGCGGTGTGAGGCTGGGGATTTCCCTGCGCTCAATGAGTTTGGGGATGATGAGGATTTGGAGGAACTTTGAAGAAAGGGGAAGAGTGAGAGAGAGAGATACGATGGAAGGTAAGGTGGATACTGTCTTGCTAGTCAGGTAGGTAGGTAGATAAGTAGTCTATCTGTCTAGGTCAGCCTGAGCAGGCGTGCCATAGGGGGGATTCGCAAGGTGCACATCAAGATACAACGAATAAGACTCGATGATGAAAAAGAACCCCCCATTGGGTTTATAATTGTCGTAATGTTACTACTACAGTTTTATCTGGGTTACTTGCTTGCATCAGAAACTATACAATAACAATAGTAACATGATGAAAAAAAAGAAGACGAATCGCACAAAGAATCAATGGGAAGACATTCTAACCTGACAATGCTTATCTACTACATACCTACCTAGATGATCATCTATCACAAGAAAGGGATTTGTTTATTCATTCATCACTACAAATTTGCTCACTCATAACAGTGCATGCATCGTTATAACCTAAAAAAAAAGAATCTTCCTCTACGTCTCACAGCCGTCTCTATGCCCCATACGCCTTTTTCTTCTTCTTCTTCTTCTTTACACTCACACTGCCTTCCTTCACTGACATATTACCTTGATCTACCTACATTACATCTTGTATCTAGAACCTCTTGATGGATTCTCTCTCTCTCTCTCTCTCTCTCTCTCTTCACGAACCAAACTTATCCTCTGATTACAACCCGCGTTTCGAAACAACAAACACCAGTCCTTACTCAGGTTGAACATTGAAACAGAGCAAGCACCATTGACATCTGGAGAAGAAGAAAAAAAGAACTTTACATTTCTTTCCAATCATTCCATAATCATCATACACCATGTCATTCATATACAAACACACAGAGAAAACCCACTTCCCCCACTCCATATCCACAACTTCCCACCCACCAACAAGTCACTACTACTACTACTACTACTACTACTACTTACTGCTTTCAATACCCATTCGCCCCCAACCACTCCCTAACCACCCCACCATCCCTCTCCGCATAACTAGCATAACTCCTAATCGTATCATCCACAACATCCAACCCCTTATTATACCCCCTAGTATCCTTATCCTTGAAAAATGCTTGGATATCATCCGCCGTCTTCACATCTGTAAACTTGTTCAATCCAAACCTCAAAAACCTCTCCAGCACAACAGGGTTACCCGCAAGTGCAGGATGAACTTTAGTGTCCCAGTTTGTTTTAACATAGTTCCACACCTCTGGTCGGACTTTGGAGTTGTTGGCAAGAGCAATCGTCGAAGAGTGCTTGTCTTGCATGGCCACCTTATCCGAGAAGACAAAGTCCATGACCTGCTTTGCAAGGTCGGGCGTCTGTACGCGGCCGAGCGAGCCAAGGCAGATTTCCTTGCCGTCGATTGATGTGGTGTTGAGGTATTCATTCATGACAGCCTTCAGCGCCGACTCACCGCGGTTTTTAATCGCTGTGGCGAAGACGGCCCGGCGAAGCGAGGGATGAATAGCCTTCTTGTCACCCTTGTCCATGTAAGCGTCAAATCGCTTCAACGCTTCCTCGACGGTGGCCTTGTGGCCGACGATGCCAGCTGACAAAAGCAAACTGGCGCGCAGTTGACCAACAAGGTAGCTCTCTCCATCCTTGAACTCCCAGCCAACCTTCTCGACGGCCGGCGTGATGAGCTTGAGGTGGTACTTCCTCAGTCCCTCGCTGATATCTTCGCTGCCAGAGAACACGCTGCGGACGTTGCCAATGTTGGTGAGGATCTGAGACCTAAGCGTGAGAGTACAGAGTCAGCATATGCCTCATATATAGTTCGTATAGGGGTAGCAACTGACCAAACCAAATAATCAGATTCGTCTTGGAAGCGCTCCGCCAGCGCGAGCAAGCCAGCCGTAGATCCATAGCCCGCGACCGCGTTTGCATACGCATCACCAACGAGGCCGATCTTGTCTTGTACAGTGAGCTGATCGCGGTCCTCGCCGAGTTTCTTGAGGCGGTCGGCGGGGTAGTTGGTGCGGTAGAAGCCAGTGAGGTCCTTGTTAAGGAGGTAGAAACCATCCTTGACATCACGAATTGTATCCTCCTTCTGTGTCATAGCAGCAGTCTTGTGAACCTCTGTGGTAGACGCAGAATCGCCCGTGTGAAGACCCAGCGGAATCCACCACGTTGTTTCATCCTCCTCGGGTTTGACATTACCAGCAAGCAAGAAGCGTTGCTGGCGCAGGCCAATCTGACCAGGTTCTTCAGCAACGGTGACGACTGGGAAGCCGATTCTCCGAACCCAGAGGTCCATGAAGGTGTTTACGTTCTGACCAGACGCCTTGCTCAAGGCAGACCACAGGTCATTGGTCGTGGCATTGGAGTACTGGTGAGCCTTGAGGTAGTCGGCTACACCTTGGAGGAAAACCTTCTCACCGAGATGAGCGCTCAGCATGCGGATGACCGAGGAGCCCTTGAGGTAGGAGATGTGGTCAAAGATCTGGTCGACCTCGAGACCGTCGTATACGGGTACTTCGATGGGATGCGAGGTTCGGAGTGCGTCGAGGGCGAAGGCTTGTTGTACGGAATCAGTCTAGAAGACGTGGTCAGCGGGCTGTTAGAGCAGATACCTCGAGATTTATGACGCACAACAAACTGTCCCCACACGTTCCATTCTGGGTAGAGATGGTCAATCGCAAGCCATCCAACCCATGTCGCGAAACCCTCATTGAGCCAAAGCTCACTCCACCAATCCATGGTAACGAGGTTACCGAACCATTGATGGGCAAGTTCGTGAGCTACAACGTAGGCAACCCTGTTGCGGTAGCTATCGGCAGAGGTCGCAGGGTCGAAGAGCACTGCAGTAGTTCTGTAGGTAATGAGACCCCAGTTCTCCATGGCTCCATGCGAAAACTCATGGACAGCCAGCAAATCAACCTTGGGCAGCGGGTAATCGATCTGGAAGACCTCGGAGAAGTAATCCACAATCTTGTGGCAGTTGTCCAAAGCAAAGCGTCCCTGCTCCTTCAGACCACGGGTAGTGTAAACCCTAACAGGAATGTTCTTGCCATTGTACTTGCGCTCGGTGTGCGCCTCGACGTATTCAAAGTCACCAATAGCCCACGCCAGGAGGTAGGTAGACATGATGGGTGATCGCTCGAAGACAACTGTGTGGAAACCATCCCTCTTGCTAGGCTTAATCTCCTTCTCCGGCATGTTGCTGAGCGCGACCTGGTCCTTTGGCACTTCGAGTTCGACGTCAAAGGTAGCTTTCAGATTCGGTTCGTCGAAGCAAGGGAAAGCACGGCGAGCGTCGCAGGCTTCGAATTGGGTGCTGAACATGTAGTGGAACTCGTCGTCCTTTGCAACGGAAGCCGGGACGTCGCCCTTGGGCTTGTACTTGGAGCGGTAGAAGCCGGCCATGATGTTGTTGACGAAGCCGGAGAAGTTGATGGAGAGTTGGGCCTCGCCGGTGTAGGTGATGTTCTCACCAAAGTCGAGCGTGACTTGTTGTCTCTTCTCATCGTAGGATATGTCCTTTGCTGAGAATGTCTTGTCACCGGCCTTTAGCTCAGCGCTTTGGAGCTTGAGCTGATGTGCGTTGAGGACTAGGGTGTTGAAGCCGTCGTCCTTTGTGATGTTGGTCGTGATGTCGACAGTGCCCTTGTAGCCAAAGTTGCCGCCGAATTCGAGATCATGGAGGGAGAGGGCATAGTGGGAGGGTTTGGCCCTAGAAGATATCAGCTACCGGCCTGCAATAGAGTTGACACAACTGACCACGCCGGGAGAACATCGCGATCTGAAGCCATGTTGACGAAGCTGCTAGTGACTTCGCTTTGACAAAACCTCTTCTGTATGCCAAAGGTGTTTGTGGTAGCTACCGCAAACCTCGGTCTGAGGCGTAATTGTGTACGTGGGGCAGAGCCAGCCTCTCTAGCTGCAGAAGAGAAGCTTCTAGAGCGGATGGAGTGGGTCGAGGTGGTGTTTAAGAGACGCGTTGGCGTACTTGTCTTCACTCTGCTACGAGTCAATTGTCGAGAGCAGAGTCTCGCGGAAGCGGATAGAGCAGCCAGGGTGAAGGCGCAAGGAGAGCGGGGCTAGAGCACAGCAGCAAAAGGAGGGGAAGCGTGCAATCAATTGGTACTGGGTGAGATGATGCGTCTGCATGTGTGTAGGCTTAGAGGGGAAGGTGCGCGTGCGGCAAGCCGAACTGCCCCACCTAGGTAGCCATCCCTGCTTCTAGGGTTTAGCGCGGGGTCTTTTACATGTCTCTATGCTGGATTGACATATCATGATTGAGATATCATAGTTGAAACACCATGGCCTGAAGAGCAGTCATCTCGGAAAGGCAGTCATCTCGAAAGCCGTGTGCCATTGACGCCATGCAAATGCTCCAATTCACGCCCTCGATGCAGACACTTCCAATTCCAACCCATCACAAGACCAGAGAATGGTATTCGCAAGTCTCTCAGCCATCTGTCATACATGCTCTCCCCCTTCCCAGCCCTGTCCGCCTAAATCCGGATCAAGACATCCAAACACTGCACCCGCCACTCCTTCTTCCCCAACAACCCCTTGACCCACTCATAACTCTGTCCTTCGCTCCCACTCGCCTGTCCTAAGCCAACCCTCCCCTTGACCCCCTCCACTGCCGCGTCCACCCCAGCCTTGACCGTCGCATTCACCGCCTGCGCCAACATGCCCGCGCTTTCCGCCACAGTCCCATTCAGCGCCAGCTCCGCACTATCCGACAACGGCGCATCGAACCACGGTGTGTGAAAGTCGAAGAGCGCGACGACGAGGATGAAGAGGAGGAGGCTGCAGTACACGCACGGTCGGTTTAACAAGTATGTGGCCGAGATGAAGAGGACGAGGTAGACGGGGGAGGCGTGCGTTCGTAGTCTATGCATACTCTTGTTAGAATGTCATGCCATACGATGCGCCGGACATTGGCGAGGGCTCACAAGAAGAAGAGAACTGGAATCCAGCTCCGCAGGCAGAACATGGTCGTGTGTCGTTCCCTAATCGTGCGCCCGGTCGTGTGAGCGCGCACTTTGCGGCGATAACAACAAGTCGAGGCTGATTCTGGGGGACAGCTTCAAAGTGCTGACGAATGCGACAATTCTTTAAGGAAAAAAAAAGTAGGTTGGTGAATAGGAAGCAGCGAACGGATGGAGAATGAACAAATGCGTTTGTATGGTTTTGGGATAAGGAAAAGGTTGAGGGTTGCTGACTGCCGACAGCGAAGGTAGTCCGGAGTTACTGGCGGCCGCCGATATTAGCGTCTTTTGATTGGCCGCTCCCTTCACCTGCGCACAAGGCTGAGCGTCAAGCACCCCGAGGCTGCAGCCGGTGGCGCATCCATGCATGCAGACTGCTTCTCACGTGTCTCAGCCTTATCAGGCGCTTCACTCAATGTAGCACGTATTCATTTCTTACAAGGTATCTTCCTACATGCGCACCGCCAATTGCGTTACGACGGCTAGCTTGCACAGCTAGTCGGCTCTCATATCCCAACCAACCCTTCCTCCCTAGAATGCTTCCAGATGCCAAAACGCCCACTTAACACAGATATGCCGATATACGAAGCAATGAGGCCGAACTCGGCCACCAGTAGCAGAAAGAGAGCAGCGTCCTTGCGCGCGGGGGTCTATACGGGCAGGTTGAACTTCTTGCCTTGGATGACCCTAAACTACGTTAGCATGGCGACCAAAGCCTCAGTGTATCCTCCAAGACTTACTTTGTGTAGTAAATGTAGAAGAAGTCAGAGTACAAAATAGTCTGGATGATACCCGCAATCACTGCAATGGGATCGTAGAACTTGGGCACCTCGAAAATGTAACGGTAGATCCAGTTGGGGATGTACAGAGCCCTGTAAGCACCCAGCGCAAAGAGGTAGTGCGTCGTAATTGTCTCCGCCTCGCCCGTCCTCTGCAGCATGAACAGCTGCGGCAAGATGGCAACCGATTCCAGCCAGATGGAGAAAGCCCAGAGTATCTCTGTGAAGGTGTATTTGTAGGGAAACAGTATCGCCAGCACTGCACTGGCGCCCAGCAGGTATTGCACCTTGAACGTGTCTAGATTTGGATCGTGTGTCGGCTTGTAGTCGTTGAGCATGAGGTAGACGGTGTAGGCCGAAGTGCTGATGAAGATGATCTTGAAGATGGTGTTGTAGAGCGACTTGGGTTCGTAGAAGGTCCAGAGGAGGTCGACGTAGCGCGTGAGGTAGACGACCAGGTAGAGGAATTGCGATTTGAACGAGATACCAGATGCGCTCTGCAGCGTGTCAGTTGATACGGCGCATTACTTGTGCACGGGGAATCAACATACACTCGACACCTTCATCTTGTGCAGCAGAATCAGGATGGATAGCAGGTGGGATAAATCCCCTAGACCGTGTTAGCATTTCCATCCATACGCACGAGCATGGTTGTCGCCAAGCTTACCCAGCAGTCGGAAGAGGTTCATCATCGCGGGCAATGGGTCGCGACTCGAGGCGTGGTGGAGGGTTGTGGGTTGGTGTGCCTGGCATAAAAAGACACGTTCCGACTGCTGCATCACGTAGGGATGGAGCTGCGCATCCTTGCATGCCAAGGCCCGCCCCTGTCGCTTCACGTCATCCCGATCGCCGCTACCCCCCGTAGCACATCCGCAGTCGTTCGCGTTGCCCACCCACTCGACGTTCCGTATACACTTGGGAACACTCTACCATGGCCCATCTGCTTGGTTGGAAAGATATCCTTAGGCCAATCCGCGACGGATACCGCCATCTCTTTCCTACCCCCGACACTGGGCCAACGCCTGAAGAGCGACGCAGACAGCGCCAAGTAGATCGCCTGAAGGGCTTCGCCTACTTCGATACATTCGACCAGTTGGAGTCGTGGAAGGAAGACGATTCTGATCCGCTGCAACGAGCCAACACGCCGCTGCTACGCGGGACCGACGGCATTGAGAGGGGCGGCGTCGTCAAAGCCCCCGTTCTATTGATCCATGACTACTCTGGCAATTACCATGACTACGAAAGCGTCAACGCTGTTGACGTGGACAGAGAGTTTTATTCGTGTGAATACCTCCAGTTTGTTGATACCTTCATTTACTTCTCGCATAAGTTGGCTTGCGTTCCGCCGCCTACATGGATCAATTTGCTTCATAGAAATGGCGTCGAGGTGCTGGGAACGCTGTTGATTGAGCCGCAGACTGAGGGTTCGGAACGTTTGTTACATCATACGTTTGACCAAGCCGGAGAGATGCACTTCCCCATGGCGAAGAAACTAGCTAGCATCGCGACGCACTTTGGCTTCGATGGCTGGCTAGTCAACATCGAGAAGCCGTTTCCAAGCGAATCGTGGAGTGCAAAGCTTCTCGAAGCCTTCCTGCTCCAGTTGAAAGCCAACCTAGGAGTCGGCCTCGACGCTGGCAGGCGGCTCATATGGTAATATCCTCATTCACTACCACCCTGACTAAAGCGTGACTTGACTTAGGTACGACGCCCTCACCACCTCCAACAAAATCTCTTACCAGAATCAAGTCAACAACTCCAACATGGACTTTGCCTGTGCATGCAGCAACATACTCACAAACTATTGCTGGAAAGATCTCGACGTCTCCGAATCAATAAAGTGGTGCTTGTACAGCAAATTCCTACCCAAGGGAAACATCTACTTCGGTGTGGATGTCTGGGCACAAAACAAGTCTGATTTCAGGCATCCGCGCGTTACATGGCCAGAGGTTGGAGGTGGCGGCACCAATACCGGGATGGCTGTGGCGAAAATGGCCGACTATGGCTTGCCAGTAGGTATCTTTGCGCCCGCGTGGTCGTTTGAGCATTTCCCAGATCATGGACGCCATCTTGAACGTGCTGTCTGGGAAGGTGAGTCGCTGCCAGAGAACATCCAGTGTAGCTGCGGAGATTGCGAATTTCGGCATCCGCTGAACAGAGAGTGGCCTATTTTGCGTACGGCGAAGGAGCGCGTGGCGGGCTCAGAGCATTTGCTCTACACGGATTTTAGTCGTGCTTTCGGAACATATCGAGAAAAGGCAAACGACAAGCTCGATGGCTACAACATACACGCACAGCTAGGCCAGCAATCCGTACTGCCTCGTCCAGCCATCCTCGCACCTGGTTCGGGAGCCGTCACACTCTCATACCGCATCGAGAATGAACAAAACAACCACATCCTAGTAATCACCGCAACACAGAACCGCCCAACCGATTCGGAAACGATAGAAGAACACCTTCCCCTCTATAAACTTGACATGCCCGCAGATGGCTCCCTCCATCTTTCCGCCGTACCAAGCCCGGCATCCCCATCCTACATAACCCCACAAACAAGAGATGCGGTCATAAGCATCTATTTCAAAACCACGCAAGGGACGCACTACCTCCCGTCACCTTTGTCCAGCGATCCGCAACGATTAATTGACCAAGTACCCAACGCCCGTATCCGTGAACTAGGCGTCCACCTAAAGGGGCATTGGGGCGCCCCAGTCGGCGAAACTGTACGAGTACTGGGCATTAGAGATATATGCATTACGCCCCGCTTCACGCTGCATCATACACCCGTCTTTGAAATTGCGGACCTCAAGCTGGTACAGTGCGGGCAAGAGCAAGGCGAGGAAGACCATATAGTTCGATTAACGTGGAAGACTGAAGGAGCGCTTGGGAGCGAGTGGGTTGATAAAGGTAAGTTTATGACTTATCGACGCATATTTGTTGTGAGATATGGACTGACATTGTATCTAATTCGATACAGGGATGGTGCTTAGTCATGTGACCGGGCCCATGGCGTGGTTTGTTGTTCGAGTGGGCGGGGTGGTGGTGGGTAGGATGTATGCGTTAGAGTGTATTTTGGACAAGAAGGTCGTGGAAGCACACGCTGGGCAGGAAGTCGAGGTTGAAGTCACAGGGTTTGGTTTCGATGGGTACAAGCTTGCGGAGAAGAAGAGTATGCTGCAGTTGTGATCGTTGTAGAGCAACACGATCAATGCGCGTCGCGTCAGTTTGGTGGTTGGGGCGAGAATGTGACTAGCGTGTCGACGACGTCATCGATACTTGTACCTGTCCTTACAACCTTTCGGTCTGCTTTACACTGCAGCAATATTGCGCGCGTATAATGAGAGGTCTTGTTTATCGATTGGCGCAATTGGCAAACGTCACATCACGAAGTTTGTATTCGTCACGACCATCACCACGGATTGGGACATTTTTGCTTGCTCGGCAGCTTCACGCAACAATTACCATGTCAGGTCCGGCGAAACGCAAAGCCGAGAAGGACATATCGCCGCTGAAAGCGAAGAAGACAAGTATAGAGACAAAAACAAAGACGATAGTTCCTGCGTATCATCTCACCCCATCAAGACAGGATGAGTCTGGAGAGATTGTATGGCCCGCGAGAAAAGAGCAGATTAAACGCGCCCGGGAAATCATCAGAAACTGGTAAATTCATCTACATCCTACCACTAGACACCTGTGCTAAACCATCAAAGCGCCTCAGCCCAGAAGCCAACCGTCATCCTCCCCGACAAGGATGCAGACGGACTCTCATCTGGCGCCATACTTCACCATACCCTCACAGCTCTAGGTCTACCACCTGATCTCATATCCGTGTATTTCCCACCAAAAGGCTCAAACGTACATGATGAAAGTACAAAGGAAGCTTTGACAAAACTATCTCCATCATACATCTTCATACTAGACCAAGGCAGCAGGGAAACGCCACCAGTCGTCGACTTGCCGCATACATGCCTCGTCGTAGACCACCACTTTGCCGACGAAGGAGGATTTCCAAAAGGCAGCGATTACGTGACAGCTCACGACTGTCCGCCTGTCGCGACTAGTGCGCTGTTGACGTACACAATCTGCTTACCACTCCATCCGGATCTCAACGACAAAGTGTCTTGGTTGTGTGCACTAGGAACCCACGGCGACCTGGGTAGTAGCATAAAATGGGAACCCCCTTTCCCCAACCTAACCGCAACTTTCAAATCCCATTCCAAGAAATCCATCAACGACGCTGTAGCCCTAGTCAACGCACCACGGCGGTCGGCAGCCTACAACGTGCAGGATGCCTGGGATGCCGTCCTATCTGCCACCAGCCCCTTGGACATTGCAAAGAATGAAAAACTTCACACCGCTTCCCTAGAAGTACGCCGTGAGACGGAGCGATGCACACATACGCCCCCTAAATTCTCAGCCGACGCTACAATCGCCGTTCTCACGATATCTTCTGCCGCGCAGATTCATCCTGTCATTGCTACAAGATGGTCTGGTACGCTCAAGTCGAATAAGTTGGAGGTTGTCATGTGCGCGAATGAAGGCTATCTTCCTGATAAAGTCAACTTTTCCTGTCGTGTTGCCAAGTGTGCGCGGGCGAGGGGAGGAGAGGACAAAGTCAACATCATCAGCAAGCTAGAGAGCATAGTTGCTGACGATTCTGAACTGAGAAGTAGGTTGGGTGAAAGCTTCGCAAGAGGGCACAAAGAAGCTAGTGGGGGTATCGTGGGGAAGGGAGAGTGGGAGGAGTTTAAGAAGCTGATGGGTATTGGAGAAGCGGCGAAGAAGAAGGCGGATGCTAAGAAAGAGAAGGAGAAGCCTGCACAGAAGAATACCTTGGCGAATTATTTCGCGAAGAAAGAGAAGGTAAAGGTAGAGGGTGCGTGAGCATTGGGTCACATTGTGGTGCCAGACGATTCCCTCATCTCTCCAGCAGAACCAGCGTGTCGACGACTCTCTTGGCTTTCGTTCTTGAGCCAAATGAGCTTCGTCACGGAAACTACGGCTGGGCGTATTGATAGTCTGGAATAGTTGGTTACGAGAAAGCCTGCCAAGCCGCGTCAGGAGGGACCGTTCCCAGCGGAAGAGGCGTTACGGAAACCCGGTAGACTTTGCGTCGCATGTTTACCGCCAAGACGACGAACTAAATGGTATCCAATCTACCATGGTCGAGACTGGGTGTTGCGGAAATGAAATGGCCAAGTCAATGACGATCAGGCGCATATCCGCCTCTTCCACCCGTTTCCCGTTGTAGCATCCGAGGCGAACAGAAGAAAAGATTACAATCGGGGCTTTGGGAGCCTTTGAGCCAACGATGGGTGTTTCTAGTGTCTCGATCACGTTTCGAATTAGAAGGGGTTACATTATTAGGCGGCTGTGCGCCCGAAATGCCGGTTGATCTGCATCGCCAAACAGGAACAACAAAAAGATAATCACCACAAGACAACAACTCTCAAGTACAGCAGGTCACAACCAAGGATAATTTTGTCAAGACTAAGTGTAACTCACTAGCTTTCGCAGGCACAAAAAAGGAATTCTCACAGTGCCATCGCTAATAACCTCACGATGCAAACACTGGAGAAAAAAACAAAATGCCGCTCCAGGGTCGCCTTACCAATGTCCATTTCGTTACAGTCATGATTCTCCCACTTTCATCACTTATATAAATTGCACCCAGGAAACCAAGCTTTCTTGGCAACTGCCGAGTAGCGCGTGCTCGTCAGCATTCAATCTGCACGCAACTCGCCCATTCGCCAAGGAGTTTACATTGCATGGCTCCAGGTTGTTCCTCATTGGGCACGGCACTGATATCTGGGGGCCGGCTGTCACATGGCTTAGTTGCTTGGAGCGTCGGGGATGTATGCAGTGGTGCCCTGTCTATATGAAGCGAATAGATTGTTTTCGTGATCATTAGGATGGATACTAAGTTGGAGGGCTGGGATACATAGAAGGTGTGTATGTGTATATATATATGTATACCCTGGTGCTGGAGTTGGACAAAGAAGAAGATTCGATACAAACTCAGCTCTAGCTCCTAACCCCCATTCACCTTGTTCGCATCCATCTCATCAGCCTCTTCAAGATGAAGTACGCAACTGTTCTCCTCGCCGCCGCGGCGACCGTTTCTGCCCACTCGACCTGGCAGGAACTCTGGGTCGGCACCGAAGACAAAGCTGGAACCTGTGTGCGAACTGTCAAGGACAACAGTCCCATCACCAGTCTGACATCGCCTGATATGTTCTGCGGTCGTGGTCCCGCTGCTTCGTCTGGAGTCTGTGAAGTCGCTGGTACGGCTGGCCCCCTCTTCCCCAACTTTCATTTCCCAGTCTCACTCCCTCCACCCCCCCCTTTATTTCCAACAATGAAAGTTGTCCATGATACTAACTTGTTATTGTGACTCACAGCCGGCGGTTCCCTGACTGTAGAAATGCACGCACAACCCAACTCGCGCTCCTGCTCACAACCCGCCATCGGCGGCAACCACTACGGCCCCGTCCTGATCTACATGGCCAAAGTGGCCGACGCAAAGACCGCCACGTCGGGATCCTTCTTCAAGGTTGCCGAGGACGGTTACACGGGTACCACGGCCTCGTGGGGCACCGAGATCCTCAATGCAAACTGCGGAAAGCGCGCCTTCACCGTGCCCAAGAACATTGCGAGTGGAGACTATCTGGTCAGGGCTGAGGCTATTGCTCTGCATGCTGGTGCCAATAACCCGCAGCCATATGTCAGCTGCTTCCAGGTCAAGGTCACGGGGGGTGGCAGTGCGACGCCCGCGGGTGTTAGCTTTCCGGGCGGGTACAAGACGAGTGATCCCATCTTTACAAAGGCCATTTACGACTCGAGCTTCAAGTATGTCAGCCCTGGGCCGGCTGTCTACTCTGGTTAAGAGTGCGCATGGTGAGGGCGAGGATTGGTGATGACGGCTGGGTATCATGGGGGGACTTCATTGTAAATAGTTGTTATCAAGTTTTGAATATTAGTATGAACAATCTAACCGATATGTCGGCACCCAAGCAAACCTCGGAAGATACAGCACGGTGTCCACCACAAATCACACTCGTCCCTGTCTAGTATACGCTAATAGAGCCCTTGTGATGATCCATCATGTTTTCCAATAACAATCCCAGCACCCGGGCTCTCCACTCGTCACGCAAACCGCAGATGTCTTTTCCTCGGGAGGGAAGATGTGTAGAGAAGAGATTTTGTTGTGTAAGCAGATTGGACAAGGAAAGACATCGCTGGCCGCACGACAGGAAACAAATTTAGATAACACTATGGTACATGGTAGTGCCTATGGTTGTTATCGAACGTAAAGCAACGTATCTCGTGACGCATGAAGAGGCACCTCAGGCCCCCAACCTATTCATCTCTAAAGATCCACTTCCCACCCCTTCTATGCGCTTCCAACCAGCGCTCTTGCACGATTGCCTTGTCCTGCTCCTTGGCACGCTCCCTATCCTCGTGCTGTTCCTGCGTAGTCGGGAAGTCGACTCTCCAGAAGCCCGGCGGTGTTCTTCGTCGCTCATACGCCTCACGATGCTTGCCCGACTCCTTGGCCAACTTCTTTGTCCGGGCTTGCAGGACAAGTTCTTGTCGTTCTTCAGACGACATCTGCGTAAGCTGCATGTTGCTGTATGCATCGCCAAGATAATCCTCGAGCAGTTCCTCCTCTTGCGACGAGCTAAGAGGTGCTTGGACTTGGGCAAAAGTTCGGAAAGTGGAGCCACAGCATTGCGGGTTGGTGCAGCCAGGGAGGCACATGCGATCTCCTCGCTTGCGTACAGTCTCTGAGAATGCGTAGCTGTAGCCTTGGTTGTATTCCGGATTTGGCTTGAAGTCCTTGACGCTAAGCGCACTCACTGGTTTATCGCGGAGACATTGCTCTTTCTCTTTTGGTGGCGGTACGCGGTTCCTTCGTGCACTGGTACGCGTCTCAGGAGCTCTCATAGTCCATACAGGACCTTCTGGCGTCAGATCTTCGCGAGGCGTCGTGCGCGTTTTCGACTTTGAGTTACGTGATCCTCTACTGCTGGAGGGTTTATAGGTGGGCCGTGACGAGCTTGCGGGCGGGGTTGCCATTTGCTCAGTCTTGATTTTCACCGATCCTGACTTGGGTGTCTTCGGTGAAGTCTTGTCTGGAGTCTGGAGGTTCTTCAATGCTTGTAGTCTCTGATTCATCTGCGCTCGAGCTGTGCTAGGCGGCAATCTCGGCGAATCATCGTTCATCGGAGGCGGTGCTTCGCCCGACTCTGCCAAAAAGTTATGTTTGGCTTGATACGCTTTGGCTTGTCTTGAGCGCTTGTTTGGAGGTTCCTCCGAAGCACTGCTCACTACGTTAGGATCGAGAGACCTCAACGCGGCATCCTCTACTTGAGTTGGCTCAACCGGTTCGCTGATAGCCCTTGCTTGGATGCCTCCAACAGCTTGAGGATCACCCGTCTCACCGTAGAGACCAAGCAGATCAGTGTTATCCAGGTTCTCATTCTTGATGGCTTGCGTTAGCGGTGCGCTGTCGGGCCTATGCTGACGAGGTATTTTTGCAGCATCATCGTCATACAAGAGTCGCGTTCGAGGTTGGCGCGGTGTCTTGAGTCCATGGGGCGCAGGATCGTCGAGATCCACCGTCTCAGTCCGAGCCATCATCAAGATGGAAACTGGTGGACTGCTCTGCGGCTCTTCCTTCACTCGATGAGGCTTTACCGGCGTGCCATCTGAGGAGTGATCTGCGTATATCTCGAACCTTGATTTTGACGGCTGCTCTCGTTTTCGTTTTAGCGATCGCTCAGAAACAAACTGGGGAACGTCGTCATCATCTGCGTCCACGGCCGGTTCGAATATGCCTCTTGACTGTTCGGGTTCATCTACGGTTGTCTGACTAGAGCTTGGAATCGCTGAACGGTGGCCTTCGTGGTCAGATATCATCCGCTGAATGTGTGATAAGACACCGAGGCCGGTGCCATCGTCATGTTGATGCTCATGTTGCTGGGCATCCTCTAGCCGAATGCTAGCCTTTGGAGTGATGGCCGTGGTCGGACTCTGGGCATCTTCTCCACCAGCCGTCGTCGAGGAGGCCAATCGATTTGTCGTTCCCACGACTGAACGCGGCAACAAAGTCGAAGCAGCAGGAGAAGAGCGATCCGGGTTGACGAGTGATCCAGGCGTGCGGATAGTGGCTGTAGAGCCTGGACTGGAGGGCATGTGAGGTCGGTCCTCAGGAAGAAGGTGAACAGCAGCCACGTCAGACTTGCCATCCTCTCTAGCCTCACTCTTTGCCTTTCGCTTTCCAAATTGTCTATCCGCGTACTCTTGCCATGCGCGCACGTTTTCTTTCATATCCTTGTTCTTCTGCATGACAGTAGCGTTCTTCCTCTCTAGGTACTTGATTTTATGAGACATATCACGGTACTTTTTGGTCAATTCGCTAAATCGCTCGGCAAGGTCATTATGTTCCTCTTCGGAGGCGTTCGTTCTTAATTCCTTGGAAGTCTCATGGTTTGGCGACGGAGGAGCTGTGTCTTCAAGCGCCTTGAGTTGTTGCTTCAACTGTTCATTCTCGGCGACGAGGTGGCGATACTCTTCCTCGGACGCACCTGAGGCGCCAATCCTAGAAGCATCCTGGTAGCTCTGACCGGAAGATTCGAGCTGTTCCTTGAGTTGCGCATTCTCCTTGGCAAGATGGGCAGTTTTCAAAATCTCATCGTTTAGATGTTCGAATAGTATCTGCTGGTTCTCTTCCTCTACACCTGGTCAGTATGCGTCAACAGAGTTGGACTAAAACGCGTACTCTGCTCTAACTCCTTGTTATGCTTGTCTTCCCCTGATATGCAGTGAGCGATTGCCAAGGCGTCGACTGGACGTACGAACTCTTCTTCCACTCTTTCTCCAGATCAGGTTGAATGACCTCATCGTACACGCGTGTCCAGAGCCCTTTGTTCTGCTCTATCCAGGCTGAAAAGTCTGCCATGTCTGATCAGGCCGACGATGCATCAAATGAGAGATGCGGCAAGGAGCGATTTGATGTTGGGATGGGTCGTGGCAGTGATTGTAGCGTTAGGCGGCAATTGCGAAAGTCACGCGCTAGTGGAACGCGAAGTCACGGGCTGACGCTCGGACATTGAGCGATAACGATAAGACATGATGTCCCGAGGCGCATTCGCCGCCGAGACGGCAGCCCTTCGCTAGGTACTATGAAGCGCGCGCGTGATGGGGAAGATGATGGCGAACATACAGCCAAAGTACAGCGGCTCCTGAATCCCGATCGACTTTCAAAGCTCAGCGAAGAACTTCTCGTGCGCGTATTGTCATTCGTGCCAGTACCCTCGCTATTAGTATGCCAAAGGTTGGTACAGCCCTCTTCCCCGAGCCGCGACATGTGTTGACTGTAATAGGGTATCAAAGAAGTTCAGCCGCCTTTCTGTCGACTCGGAACTATGGAAAGCCGCCTACTACCGCACATTCGTCCTGCCGAGAGCGTCGCGCATCCCGGGCATCAAGGGCCCTGCGAACCCTAATCGGCTACACTACTCCTCCCGCCTGTCCAAATGGTTAGACGACGGCTATCTGGTCAAGGATGGTACGCAAACCAACTGGAAGCAACAATATCGGTTACGGCATAATTGGACTCAGGGACAATGCGCCGTCAGCGAGATCGTGGTCGCCGAAAGGCCTCCAGATCCGCCGCTGCTAGTCATGATGTCCAACAGCATCATCTACGCTGCTGATTCCATGTCAGGCCTCCGAGCGTGGGATTCGAAGAATGACAGGGAATTGCTGGCGTCTTCCGAACTGTCTGGTGATACGGATACAGCTCGATTGCCAACCTCCATGGCTACAGACGCTAACAACACGGGCGACGATAAAGAACGAGTCGTTGTAGGCTTCGAGGATGGCTCCTTCTCCATATACGCTCTCAGAATAGACCAAAGGACGAGCCGAAAGACATTCACGAATGTCTTTACCCATCCGCCATCGACCAACGGAATGCTATCGGCTCTCGCATACTCCTCGCCTTACCTTGTCACCATGACTGAAGACCACCTACTCTCACTATACGCCTTTGAGAGTATACCAGGCATCACTGGCCTTTTAGACGCACCCAAACTCCTATATTCCCTACGCTCCAACACAGCATGGCCACCCGTATCGCTCTCGCTACGAACAACAGCAACGAGCATGACCGCCGCCATCGCATACTCCTTGCCCACTTATCTATCTGGCTGGACGGTTGGCGTGCAAGAACTGATACTGTCACACAAGGGCGATTTGATTGAGTCACGATTAGCTACTGCGGCAGACGAGCACTCCTTCACACTTTCTGCATATCGCTCGACCTCGTCTGACAGGTTGCCGCCATCGCCTTCATCCAACAGCGCAAGAGAAGCGTCTGTACCGAGCGGGCCGAGTCGATCGAAACCCACCTCCATGTCGTATTCCCACCCGTATCTGCTCGTCGCACATCCCGACAACACATTATCCCTCTACCTCGTCCGGTCCACATCGCAGGCACTTTCGATAAGCTCCGGCAACCGTCTCTGGGGTCATACATCCTCAATATCTGGTGCTCATGTTGGCATGCGCGGCAAGGCCGTGTCGGTGAGTAGAAGAGGAGACGAGCTCCGGGTATGGGACTTGGAGGGTGGCATGACTTCTTCGGCAAACCGTAGGCGCTCAAGAAACGGACATTTGAGTGTTCGTGTGCAGCCATCCAGAGCCAGTGAAGAACATACACAGGACGATGAATCAAGGCAGCAAGTAGGCTTGCGATTCGCCCTAGACCAGGGGTTCGACGACTCTACCGTTAGTCGCGGTTGGGTTGGTTTCGACGAGCAGAATGTGATTGTGCTGCGAGAGAAGAGCGAAGGTAGTCAAGCTTTGGTGGTATATGACTTTACGTGACAAACTGTATAAGAAGCGTGGCGTTGTACGATATATACCCTTGTAGTGTGCTGATTACCCACTTGAAAATCTTTCTTTGCAACACAACTCGAACAATACTTTCTTAGAGTCGCCAAAGCCCGTGACTTATACAGACACTGCAACAACGACATCTACAAGCGAGCGCCCGCCATTCGCTTCATCGCCAGGGCACTAGCTGTCACATTCCCAGCATCAAAGATGTGGAAAGTCTATTGAAAATCAGCGCCTATCAGTCAGCCGTTCTTCAAAAGGTTACGACTCCAGTGCCGATGTACATCCCCTTATTGCACACCGACCCTTCGACCTCATCTCGGCCTTTCAGAAGACAACGGACATTGATAGTGAGGTCTATGTGACTGGCGTGGACTTGGCGAGGCTGCTGTGACCACAGTACACATCCTGCCGAGACCGAAGTTGGTACGGGTTCTCACTCCGACTTCGACTCACAAAGATAATCGATAGTCCTATGATGAGAAATCTCGCCCAGGCAATGTCACAATGAGAATAGAAATTTGGCCTTCAGGGCTATCGGGGCCTGAGACGTATATACCCTGGGGCGTTGGAATATCGTGATATCCTAATCCATAGATTCATCTGATTTCCGTAACAGGCCAACCTCAGACAATCTTTTAACAAACATGCCTACCGTACGACTGTTTGCAGGTCAGAATGTTTTGTGCAAGCTAGGGTAGGGACTCATACTACCGCTTAAATGTGTACAGCGTATACGCCGGTCGCTGTGAAACTTAGTGTGGTCTTGTTGTGTCAAGCGTGCGTTCTTACCTCGGCGCCATAGAGCATGTTCGATACAAACTCCTTGACGATAGACAGGAGATTATCATACAGGCTCTTCATTGTTTGTTCGAGGTCAAAAAATTCAATGATGAGGTCGATTCCAAATGGATTTGGTGAAGCGCGAGCTCCATGCTCCATATTGCAGACAAACTCGAAGTCCTCAGAGGACATACGTTCGCAGTGCCATGCCACTTTCTGCCACATCGCTCGGATCGCTTCCAAAGCCAATACCATCTCCTTCGCATCAGGTCGTTCAGAGCAAGACATGCCCATGTTGTCTCCTAGAGTCATCAAAACGTTCACAAGATGGAGGTGTAGATCGTACTCAGTTTTTTGCATCAGGATAACAGTAGCATCGCTGAACAAGGCCTCCTTCGCTCCGCTGTAGTCTAAATGGTCGAGACTCCTGTTGAACGGGGCTCGAGGCATCGACATTGCACTGCGAACGATTTCTCTGGCGGTTTCAGCAAAGATTTGAGACGCTGGCTTTCCGTAGTCGACTTCAGCCCGTTCAGCGTCCGGTATTAGGCCCTGTAGTCCAAATACCCTATCTTGAGGGTTTTCACACTGGCTCGAACTGAACGTCGCAAGCAATTGTGCATAGCTGTAGTGTCTGGCTGACAAGGCATGATCTGTAAGCCACTTGACTTGTAACGGCACAACGTCATCCAAGGAGACGTTTTCATCCACGTAGACATTTGATAGCGTTGACGGCGAGCAAAAGCGTTTCAGTTCATCCCATGAAAGCAGTGTCTCGCCACATATGACGCGAATGTATCTTGCTAGCATGATCTCCTGAACAATCCATAACCTCAGCCAATATGGATTGTCGAAGAAGTGCCTTAGCGCGGGTGTTGAAAACACATACTCGGCTTGCATCGAAGTCCCGTCCCCACTCGTTTTGCTGGACGTCTTTGATCTTTTGGTCAACGGTTCAGGACCATGATAGCGTCTGTAGCTAGATTTTAACGCTTTCATGACTGCTTCCGTATTATCATCTGACTTGCCCAACCAGACGTAGACATAGGTCGCTCTTCGATAAATGTCGGACATCATCTTGACCTGATGATTGCGCTCTCCAATCAACGCCTGGTTGATACATATCTGGTCTATCCACAACCACTGAACCTCGTCTTCATAGCCGTTACCCCCTCGAAACTTGTATAGACGTTCTCTAAAGGCGTAGATAAAGTCGTAAAGATTCTGCCGTACGAGAAAGCGGTGACCGTTGACTTGGATCTCCTGAACTGGCGATGGAGGACCCCAAACATAAGACAAAGCGCGGTATTCGGGAGTAGGGTTAGACTGGAGGTTCACATGCGTGAGGTTGCACCTGATCGGTCCTGTTGTTTCGGGAATGATGGATATCAGCCTGATTTCCTGGATAGCCTGATTGATCGGCTCATGAACGAAAGCGGCGCTGGAACCTGCCATGTTCGTCGTGCACTTCGCAAAAGGATTATGGGTGTGAGCTCCGAAACAGCTTCGTTAAGAAAGTGGTTGTGTGGAGAGAAAGGAGATGTCATGATGAGACAGGTAAGGCAGGAGCCAAGAGAGTGGGGTTTGTGGCGCAGTCGTGGCAGTGGAACTCGAGCCGTCTTGCCTGAATGAGACCCATGAAAGTGCCTGGGCTTAGACTTCACTTTAGTTCGATATTAGCATTGGAATCAGGGTAGTATGTCGCCATTTTGTCAGGTCTCTGCCTGGCTGCTGTTTTGTATAGACAAATTTGTCGCCTGGGTCTGAACTATGAATCTCTGTAAGCGCATCTTGCAAGCCTGGCATATCTATTGAGGTATGACGCGTTGGAATATTGTCTGAATATTGCGCGTCGGGCATTGGGTGTACCTTCATGCTAGTAGACGGGTGATGAACGCTATCAGCAGAACGGCTGACAGGACGTCCAACATCACATTCTCTCTGGTTGGAGGCCACTATATCGGGGACACTACAGCTGTAGCACTACATCGCATCGAGCCTGAGCTTATATAGATCTTGTGGCCTGATCCCAAAGGTTCGGACAAAATGTGTCTTGTCATCTAGCGCGTAGATCATTAGCTCTGTAAATACTATTGGTGACCATATCTAGGATCACGTAGCCACGTTGGGCTATCACGACTTTACTTAAAGGAGCACCGTCTGAAGCTGACAGATAGTGGTATTACATCCACCAATAGTAAAAGCTCAGAACAATCGGCGATAGCGTCGCCAGTGGCATGAACTGGAGTACTCTGTTCTGCTATTCAGTCAAAGTGAAGAGGTCCTCATACCTTGTATGCGTAGCTGTTAAACCGTCTTGAATTGCATTTCTTTGACACCAGGGCTTTTCCATGAATATAAAGCAGCTGGATCACCGGAAAAATATGCCTCGAGTAGTCCGCGTTTGGAAAAAGAAACGCCTCATGAGCTTTTCAGTAAGGAATGTAGGAGCTTGACACGTAGAGAACTAATTCTAACGAAAAGCCTTAGGACATAGAGCTTTCTGTGCGTCAGTATATCGGGGAGGAGCTCGGAAAGCAAAACGATCGCCCTAAACAGCCACTATCTGACTCGGAGATAAGTTCGCGATGGTTTGAAGCAGTGCAAGGCGAAAGATTCAGAATCTTGAGATATCCACACATTTGATACCACAGAAATCGCACTCGGCGAATAAATTGTGGTGCCTTAGCCACGGTATAATGTCATGAAGCCGGTCTCAACTTACTGATGCAGCTACTGTATTACTGTAGAAACCTCATACTATATAGTGGACCACGCATTATCAATTGGTATCATTGCCCCATTAATCATCGTCGACTCTTCTGAAGCCAGGAAAGCAATGCCACGCGCTACGTTATCCACTCCAATGTAGGGCACCGGCGTGCCCTCGCTGTCTTTCGATACGTGCATTTGCACAATAGGACTGTTTGTATAAGTAAGCGCAAAGAAGGACACATATGATTTAGCTCAAGACTTACAAGAAAGCATTGAAGCCAGCAGAATCAAAGTGCTCCATCTGCACTGATGATGCGATGTTGGTTGCAACGCCGCCAGGCAGAACGCCATTGCATCGGATGCCTTCCTTGTGAAATCGCCAGGCAACGTTTTTTGTAGCACCCACCTATCGCACTGTCAGCACTATTGTAAGGTGTTGTAGCCGGGGGGTTGTACGTACCAGACCATGTTTGCTTGCAGTGTACGCAATACCAGCACTCGCCCCCGAAGTTCCCGCTTTACTTCCAACGTTGACAATAGAACCACCCTTTTGTTCCTTCATCGCTGGCAATACAGCCTTCATCATGCGAATAGGCACTGTCAAGTTGATAGACATGACCCTTTCCCACTCTTCTTCGTGAATCGTGTCGGCGCTGCTCCAACCATCGCTCACGCCCGCGCAATTGACCAGGACATCGATGCGGTTGTGTTTGCCGACGCACTTCGCTACAGCATGCTCAGCAGCTTGTGACTCGGTAAGATCAGTCCTATAGAAGGTGAATGTTGAGTAGTCTTCAGCGAGCTTCTGCGGCTGTTCGCCGATGTCTATTCCGAACACTGAAGCGCCTCGTTCGAGGAACAAACGTGTAGTTGCTAGGCCGATACCGGAGCTGCAACCGGTGATTATCGCGACTTTGTCTTGGAGGCTAGAAATGGACATGTTTAGATGCGAGTAATATTGATTGACGTATGGATGCGGATTGATCGATGATTCAGACTAATTGGCAATGCCCGCTGGTGGAAAACCTAGAATGACGTCAACGGTTAGCGTAAATTCTGGGATCCACTTATGACAGTACCGTCTAGAATTTATCCACTTGGACGATGCTTCATCTTCACCATCGAGCTCTTTGACCACGAAGACTAGAGTGTATGCACTAGAGAGGGAAGAGTTCTAGGATAAGAAAACTGGGTATATTATGCTATCCTAAGACAGCGATCGCACAACACCATCCTTGGCACGAACAAAAAGAGCTACTGAGCCGATCCCGACGAGTCAACGCGTCCATCACCACTCACAATCTAGATTACTTCTTCCATGCGATGGACATCGCTATCCTTCGTCCATTGCCTGATTCTCTTGCCTAGCCCGAAGTACAGTGGGAAGACGAACAGCGCAGGCCCCATTGCACAAGCGAAAATGACCATGGCGGGGGTGATCCACCCATTCTTGCTCTCGTGGGCAAGATCAAAAACCCAGTAACTATAAGAAAAACCGATGAAGTTTTTGCAGACTGTCGCGACAACCATAATCTCACCGGAGATAGGCTTGTAGCAGTCGATCGCGTATGCGATGGCGATGGTGGGTACGGTCGTGACACTAAGGCCGGCGAACCCATAGCCCCAAACGACGATATGACCCCATGCCCATTGTTGCTGGTATGCGACGCCGCCGAGAATTATAGAGAGCATGGTAATGATCATGTAGATGAACAGAGCGGGCAGTCGCATCTCCGCTTCGCGTACACCTCCGTTCTTACGCGCTGCGCGAGCAGATACCCAGTCGGAGTATGGACCTGCCGTCGCCAGACCAAACAGTGCACCTGCTGCGAATGCGAAATTTGTGTAGCCGACCTGGTCTGGTTTGAAAAGGTAAGGCGGGGCAGCGAGCACTGGCGATTCTGTGAGGTTGAAGAAGAGGAGGATATCAGCTGGACCAGCAAGCATCAGTCCTGCCCATAGAATGATTGGGTTGAAGAAGACTTTGATCGGCGTCCAAGTGTCGCGCACAACAAACATCTTCCACCGAGCATCTGGCTTCATGAACGGCATGAACTGCGCACGTGAGGGGCGCCCTTGCACGGCAGTGGGTGTCTCTAGCGAATTTCGTTCGGAGTCTTGAATCCCAGCCTGCGTCGCCTGCTTCTCAAGATTGCTCTGGCCGTCGCTGCTGACGTTGTCGCTACCAGTCTGAATGATGAACGTCGCATTACCGCGATGGTATTTTGTCTCAGGAAAGGTGAGTGCGATGAGGATAATGGAAACACCAGACAATGCCGTCTCTAGCCAGAAGAATGACTGCCACCCATAGTGGGCTGCCATTGATCCCGCCATGATTGGGCCAAGGAAAGCTCCCATGAAGTAGCCGGTGCTATATCACATGTTAAATGCTGTACAGCGGCGTGGAGCAGGTATTACTTACAAATAAACTCCTGTCCAGAGGCCTCTCTCATGCTGGTAGAAGACATCCGCAATCATCTGCACAGGGATACTTTCGCTCGTCGCACAGACCAGACCGTTTACAGCACGCGCCGCCAACAGACTGCTATGGCTGGTTGCCAATGCCTGCCACACACATGACAACAGAATCAGTATCGAGAATACCAGGCTGACAGCGCGTCTACCAAAAATGTTGGAGAGCGGCACGATGATGAAATTGGCGAAACCGAGTGTGATGACGGTGATACCAGTCAGCATAGCCAACTGGCTGTTGTTGAGATGGAACTGCGCACCCAGGAGAGGGAACATGGGCGCAATGGACAGAGCACCGGTGACGGAGATCCAAGTGAAGAGCCATTGCGAGGCCATTACCATGACTGAGAAAGCTGTAAGCGGAGTCTAAACCCTGTGGTGAGGAATAACGTACGCTTCCATCTCCGGGTCCAGTTCAAAGGGTCGCGGGGATCAGAAGAGGGCGTGGGTATCAATGTCTTCTGTGCTGAGCTGTCCTGGACGATCTCCGTGCCAGGTATGAGCTCAACGTTGCTGTGGTCAGTCGCCATCTTGAAGCTGCTTTACTTGTCGCAAATTGTTTACTTTAGATGTTGAGCAGTCCAGCATGAACCTGCGGCGAGGATGCCATCTTATAGTCCTGTAAGCACTCGGTGTATCTGCGGTCTATGGTTCATCAATGCCTGGTAGACCGCGGAGGAGACACCGCTCGGCATTGATCCCAATGCGGTGAGATATCACTTCGTGCGCGATCAGCAGTCAAGATTGATTCTCCCCACGCACCAGATGTGTCAGCTACTGCAAAACCTAGCTAGATCAGCGAATGATAATGTAGTGAAATCAACGATTATGGGAAAGTCGAGGCGACTGGGTCTGTTCGCACTTCCGTAGTGTACTCTTGAATCCTTGCTCAACGGGCATTGGCAAAGCTTCGGCTGGTCAATGGTTGGCCGGCAGATGCTATCAACGCTATCAAACGCATGCATGGAGTCTGGAGGACTTTAGGAAAGGTCCCCTGTATAGTTTCTCAACCCGCCGATCGCACAACCTGCATGATGTGAGGTACAAGGCTGATGCCCTAGAGCCTATCAATAAGCTCGTGCATAGTGCATAATGACCCTAGCTGCAGCCGGACCATGGGCGACTGTTCTGACAAGTGTTGAGCTTTCCTCTCTGTTTTACACTCGTCTTTACAGATCCTGGGGCGTTGCTCTTTTCCCTTCAACCCAGAACTTGCACTCAAACATCACGATAAGGCGTGGCGCATCGCATACCTCCTCTCCCTACCTCTTACTAAATCTATCGTCGAAACTGTGGCAGATGTGAAGCTTTACTGTTTCCGGCATTGAAAGTGGAGACCCATTGTCGTGGTGGCGGGCACCATTCGGGAGGTCGCATCGGAGAATGCGGGGAGGCGCGCTGACGGACTCCCGTAGCCTCACTTGGCGAAGCGACTTGTCATTCTTTATTCAACCTTGAACTTCTCGACTATAACTGTTTTTCATCAAGTCTGAAATTCGCGCGACACTATCGACTGAGATTGATTCGTTTTCTGGAAAACGGAACTTTCCGTTCAAGGTGTCATGAAGCGTTCCTCGCAGAACGACGATACACACCAGCCAGATACATGCTACATTTAGCGAGGATGTATAGGCTTCTTTGGCTATGTCTAGATATCTCCAGGGGCTATAAGACAGGGCAGGTGTCCCCAGGATGACTGCGTGATTAGATGGGAAGCCATGATAATTGAAAACACCCCGAACGAACCACGAGGGCAAGTTTTGCCGCGACATCCGGCACATTGCTAATCCAGAACGAAGTAGCAACTTCAAATAGTTACACAAAGCAAGTATCGGCCAAGGTTACCTCGCAATCACTTCGAAGCCCTATTTGATTTTGACAGGGTACTACGGATAGACGGACGTCGTAAGGCCATTTTCCATGTCTTTCCACTTCCTCCGAAATTGCGCTTGACTTAGAGTTTTGCTGACACTCTCAAGTCGACGTCCGGCGTTCCAAGAAAGATACGCTTGTCCATGCATGACAGACTCTTCCAATCCTGAGAGCGTGCGTGTTTTTGCGGAGAGTGTGCATTCATACGAATCCATCGTACTGCAGTCTCTCGTGCAACAGCATCTGGGTTGGCTTGCGCATCGTACATCAACACGGCAGCACTAACGATTACCATGAGGTGTTCGAGAATTTCTCGTCCGTGGTATAGGAGCTCTTCTTTCTGCGCGTTATGGACAAGTTTGTTGAGAGCCTGAAGTAGATCCTCGACGATTGAAACCTGATCATGAAAGGTAGACGAACATTGGTCGAGCAAGTCTTTGATCCATGGCGCGAACACGTTGTTCAAGATATCACCATCGCCCAACCGCTTGTCAGTAAGGACTCGAACGACGTCCTCAGCCATAACGCTGACGGTACCTTCCCATATCGGATTGACGAGATTATCGCGGTAAATCTTCGCAATGTTCATCAAGCCGCCGTCTTCGTTGTTCTCGCAGTATCCGACACCGCCGAGGCATTCCATACACTGCCGTAACCCATGAACGGATGCCACACTGACTTGGGCTTTCATCGCAGGCAGCAGCAATCTCAACAAAGCCGCTACCGTAGTCTTATTATTCGGTATCAACTTCGCTGCTTTCGTGTATGCAACCATTTCGTCCCAATCTTGTTCCAGAGCGCCTTGCAGGGCAACACCGAGGTACGTGAAGTGCGTATTAGCCCAGTATCTAACCGTCTCTCCAGCCATCCACGCCAGATGTGCAGGGTTCGCTTGGAGTAATCCACCACGAACTTTGCGTACCTTGCTATAGGCACGGCAAATAGCCAAACCACGTCCCCAGTTCGCAACGCTGCCCCCTGCAGTGTGTAATCGCGTGATATTGAGGATAGCGGATATTTCCTTGACGCCTTGACCTTCAGTGCCGATGAGCCATCCGCGCGCACCATTCAGTTCGAGCTCGGCAGTTGGCAGTGACTTAGTTCCTAGCTTATCCTTCAGACGCTGGATGCGAACACCATTGAGCTCAGTCTGAGGCTGCGCTTCTTCATTCATACAATCGGAACCCGGCGATTGAGTACCCGCCCTTCGACGCATGGGTATGTAGAACGCCGACAAGCCACCTTTGTTTGTACGTGCAAGAAGTACAGCCATCTCAGAGTCTGTTGCACTGCTGAACCACTTGAAGCCATGTATCCTCCAAGGGCCTAACTGCATACCGACTGCATCACGGTCTCTTCCCATCTTTCTATCTTCAGCCAGTTCCTGCGATGTCATACGTGCAGCAAATGTTTCTGTGCCGGATACATCACTGCCACCGGATCGCTCCGTCATCCATTGCCCACTTGTCCAAGCCACATCCGGGTCGCGACTGCAAAGTCGATCGTACGCTTCTCTTAGTACTTCGCCTCGTCCTGATTGATCCCCGTCAGAATCATTCTTGTGCTTGTCTAACAGTGTCGCAGCGCCATCAGTCATGCTTTGAGGACACCCAGTCATGGTACCAGTCGAGCTCCATACATGATTTCCGACAAATTGTTGCACACGCCTGTTGAAGGTGGTATGGGCTTTGTCGTAAGCCACCGAGACCACCCCCTCTTGGTATCCAATCTCTTTCAGCTTCTGCCACCCAGACGTCGTCCACAAAGGATCAATCTTGTTCTCTGCACCGAATGTAGAGAGTGGTCGTAGTACTGGATGTTTCGTCTCCGCATCCGTGGCATACTTCAAGATAGATGGCTTCAACGCTAAACGTGCTAGATGGTGTACATGCTTGGTTGCTTCCGTTGCATTCTGTGGTAAGTAGAGATCCAATATTCGCACGACGACCTTATCGTCCGAGGCCTGCAGAGAGTCCGGATATCGAGACTGGAGAGCTTTTGGAAGGGAAGATAGATTGGTGTATTGTGGTGGTAGTACCGGAAGAGCTTGGAAAAAGCCAGCGGTTGAGGAGGAAGCAGGAAATGACTGTTGCGTCATGCTGGCATATGCGACATCAATGCTTTTGGAAAACTGAATGATGTCTATACGCGTGACTGTGATATATCCCAGATTCTCGGATATCCAGGCTGATGAGGAGATCCTCGGTTCACCCCGCAAAATGCCCGATCCGGCAGCCATAGCCGGATTAGCAGCAACATCGGCCGAGGGCACCATACGACCAAGCTCATTGTAGTTTTTGAGACTTTGTATCATGAAAATGTGCAGGCTGATGGCCGCCGTAGAGCAAGAAGATCACTCTTGCTGCCTGTTTAGGTGCCGTCTGCTCTGTGAATTCCCAAATCATCTCCCGGTACACCTCGGCTTGGAACTTATCCTCCGATATTCTATACATGCCGATGGTTGCAGCAATCAATACCACGCTGATACAATGATCGGTTGGTACCAAAACAAGCCTGTCGGTAATTTAAGAAGCGAAAAGCTTGTCGTGATTTGCCTTCGGTACTATCGTTGCAACTGCCGACACTCGATGTTAATTAACGCCTTCATCCAGATAATCAAGTCTGGAGATCGCCACAGGCTCGTTGCTGAATGGACGTCACAAGATGTGCATCTACAGACTTGTCAGCGTTCTTATTGGCATGAGCAAGAGAAGAGACATTGTCTCTGTCACACTCCAATATATTGGATGATAACAGCCACCAGTATACACTTGCAATTTTATCTGCTGCTTGGCTTAAAAAGCCATCGAAGCATCGACATGGTGTTTCTCGCAACTCTCCAGTAATTCGAGATATTATTGATGCCATGATTTGGTCCACCATCGCCGCCGGCGCTCTGTTGACGCAAAGCGCCGCTGCACAGAATATGCTCCGTTTTGCATGTTCGCAACTCACCGTTGAGAGAGCTGATCCGCTGGTGAGCCCTGGTCAACGGCCCTCACCACACACGCATCAGATCATCGGAGGAAATTCCTTCAACCTTACTGTATGAGCCGATCCGCCTGTTTCGTCAGCCAGACACTCACTAACGTGTTGCAGATGGAGCCCGGCGTCTTTGATCCTCCAACTCGCTCAACCTGTACATCCTGCACGTATAGCGAGGACTTCAGCAACTACTGGACTGCTTCGCTGTACTTCAAATCCCCCGAGAATGGTACTTTCCAGCGTGTACCCCAATTCGCAAACGTAGGGCTCCAACAGGATGGCGGTATGACGGTATACTACATGCCGTACTCTGCCAAGAACAATAAGATGACAGCCTTCAAGCCAGGGTTTCGCATGATTGCAGGCGATCCCATGGCCAAGAAGCCCAACAGGGCAAGCATCTGCCACAGATGCTTGCAAAATGGTGAGGGCTTCGCGCCATGTGATGCAAAGGACACTGCGGAGCTGCCCAACAAGTATTGTCCTGGTGGAATTAGGGCAACTATCATCTTCCCTTCTTGCTGGGACGGCAAGAACCTCGACTCCCCAGATCACAAGAGCCACGTCGCGTACTCGAACAGCGGTGGTCTGGGTACTCCAAACTGCCCTAGTACGCACCCCGTGGCTATCCCACAAGTAATGTACGAGATCATGTGGGACACCGGACGGTACAAGAACAACGCCTGGTACGGTACTGGAAAGCAGCCGTTCGTGTACAGCTTCGGTGACGGGTGAGTGCTCTCCCTCATGCTTTTACAACGGTGATTAACTCGCAACAGTACAGGTTACGGCCAACACGGCGACTACCTCTTTGGCTGGAAGGACGACTCGCTACAGAAGGCCATGGATGCTTTGCCCAGCGGCAAATGTGCCAATGCTAATTGTCAAGTGCTGAAGATCCAGTCTGCACAAGACTCAATGAAGTGCAAGAAGCCACAGCAGGCGGTTGAGGATGTTGGTATGAGTGGCGACTGGCTGACGGAACTTCCTGGGGGTATGGCAGTCACTTACTGATGTTATTCTGTTCGCTTCACAGCTAGCACGACTGTCGGTAAAGACCACAATATTCATCGTAGTCTGATGTAACCAAGTTGCTGCCGAATGATTATGATTCGCAATACATGACATAGTACCAACGAGAACTTCAGTGCCAGTGATGTTGAGACAAGCTCGAGCGATATGCGGCCAGCCCCACGCCAGATCCGGTTATGTGGCGCTTGCGTTGTTGAGATGCAGCTTGTGCGAGTGCCGAACGCACGCTGGGAGCTTTGATGCGACACGTGACATACTTGTTTCGTCTCTGGCATGGGCAATTGAATGTGGTGTTGTCTTGACGCGTCGCGAGCACGACGGTAGGCTTCCAGCACTGCACAACGCGTCCTTAACACGCCTTTTTTCCGTGAAAAGAAAGAAATCCTCACTCTGAAGCTTGTGCGAGATAGTGCGAGTGTATCTTTGATTCTCGCCTGAGTCGCGGGATAGATGTGTGTTTCTGTTGGGTTGCCCGAGGTTTGCCGACGTTCGCCCGTGAAGGAATGCCTCTAGCCCGCCAAGCTTACCCCTCATTAATCCATCTACCCCGAGCCTTTCTCACGATCCACAGCTACCCCGAGGATCCGGAACATCATGAGATACATCCGAAAATTTTGTGATTCGAGGAAAAACTCGTCATCGTACTCGCATGCGATTTGAGCCGCAACTGCACAGCCGTCAACATGCTGCAGCCGTGGCAACAGCAGCCTGGGCCCAACAGGTTGCGCGGCATACGGCGCGTAACGGAAGACTGGAGCCGCATCGAGATCAGCCTGAGTACTCAATATCTCGAGCCTCATCCCACGTTGAAACTCTCGAGACCAAAAAAGAAATGGCCAGTTCCACCATGAGCACTTTCGCCAACCCGGTCCTCACAGGCTTCAACCCAGACCCATCTGTCATCCGCGTTGGCGGCGACTACTTCTGCGTTACCTCATCTTTTGAATACTTCCCTGGAGCGCCCATATACCACAGCAAAGATCTTATCAAATGGAAACTGATCGGCCACGCACTCACGCGCAAGTCCCAACTCGATATCAGAACTCCGGAGCCGGGAGGTGGTGTCTGGGCGACAACCATTCGGTACCACAAGGGCACCTTCTACATCATTACCAACTCTTTCGATCGATACAGACCGCAGAACGACGATCGTGTATGGCCACGTGGCTTTTATGTCAAAACCACCAATATCTGGAACGAGAGCTCGTGGTCTGACCCGGTGTATTTTGATCAGGTTGGTTTCGATTTTGACCTCTTCTGGGACGACGATGGTCAGGTGTATCTCTCTTCGACCTACCGGAAGGTTGATCGCTCCTCGGATTCGAAACTGAAAGACTTTGCCATACACGTGTCTACCATTGACCTTGCTTCGGGCACCTTGAAATCCACGCCGAAGATGATCCGGGAGTCTAAATCAGGTATCGCAGAAGGCTCGCATCTTTTCAAACTGAACGGCTATTACTATCTCTTCACGGCGGAAGGAGGTACTGAATCAGGGCACTGCGAATACGTGAGCCGGAGTCGCGAGAGCCCTTTAGGACCTTGGGAACAAGCACCACACAACCCACTTTGGCGCAACACAACAGACGATGAAATCCAGAACACTGGTCATTGTGATATTGTTGAGGATACCCAAGGCCAATGGTGGGCCATGTGCTTAGGCGTACGGCCGAAGAAGGAAGGTGCTCAATGGCGAACGTCAGTTTTCGGACGCGAGTCCATGCTACTTCCGATTCGCTGGGAGAATGACTGGCCGATGTTCAACGAGGGAAAGCCAGTCACCTTGCAGATGAGCGGACCAAACAAGTACATGCTTGATGAGGACAAGGCTTGGAAAGACGATTTCAGTGGTGTTAGACTTGGTCTTGGGTGGTATCGGAAGAGTGAGCATCTCAGAAGCTGCTCTGAGAAACACTTCTAACGCATACGTAGATACACCTGTGAGGAAAGACTACTCAATGACGGCGCGACACGATTACCTTACTTTAAATGGCAGTCCCTACACGCTATCGATGCCCACATGTCCAACGCTGTTCTTGCGAAAGCAAAGGCATTGGCCGGTGGTGTGGGAGACCCAGATAGATTTCCAGCCCGATGTGCCGCGTGTTGAGGCAGGAACAGTGTTATGGTGGAATCATACTTGCTACGCCAGCATCGGTATCGCGCTCACAGATCGCGACGGTCGACAGCAACGCGTGGTAAAGCTTACGCGGCCGGACATGAAAATTGTAGAGCATGTCATCTCAGAGAAGGGCGAGGTGAAGCTTGTGATCGATAGCACTGCCACAAGCTACCGATTCGGATACCGGCAAGCCGACGATGGTCCGCAGCAGAAGACTGAGTGGACATGGCTAGGCGACATTGATACTCAGGTCATGACACGTAATCCGCCCGTTGGTCAGCCTTTCACTGGCATGATGATGGGACTATACGCATGTGGCGAACTACAGCCTGTTCTGGCCCCAGCGCACTTTAAATATGCTCAGTTTCGATAACTCCAAGAGTTCATCGCCATCTTAATATAGTCTACTACATAGCTAGTGCCGACAAGATACTGACTTCAATTCCTACGAGATCCTGTGATAACTTCTCTGAGCTCAATTGTGCAAATAGCTCACTCGGATGGACTGACTTTCTTACCTGTCCTCGCCGTTATACCTCTAGCAAATGATTCAACGATCAGCACCGTTGCCGGAGTAGCCATGGAGATAGCAGAGCTGCTTGCTCGTCGTAACATCGACAACCACATGATATTTCTTAGCAGGTTTGGGGCCTGCGAAACACTCAAGCGTCTACACCGTCAAGTCGTGGTGAATGTGGAACTGCAACAAGTACCGAAATCCAGTTACTACGACGTGTACCTGAACGTCTTGAACTCGGAGCTGTTCATCACATCGCAAGGTTGATACTCTGGAGTTCACCGTAGGAGGTGTATACCTCCCATAGGTTCTATGCAGTAGATAACTCTTGATCTACACTCTCAAGGAAACCGCCAGTTAGCCAATTGGGGTGACATCTGCCCCCGCGACCCATGAAGCTTGATAATTGTTAGGTGATAATACATATCTGAGCTACGGGCTGTCTGAAAAGACTCAACTCAGTTCTTTTGATGAGTGATTACAACATGCACCGCCCTAAGGTGGTACAATAAGTCTAGAATTTGGTGATTACATCGCCAAGAAGTTTCGATGATTGCTATCTGGTATTTTGTGATCCTGATTCAAACTTGATACTCATCATATTGTAATCATCCCGACTATTTCTGGTGCCAAGTACAACGACATGATGTGATGAACCCATAGCATGCTTCTGTCCACTCGGATGAGTTCTTACCCTATTCCTGGACGAGTACAAGAAGGGCGGTACATCGCGTAGACGTCATTAAATCAATAACAACGAAAGGTTCAAGCGACTGACAATAGTCCTCCATCGTGGAGAGAAACACACATTGATACTTCGCCATAATGCTCCGTCAAGGCCTTCCCACATGGGCCACCCTACTACTTATTTCAACCACTGCTGCCCTCAAACTACCTACCTACCGAGACCTACGGATCGACCAGTCCAGACGAGGCATTCTACAGATCGCTTTTCAATAATCCTAACTCAGAAATCAACGTCTGGGGTGAGGATGTCTTGAAAGGACTGACGGACATCGTACAGGGGTTGCAAAACGACACCGAGAAGAAAACCATCTTGTTCACGAGCGATGTGCCAAAATACTTCTTAGCTCATCTCGATGTGCTGAGCCAGCTGCTCGGTAAGTGCCCCTCGTAAGCAGTGCCTCCGTTTAGCTATATTCCCCATCTTCCGCTACAAGTTCTCCATCTCTTGGACGATGCTAACAAACATAGACCCGACCATCTCCCAAAGATCCGTCGAGCTCTTCTACAGGCTGACCAGTCTCCCGCAAGTAACAATTGGTGCCATCAACGGTGTAGCCCGCTGAGCCGGAAACGAATTCCTTCTCTCCCTCGATATGCGATTTGCCATAAAATCGCACTCACGTTTTGGACAGCCCGATATCGCCACGGGCTACCTCCCTGGTGGCGGAGCGCCCCAGTAGCCTCCGCGGCTGATCGGTCGTGGAAAAGCAATGGAATACATTCTCACTGGCAAGAACATTCTGGCAGAGGATGCTGAGCGCATGGGCTGGATCAACAAGGCTTTGCACAGCGAGCGCGAGATGGATGCATATATTGACGATATGCTAGAGGTTTTGACACTTTATTCTACTAGGGCCATTGGGCTGAATAAGAACGCTATCAATGTGGCAAGTAGACCGCCGATCGCGAACACTCTAGCCGACTCCAATGCGTTCTCGGAGACTGCGTGACGACCAGAAACACAGCAACTCTTAGGAGGTTTCCTGGAAGTAACGCAAAATCTCTCGGCTACTGATGTTGAGCTGTACTTGGGTGAGAGCGTACCTTTGCTATATAAGGTAAGTGCGTCCTGAGAAGCTCGACAGGCGGAGGATTAGCATTACATGTGGAAGGATATAGTGGTAGGCCGTCGTTCACTTCCGGATGTGTGTTGTTCTTCATGCAGTGGGTCGATAAGTCATGTATTGTAGCAGCGCACGGAAGCTAACCAATGTAGCTCGTCAAGTGCGCACCAAATCCTTGTCGTGCTTATCAGGCTCTAATAGCGTCCGCCAACGGCTGAAACCAAGTGTCGGCCAGCTTCTTGTTGCCTGCATCATTTGGGTGAACACCATCGCCAGTCATTGTGTTAGTGTTGAATCCAGTCCATGCATCCACAACTGTTATAGGGCTGTTCGTAGTCGTCATACTTGCTGCCCACGTCTGGATCACGTTGTTCAGAGCTACGACGCGTGGCCCACATTCGGCGCAGTTGGACGGATTCATTGGGATGATCTTCGCGGCGAGGATTTTCATGGTAGGTTTCGAAGCGCGCATTTGGTCTACGAGCTTGCTGAATGCGGTGGTGATTTCTTGGGGCGAGCGGTTGCTCCAAACGTCGTTCGTACCGAGATGCATCATGACGATGTCGGGCTTAGTAGATGAAAGCCAACCCGGTAGTTGGTTCTGGTTCGCAATGTTTACCGCTAGAAAACCACCCTGTAACTGTAAGCCAATCGTCGCACAAAGAAGGAATTAGAATCTTACATGTCCCTCGTTCTCGCCATCGTATTGGAAGCCACAGCCCTGGCCAGCCAACGTGCCTACAAAGTCGGTGTTCTTGATGCCGGCTTGTTGAAGCTTCTGCCAAAGATAAGCCCGCCAACAGCCCTAGACTACTGTCAATAACGAGCTGATATGGTCGAAAACCGAATACATACTGGGCTACCGGTGATGGAGTCACCAAGAGCCATGATTCGCACCGTAGATTGGCGACTTGCAAGTTCCGTTGGAGCTGCCACCACTATGGCTGTCACGGAGAGCACAGCCAGGACGGTTGAGGTGAAAGTGATGTGCATGGCTGCTGAATTGTAGGCTAAGTAATTTCCTTCGAGTGAAGAATAGTGCGTATCCTGAATTACAATGTCGCACATCGCATAGTGCGACTTATGTAGGTTCCATGGTGTATATTCTGTGTGTACGGGAGGATGTAGTTTAATCTATTACAAGACTGAGTTGTTCCGTCCAGATGAGGGGGCTCACAAAAGCGCTTGGAAATGGCCAGTGCCCTCTGCGACGATGCTCAAGTTATCTTGTCACGGGGTCTGGTCGTTATTGTGGACAGAGCCCCAAGAGCAGCGATTCATCTATACATGACGCGCCCCGCAATGCGACAATCTACACTTTCCTTGTGAATCCAACGGTTAGCTTTCTTGTGCTTAAGTAGTTGCCCATTAGACTCAGTATAGGTCGCTGTTTCGTTGCATCTTTCTGCATGCGTTCGGTGGCTAGACACACGAGGGCAAGTGTCATTTGTAAAGCAATAAATGCGGCTCTCCCAAGTCCGTGCCCATAGTGGTTAGCTACTTTACTTTCTGGTTGCAGGATAGCCAGTGCGGACAGGCTCACTATAGGTCGTACAAAGCTCTCTCTTTCCTCGCATTAGAAGCCTGAGTTTGCTGTTCGAGGTCGGCGCACGAAATCCACATTGGAAGTGACGCGAAGGCAGGCAAAGGTGCTAGTGTGGCCAACTACTCCAAGCCCGTCTGGGTCAACACCTGCAAGACTATATGTTAGAGCGAATGATGAAGATCGATGCGCTTCTGATTGCGCGGCTTTTGGTTCTGATGAAGTCGAGGTTCGAGAAGTGCGGGACGAGGAAAAGGGAGATGGGATGCGGCAGCTCGGGGAGATTCGAGACCCGAGAACGGGGGCCCGCAACTCCCCGCCCGCTGCACGGAATCGATTACTAGGGAACCCAACGAACCCATGTCAACAACCCACAGGTTGCCGCGCGTTCTGATCGCAATATGACAAACTTTGGTATACCTGATGTTTGTTGTCAAGACGTGATACCCCTAGAATTGCAACCGCACACAGCTCTACCAGACCTTCATTGGATAGCAGCTTGTTTGCACTTTCATCGCAGTAATGCGATAGAAGGTTCTCAGCCACACGGAGTAACTCATACACATTGCAGACTCTTGATCAGGGCGCATTGATTCCCAAACACATCCAGTCGTAGGATTGTGCTGGCAACTTCTCTGCACCACATTCGAAGGCATCACGAAAGCTATCGGGCTTGGACGAAAACTGTATTATCAGAATTTTTGGACAGATAGAGCGAATGTAGGGCATTAGCATGACTGCAAAGTTCAGCACTTGCGCATATGAATCACACAGAATCGCTTTGTACCCGACGTGTGTGTCTGGTAATACCACGTCGCTACACACATCTAGTTACGGTGTACTCAGCCCCTCAACCAGCTATGCGTCGACGTCTGTGCCTTCCAGATACATTCCAGTGATGCAGATCGCAATGTTAGAACATGTTGGACGATACGCGATACGCGCAGAATAGAGTTTAGCTAACGAGGCGAAGGTTTGACATAGGCGACGCGGATAGAAGCTTCGACAATATTCGCAGAACGCTTAACGCTTCGACCTAAATTGTCGTACGACAGCACGGAAGATCTGCAATCTAATCGTGTTTGAACCTGAACCTTGCGGAGGCTTATGCAAGCAGCTCGAAGGATCATCTGTAGTGAGTAATGATGGCCTTCTAAAGCAGTCTTCGACTTGATTGGAACTGTAGGTCTATTGATACATCGATAGGTGATCTCAGCATCCCGCTACGGAACTGCATGCGAATCTTGAAAGAGTCCCGTGGTCTGGAAGTTGGATAAATCGTTTCCTTGACAGTCGGTCGGCAAGGCTGTATCTGAACTGAGGTAATAGGTTTGTAAGCCAAGTTCGTCCCGCTACGACAGTCACTGGCAAGACTAAGCCGGAAGATACTGACACATGAGCATATTCACTCAGTCTATGCCGAGATAGTGTCGTGCGGCCATTTGGAGCCTATCTTGCTGCACCAATCGCGTCACCAATATCGTTATTTCCATGTGAGTTAAGTTGTCTCAGCATTGAGGCACGACATACCCAGTGCTGTGGTTCCCCAGATTCTCCGGTCCTTCTCTACCTAGGTATGCAGATCCCCGATCTTAGCGCAAAGAGGCTCTGATGCACCTTGACGTAGAATGCTGAATTCATCAGGCGTTTTGTGTACTAGAAAGTAAGGCGCGGCTGGTGCGGAGTAAAGTCCGCTGAGATGCGAGTGAACCGGCGACCCGTTCCGCGGCAGTATCGGACCTTCTCTTGACATGACTTGCGTGTCCGCAGATCCGAGGACCCAAAATTCAGTGACAGCGAGTCGTGAAAACCGCAATGTGAGCCGATTGACAGTCGGGCCGCAGCTGGAGAACAAGCTCGAAAGAGGCGAGCGAGCGATAGACGTCGGGATGTTGGGGTGTGATCTACGATCTCATCGTCCTTTAGCACCACTAATAATGTTGCATAGATGATGGCCTCATGGAACGCCGTAACAGGTGCCTTGACCTCAAATGGCGGCGGCTGGTCATGTTTGACGAGCGTTATTGTTGAGGGTTAATGCTTTACCACTTCGGGTAGGTTTCGTCTGATTGGCCAGCGTGAAGATACGTACCTCGGTACACATTTGCACAGCCAGAGACGGGTCGTTCTTAGGCTGATATTGTGGGTATTTTCAGGATGTCTCCTTTGCAAGCCTTCCGCCGGGTGGCGTTCCTTTCGCCTACGCGATGACGGTTAATAGTGTGTGGCGTTCAGGTCTGCCATACAGGAGACACCGGACTTCGAAAACATGAACGAGTGGTGGAAACACGAAGAGAGCTATCTCATGCACCGGTATGACCCTGTGTCAGAGTCCTGGGAAGCCAAGACGGAAGTCCTTGCATAGCAGCACGACGCAACCCCACCGTGCGGTTTACGGTAGAATGCGTGGGTCAGGGATTCAGGACAAACGGCCAAAGTGTACGCGCAGCTGGAGGTATTGAAGAAACATGGTAGATTTTACGTAGAGATCCTCATTGAAACCAAAAAGAAAGATACTCTTCAAGACTGACTGTTGCCGGACGACCACTGCGAATCTTTGCGTTCTGAGACCAAATCTTTCTGGCTCTCGCTGTCACTGATCCGCGAGCTCTGCTCAAAATGCTGTTCGAACTGTCGCGAGACATAAATGTTTTTCCCAAACATGCCCCCTCCATCGGCACCTATCTCGTAAGGTGTCGTGCTACCTGGCCGGCCCAGTGCCAGTTCAAAGTCTTCGTCAGTGTGTCTTGCAGTGCTCCTGATACCATGGACGCTCCGATGTTTGGTGGCACTGCTGCCAATGGTGCCAGTTCCGTATCCATTTCCGTATGATCGGCCGGATTGGACGGTGGAAGAAAAGCCGGGGATGATCCTGACAACCAGTGGCTTGAGCGCGGGAAGCGATGCGCATACGATAGCTAGGTTCATTTCGATTGCGGACCAGTAGGCTGTCGGTGCGCTGTAATATGTGTTGTCCTCTGGGTGGTCGACAAGCACAATGAGAGCGTGTAGGCGTAAAATCGACACGACGCAGACGAACCAACCGATGGTAAGGATGGCCATAAGCGCGACCCTTTGGCGCAATGCGATCTGGAGAGTCCAGATGACACGAACGGGAAGGAAGGCCACGATGAGGTCGGTGAAGATGTTGATGCTGGCATTCACATACCAAATCGTCTTGTTGTCGATACATTTCGCTCCGGGCTGCTCCAATATCTTCCAGTAGGCATGGACAGGGACACATGTGAAGATGGAAGTGAAGAGCGTAGTAACACCCCAAGCTACGCAGACGGCCATGACGATGTGGAGTGGTATGCGCATTTCTCGCAGAGTAAAGATCCGGCCGTACTGTAGAAGGATGGATATCTTCGTGAACATAAGGCTGGTGTTGTAGAAGATGATACTCCAGAACAGGTACTACTTGACGTTAGATCTGAAGCGCATATGGATAGTAGATGCTCACGATCAGAATCTTCTCAACTCCACCTGGAAACTCGATGAAGACTGCATGCTTGCCGTTGCCAGCGTCCGCCTCTGGACTGTGTTAACATTCGATTCGTCGCGAGCGCAGCGTGCGTCTTACGCATGACTTGGAGCACGCCAGTAGCAATAGCCAGAGCCATAGAGACGACAATGGTGTAGTCCTCCCATCCTAATGATCTTCCCAAGAATCGGAGCCGAGTGATGATACGCAGGGCGACACAAATTCCCGCTATACATGTAAAAGCAACAACGATAGATTTGGTGAGCGGACCCCGATCTTCCTTGGCCAAGGCAGCCAACTGTTCCGGTGGAATTGGATCCATGGTAGTTATGAAGACAAGGCAAAGACGATGGAACGCACGTAACTTGTCAATGTGTGAGACAGGTGCGATGGGTTCACCATGGACCCTCCTTTAGATATGTATCCGCAGGCACCCGTCTGTGGAGGAGTACATATGCCAGGCCTTGCGCCCAAAGGTACCTGACCTACGAGTGCCGCACGGGCTAGTGCGCCAGTTTACACAAGACTGGGATGCCAGGTTGTTTAGGGAGGTATCCGAAACTCAAAATCCGACGATGGATCAGACCCTGGGGAGCGAGCGCAGGGGAGATCTGGGGAGACGGCATACCTAACGGAAAAGCTAGACCTAGAGGACGGCAAGGACTCGAATCTAAGCCAATGAGACTATGCACTCCTGCCCAGACGCGTCAATGCTTCAAATTCGAGGGGTACATCTCCCAAGCGAACGGCTGCAGTGGCAGGCATAGTCCTGTACACTCGGCCTACCGAGAGTGATCAGACGGCATGCAACATACGGAATTCACTTGCATAATGCACAGCGTGTGTTTCCCATGGTCTGTGGCGATCCTTGTTGTCGACATGGTGAACGTTGTCGAAACCAGGGATCAGTCCGTCGGTTTACCGGGCGAAGATCATGCAGATGCTCGACGAATGAGCTTCCACGTGGCGCATCCTATATTGCGCAACTGCAAGAAGATATCCTGGGTGAACACATTGCGCTCACTACTGAAGGAACGGTGGGTATCACAGCGATCGATTGACTCCTTGGCGTGCAGCCGTTCGTAAGCATATACCCGTGAAGTCGTTCTGCTACATTGTGAATTTGGAGCCTCAGGAAGCTGTGGCTGAAATGCATCTTTGGCTGAGCTTTTCGCATTCAGTACCGTCGATCGACGATGTGCATTGAATTTGCGTGTCTATGGCCGACATGGCCGTCACATGCTGAGAATTGCAGTATGAAAATCGAGTAGGGTACCGCTTGAACTTGATCGCGGCATGTAGTGGTGCCACCAAATACCGGCTAATTCGTGTAGTATAATCTGTCCGCAGTTTTAGTGCAGCGCTAGAGGAAATAATGGCGAGTTATTGATGCCCAGAAGCATCCCTGCCAATCGGACGGCAAACTCTATTGTATTTGGCTGCCTTATAGCTTACCAACCTCCAGCTTGCGCTCTGGTCCGCCGTTCAAGAGAGGCCTTGCAAATTGTTGAACGGATGTATACCTACATATGTGGCATGACGCTGCCGATCCGGGTCGCCTCCGTCCATCGTCTGCCAAGGCTCCCAAGATCTCACTGAACCTCCCCGTGAGGTAGAAGTCCGAGTAAACGACAAAGCCGCCACACTACGGGTTGGCATACCCGAGGTCGTCTCAACAAGCACGGAGGACTTTGCGGCTTAGGCTGCAGTATTGTGTGTCGCAAGCACCGCACGAAACCGTAAAAGGGACGTGGCTGAGGTTGCTGCGCTTTCCCTCTAACATGCGGTCAAACATCGAACACTGCGGAAGAATGAGGAAGTCTGAGATCCCAAACCACGCGACGTTCGCGTTGAGGAAGTCTTCCCGGAGGATTATATGTGAGGTAAGGTCCGTTTCAAATTCGACTGATGCCCCAGGAACCATGGCCAATGCAGAAGCTGTGCTGCTGCGAGCATAATGCGGGACGAAATGAGAATCCTGCTGCTGCACGCCTTTGACAGGGTCGGTTAGAAAGTTTGCGCTAAGTCAGTGATGCATTCCATCCAACTCTGTGAATACCAGCTCCTGGTGTAGGTTGCGAGCTCTATTTGGCAAGCATTGAACTTCGTAGTGATGCGTCATGATCTTGTTGCATAGAGTACATTGAATCGAGTCGGTGCCTGGAAGGGAGACAATCCGGGAACTTCGGGAACATCTTGTGAAACGCGATCTTGCCCCAGCCGGAACGGAGCGTTCGTGCACGGTGTTCATCTTGGCACACTAGACCCGTCCCATACCGTAAAGCTCGTATACTCGTTTCGTACGAGCTGAGCTGTCCGCGAACATGATGAGTTGGCGCATTAAACTACATCTCTCTGCTCGCCCCGTAGAGCTCTGAACTATCGCATAGATGCAGGACTGCTGCGAGTGTCTCCTGTTGTCACGTCGGCTAAAACGCCGTCGAGAGATCCCTCGCCTTCACCCCGCTGGAGCACACACACCCGGCATCGTTAGGTCACAAGCATCATAAAGTATGCATCATCAGGACTGTCATGAATCTAACACGAAGACGCGCACGCCGTTGGTCCGACATCTGGCAGCTTTGCGGCCGGGAATTCCCAGGTAAGCGAAAATGGCGTCAGAAACCCTGCAGGAAGCTGATCTGACCGAAGCATAGTCCTCACACAAGCTAGTGAGTCTTCTCGGCGGATCTGCGAAGTGTCTCTTATTGCGACGTGTGAATGCGCAAACATTTGACACCAGGTACGCGGCGCGTGGCCCTGGATGACCTCTCGAAGCTTCAGGGCTATACCCCGCGGGCCGCGGGAAATCGGGAACGATCAACGGCCCCTGATCTACAATCACTACCTCAAAAGCTTCGAACCGACATATCACATCGCATCAGCACACCATCTCAAGAGTTTGTAGGTGTTGTTGCAGTGCGCAGGAAGGTTGAGTCGCTGGTGCTGCCCATTGGCGCTCACGTCTTCACTCTTTCAGTGGCGATGCGTCCCAGTCACAATCCAATATTCAACGACGACATCGCTCGCATTGTAACACAGAGCGGATACTTGGAAGTCGAGATTCTTGTAGTAGGTGTTTGGCAATCCTTACTTGCGCATGCCAAGGCCTTCGCTGAGCATCTGGAGATAGTTCATCCTTCCTACGCCTCTGAGACCCCTATGACCGCAAGGCCAATGGCTTCAGCCTCTCAACCAGCCTCCAAACTCTAGAAGCCGGTTACCCGGCTATCGGTACGCTGCATAGATTCGGGCCTCCCTGCTGATCTGTCATGGAAACTAGAACGAAAAAGCAATCCATGCATAGCGCTTGTCGGACAAAACTCCGTGGCTATGGACGGAGATGATTAATCATTTGGCGACACTACTTCTTCGTATCGAGTGCATACTTGGTGATTGAAGGCGAAGTTCAAACTCTCTGTTAACGATCAGCGTAAAGGTATACGATTAGTATACAGATGATGTGGTGGTGTAAAGGTTGCCACCAAAGATCGTCCAGTGGCACCGCGATAACACAGACAATAAGCTAGCGACCATACAATGATGTCAAATCTTCGCATATGGATGATGCAAGTCAGGTCGCGGAGATGCAGTCACCGCGAATAGCATATGATCCGCAGGACCTACTATTCAGCTGACTAACGACATTCCACATCTAAACATCGAGTTACTTCAAGCCGAGGTTGCTTTGAACAGCTTGACATGTGTTCGCGTCTTTGCGGGGAGGTAGCGGTGCTAGTCACTTCTCAAGATTCAAGGGCAAAGCGTTGACATGAACGCGCAACTCTAAAGTCTCTCTCGTGAGACACAGACGTACCTCTTCGCACTTTGAGGTAAGATATTTTTCATCGAGAGAAAAAATCAATTCATGGTACGGAAAGCAGATGTTCTCCATGGTCTGAAGACTTAAAGGCAGAATACTACCTAGGTACAAAACAAAAAAGTCAAACCGACCCAGGAGAGCAGCCAGAATATGAAGGTCGATGACTAGTAGACTATTCGCGTTGGTTGACCAAGGATATCATCTTTTTCTCCAATTTCGTCAACAGAGCTATCACACTGATACTACATCAGGGCATGAATGCGATAACTGTTGCGATGCATCACCTTGGTAACATGCAGACCCGAAGCGACATGTTGCTGTCCTTGATGTGTCTACATTATAGAAACTCTGGCAAGGGCAGAGGGCAGACTCAGATATACTAACCAGTATTGATTACCCCGATACGTTGTACACGTCGTTCGTACTTGGGCATTGAATTTGCTTATACTGGTAGATTGAATGGCTTACTGCCCTGATTTGGCGACGACATAGTTGTCAAACTCACTCAGGTACTCGCGTGTTTGCGAATAACGGTCGTTCTTGATCAACAAAGCTTCGGAAATGCCACTATGCTCTGCACCTCCTGAGATACAATAAGCTACTGTCTCTGCATAGGTCCTTCCCATCCTAAACCGTAGGTGCACAATGTAATCGCTGAGTAGCATCTTTCTAAAAGACACTAAATCAATGTCGACTCTATCCTCTCTCTTGACAAGTCTCGCAGCTGGACACCATAACCCCAGCTCCAGCAAAATGATGCCAAGACTGTACACATCGTACTCACGTCAATAACGTGCAGTTGTATCAGCAACTGGATGGGTAGATTTTTGCATCCTGTCAAGGTCAGGGTGCGTGTAGACACGCCGCTCATAAGTCAAGTGGCTTGCAAGGGTGCGGCTAGGAAGTGTCTCGGTCAACTCCGTCGGACTCTCAACTCGTGAGAAGTTAAATGAGTAAAGATAAGGCTTCCCAAGAACGTGTTCATCATCCCCGCCGATGGCGTTGAAGAAGGGGATGTTCTCGGCGCAGATGTTCTTGTGAAGACAGCGCACTGAGAGAAGGGAGTACAGGGTCTTGGCAAGCAACCGAGCGGTGGTGTAACGATCGATCCTCGAGATCACGCCTTATCTTCGATTTCATATCAAATTTCAAGATCTCCAGGAGAGAATTCGGAGCTTGGATAACACCTTTCGGAAAGGCAAGCACCATGCCAAATCTTTTCGTCGTTTCGTCGTGGAAGTAGCCTAGGCACTGCAAGAGCTGGAAGTGCGCTAATGTTGACGATTGTTGCAGCCGTATCGCAAGCGCGTGGACTCTCGATCTGAGATATTGGTACCTATCTGTGTCGATGCTCCGTGAATAGTACCTCCATTCAATTCGAACAGGATCGCCCTTGTACTTCCCATAAACTGCACGAAAATCTCCGGATTCACCTCCTTGTGGAATTTCGAGGTCTGAGATAGTCAAGCGAAGAAGGTTCCAGGCCCACTGTTTTGGTATTTTCGCTCCATCCTCGTCAAGGTTACGTTCTGCCAATTGCGCCAAAGAGTAGACGTTGTTCATCGCTGCTGGTGGCGAGTTCAGCCCAGCTTGTGGTCATGACGATGGCAGTGAGTTGTCGTTCGAATCTATTAGGGTCAATCTCCTGTACTATGTTTTGGAGATTATCATTAATCTGCCGAAACATCGTAACGAGCTCATCGAACTTCTCTTTGTCACGTCCAGCCCACCGCAATCTCCTGATCCATTCCAAGTCAGAAGCGTCCTTAACTCTCCGTTCTCCCAACATTGCCAGACTTTCCAGCTCATGCGAGGCCCACGATCGGTCTGGTGTAAGTGTAGCTCGCAATTGATGGAGATAGTCAGGTTCCTGGGGATTGGTGTATCTCCGAACAAGAGGTTGTGATGCCACAAACTTTTCGTGCAAGCTTTGGATAAATCGATGGTAGTATTTAGTATAAAGTAGCTAGATAGTAAGTAAGTTAGTACTATTGATAGTATATTTCTTTTTCTTGTAGACTTTATTACAAAGCTAGACTTTAGTATTACTCAAAGCTATTTTTCACTTTTATTATAGTAAAGCTATATTTTAGAGTAACTAAGCCATTATTAAATTATAAAGTTATAATCAATACTAAATATATAATAGCTATAGAGGATAAAATATATATTTTAGTAGTAAACTAAAAACAAACTACTACTAAGTTATAATAGTATACTATAGGAGCATTATGGTTTGGAGCCAAATTGACCATCGACAACTGTGCAAACAAGGACCGGCTATGGTATATCACCTTCATACTCGAGAAGATGGGTGGTGGAGCTATAGCTGCCTTTATATTCCTCCTACGGTGGATGAGCGATTGGGTGCCTCCATTGGGTATCGATTGGGGAATATATCTGGTCCTGCTCCTCCCGACAGTAACCTGGGTTCTTTTACTCATCTACATAACAGTGGGCTGTGCAGAAGGTGCCTAGGTCTCACTGGACGGGCTGCTCATCTCAGATACGATGGTCTTTGTTATCTTTATTATCCTTGCGGTTATCGTTCTGCTCAATCAGGCGTTCTTTCTGAGGTTTATAACGTGGGGAGTTTCGTTTCTTGCAAGGTACTTTCATGGGGGCTGCGGGTGGCGAACGGTCATACGGTTATTGAGATGGGGCTGCGTTAGCTCGATCAAAGAATGGAACTGGACTGAGAGAATAGAGCGCTTCATCGAGAACATGAGACAGATTTGGAGTCGACCTTGTGATGATCAGATCGTTCTTTAGGAACGGAGACCTTCTCATCGGTATGTAAAGTCATCGTAATAGAGACCGCAGGCTTACCAGATAGATCCCAATGGTCCAGTTGGCGCATTCTGGGACCTTTCCGGGACAGACAGATCCAACTAAATGATACAGTCGACGAGCCCTACCCAACAGATCCTGAAGAAGGCTCTTCTCCAGAGGAGCACACAGACTACGCTTCACACAGACGTCGAGGACGAAGATGGGGTCTCAAAACGACCGAATTCATCAAATGTCAGATCTGGCCAGCTGTAATGTTTCCCATCACCATGGCTGCGGAAGCTATTATTGACGTGGCGAATTGGAGCCGGCGCCGCGAGTTGCAACGTATGCAAGGACGGATTGCGCTATCTTAGGATAAGCACCAGATCATGATATCTCGATTGATATTAAGCCAGTCCATATCAGAAGAACGTCGGTCACTACTGTGAATATATGCATCGGTCCACAACGTATGAGGTCTCAGCTAAGATGATAGCCAAAGTTTCCATGTGGCGAGTCCGGTTAGAATAGTCATGGCAGGCGCCGTTGTAGAACGACATAAGAAGATACTCACGACGACGTATCCGAGCTGTTCACATCGTGCTGCCTACTGCAGATCTTCAATACCCACCACCTCCCGACAGCCGCTTACACCCTACTAACCTTCCCAACGATCCATCCCTCAGCATACCTCTTCCCAGCTCCCGCCTCCGGAATCTCAATCGTGATGCTCTTTCCCACATCACCCCCCTCATCCTCAGCCATGACAGCATCTTTGATCCCCTTGACCGCCAAGCCAAGACTAACGCAGCTCGCCAACAGACTCTTGACCTCTTCGTTCCAACTAGCCTCCACGCCCTTCGCTTTTGCCGCCTCAGCCCCCAGTTTTTTATATTCTGTGAACGCCGCCTTCGCCGCTTTGAGATGTGTGTCTACCTCCTGCCAAAGAATCGAGCCCTCGTCCCTCACATCTCTGACAAAGCCCTCAGGCGGTGGATCCGCCAATGACGGCGGCGGGCCATACGGCTGGCTGTGTGCTTGGAAATCTTCAAAAGGCGGTGCTTCGGGTGGTGAGAGAGCGAGAAAAGGTTTCATGCGGACTTCGTAACGGAGTTTGTCCGTGGAAAAAGGGGAAGAGCGGCGCGGCATGGGCAACTTGCCCAGATAGAAAGCGATGATGTAGAAACGTGCCATGGCAAGTGCAAGCTCTGCGGTTCCCTCGGCGCCAGCGAGGAGAGAAGCGAGGAAAGGTTGCGCGTCTTCGACGTCTTGTACTTCTCTGAACTGTCTCTCCTTGAGCAAGGATGACGATAGGACGATGTAGTGTGCTTCGACTCTCCTCAACAACTCCTTCCTTCTTGTCGCAATGAGGCCAAGGAAGAGATACATGCCGGCGTACTCGTCGGGGAGGTATATATCCTGTTCGAAACCGAGCAGGATGACTTTTTCCACCATCCAAAGCTTCTTGTGGTACACCCACGTGCTCAGCCCAAACTCCATGACCTGGCTCCCCACATCAGCACCGACTTGTGCGGCCGCGGTGGAAATGTCCACGTCGATGGAACTAGCATCTGCTTGCAGTAGATCCCACCCCGTGATGACATGTGTCAACATGCGTCTTACCCGACATCTATTCTGGCTTAAGGCAACCCACAGATCAAGATACGCTTGTCCCGTCCTCTCCACAAATTCGTCAATGAGCATTGCAAACATCAGTTTGGGTGGCTTGGGCAGTAGCGCATTCCGCGGCGGAGACAAAGTCCAGTTCATCGGATCCAGGACTGGACTCGCTGCCAGCACAAAACTCTTCACATCCGCTAGTGGCAGGGAGACGGACGTTTCCAGCACCTCTGGATGGAACAGCAGCGTGGCCAGATACGATCTAGAGTATGCCAGAGGTGGCGGCGAGCGGGAGGAGTAGTGCCAGAGGAACGCTTGGTATTCCAGCGGGTCCTGGGGTAACAAGGGAAAGCGCGTGCTTTCGTGGCAATCGGTGGCAAGTTGCTTCAGCTTGTCCGCAGCGTCTGAAAAGGACAAGTCTACAATCGGTCGTGGAGGTACCGTGGAAGCGAGTCGACGTTGCATCTTTGGACTAAACGCTCCAGGCACCATTTTCCCCAGCTGATGCGTACTCTTCAGTCGATCAATGCCTTCAAGCACCGGGGGCCAGGAATAACATGTCTGATCCAGGGGCAGATCCAGGTCGAGGGCGCGTAGAAGATATTTGCGCAATTCGAGGCGCGAGATGATGGCTTGGCGGAGAGCGTCGTTGATGTCGACAAGGTCGGCGTCTGCGACTGTGTCGATAGCCGCATCGAGTTCGCGGAGGAAGACATTCATCGGCATGTTCACAAACAGTACCCGGTTGTATGTATGCGTGCAAAAGTCCTCCTCCTCAAAGTAGTCCCTTGCCGTTATCTTCGAAATCACGAAATCACATCCTTTGATCACCGCTAGACAATACGCTCGAAGTATCTCTAACAACGGGCCAGGCCGTCTCTCCTCGGGCATGTCTCCACGGAAAAACTGCGCTTGAGAGAGGATCTTGGTCTCGGGCCAGAGTAGCTTGTCAATGTAGACGGATGTGAAGAGGGTTTGGGAGAGAGGGTAGCCCGTGTGCCAGGCCATTTCGTAGCAGAGTAGTTGGTCCATGATGCCTATTAATTCCTCGGGAAGGAGAGGGGTAAGTGTATCATAGTCATCTTCTAGAGTCTCGCCTGGGGCGAGGAAGCCCGAATCCATTTTAGGGTCCATGATCTATTGGGCACATGTGAGTATAATATTCCAGGAAAGAAGAGGAATGGTGGGTGCAAGGGCGGCGTTTGCAAGAACGTACTTCGATAGCCCCAATGGATTCAAAAAGCGTAAAATATTCATCTTTGACGAGTTGACCGACCTCGAGAGCTGTGAGAGTTTTTCTAAGTTAGCCACGTTCAACTTTTCATCTCGAGATGATGATGATGGTGGGTAGGAAACGACATGACGATGCTCGTAAGGTAGCCCCGCCATGCCCCTCCTCCACCCATCACCATCAACCTTTTGGTCGTACGCATACCATTACAAGCCCTCGTGAACTTTTCCGTCACGTCGTGAATCTTTGGCGGCGCCCCTCCCACATGCTGTCTTGATTGTCTCAAGGGTAAGTTAGCAGAAGTAGCCGGCTGGATAGTAGGCGCAGACTCTTGCGCAGTATGTGAGGGACCTGACTAATCATCAACATCCATGATATTCTTTATCATTTATCAAGGATAAGGGGATAAAAGGGAGGATTACCAGCACCATCTACTTCGTAACCCGCGTCTGGAGCGGGGGCTGTGCTGTTGTGGCTGCTAGGTGCATCTGCCATGGTTGTGGTGGAGTTCGCGGGCTGCCGATGCGGGCAAAGATTTGTGACAGGCCAGTAGTACATGCGCGTTCCATGTCAGGCTCACGCAACGGACGATACTCCAAGTCACGACAAGCGATATCACACGTATATTACAAAGCGCATGAGATTTTTGAGAGAAAGAAAGTGAATGTCAGCTCAATTGGTGTTGTACATTGGCTTTAATTCCCCTTTCGAGCCTTGGTGGCACATGGCATGCATCCATCAGCTCTCGTCAACTTGTCCATTCCATGGCCTGCCCCGATGCCATCATCTCCATAGCCAGCTGCAACTACATGTCCTCTGTCCGTCGCATCGTTTACGAGGTCTTGGCAGCATCAGCCTGGGCCTGGAGAGCCGCAGCGTTGAGGTCCTTCATCTCGCCCTGCTTGCCGTTCTGTCCATGTCATTAGCCCAACGTCCATGATTTGTACGCCCCTGGCCCTAGGAAACAATCTCCCAACTCCCCAATTGCCCTCCCCCCATCTTCTCATCCGCCCGATCTCCATGCTCCCCCGCCGCTTGTGCCGTGTCGTATGCAGTGTAGACTCACCTCCCACTTGGCGAATCGGAGTTCGCTCTCGCCCCTGCGCTCAGCAGCAATGCGCTTGTCCTCCTTGAGCGAGCGGCGCACGACGCGTGATGCGACGGCAATGTAGCGGTTGTAGCTATTTGGGTTGTCAGTCGTTTGGTCCTCGCTATCCAATTGCTCCAGCAGGGTCTGTGGGCGATTGTGGAGGGGCGGATGCGTACGTGAGACCGGCGGCTTTCCACGCGAATGCCATTGTGATGGTAGGTTCGTTGGGGTTTCGTGGGTGGGTGTGGGCGGGTGAGGTGCGGTGGTGAGGTGCAAGTGCTGAGCTCCGGCGAGATTTCGCGCATGCCGGGCGGAGCTCGAGGTCACGTGCAGAACGGGCTTGGAGGTAAACTGGACGCTGGGGCGCCATCTCTCTAGCATGTCAAAACAGTTGTGTAGAAAGCTGCTCTTGGACGTCATCTGAAGTCATGTTCATTATTTTCATAGCCAGACGGCTACATCGTGATCTACAGTGGTCATCTGTGTAGCTACAGTAAAGTCGAGCCTGCTGCCACACTGCACTACTCCTCCATAGCTTCTCCACCCTCGGCCTCGTCCCCGCCCTCCCTATTCTCAAACGTAGCATCCAACCACTCGGCAATATCCTGGCCTTCATGGTGTACAAAGTCCTCGCCGACGCCACTGATGCCGACGCTGGTGTTGTCGACAGTCAACTCCTTGTCCTGCGATAGCGACTCCTTCAGTGCTCTCAGTGCATGCTTGATCAGCTCCTCCCGGCTAGCGTTCTCAAAGTCGTCCAGATGCCTCTCGAGGTATGTCCTCGCCATTTGACTCCTAGCGCCGATACCACATGCGACCATCTCCTGTGTGACACCGCTGGGCTGGAACTCGAACAGATGCGGGCCCTTTGCGTCGACGCCGGCAATGAGCAGGCCCACGCCGTAGGGTCTCCGGCCGTACTGCTGCGTGTTGGTCTGGGCACGGTCTGCGATGCGGGAGGTGATCTCGGAGAGGGGGATGGCGCGGTCGTAGGTGAGGCGGGATGCGAGGGATTGTTGCTTCATGAAGTTGGAGAGAACACGGGCGTCGGAGGCGAGTCCGGCGAGGGCGACACCAAAGTGGGAATCTATCGCGATGATCTTCTTCTGGTATGAAGAGAGTTCCTCGGCATTTCGCTGTAGCATCGTTAGATGGTGTTTGTATGGCACGGCGGCTGGCCTAGTTACCTTGATTGCTGCGAGAACTGCGTGTGTCTTGCTGACAATGCCGACGACGACTGAACCCTGCTTGACCGCCTCTTGTGCGTATTCGACCTGGAAGATGCGGCCTTGTGGCGAGAAGGTGACCGAGTCGTTGTCGTAGTTGTTCCTAAACATGATGAAGGCGGGATTGTGGGGTCTGTGGTTGTGTAGTCTACAATGGTGGGATACCCTTTGAGGCTTTATTCAATCCCGCTGGATGTTATTTGCGAAAAAGAGGCTGTGTGGTCGCAGAGGCGAGGGGTGAATAATGTCGATGCGGTGTTGCAGCTGGAGGCACCGACCTGTTGACGACGATGAGCTCCAGAAGCTCCAATCTTGGCAAGGGCCTTAGCGCGTGCGACGCAACCTCACCTTCAGGCGTCTAAGAGCAAGACGCACCATCACAGCAACCTCGCATCTTCGCCGGACCGAGGATCCAACCAGGGACACGTCGGCGCAACCCCCGTGCACTATACAAACGCGACCTTTCTGCCTTACAACTCCACCATGGCCGGCATCAAGACCATCATAGGCCTGTCCTTTGTACGTCAGCCTGTCGCATACACGCGCCTCATCTTCACACTGGGATTGCGCTAACGGCCATGCTACTAGGTCCTGGCCATCGGCTTCCTCCTTGTCATTCTCTCCGCCGCGCTCTTCAAGAACTACCTCACGCTTCTCGTTGTCGCAACCTACGTGATCGCGCCCCTACCCAACTGGCTCTGTGGACGAGCAGCGAACCGCGATGACTTTATGGAGAGCACCGGCAACGGCGTCGTCGACTTTGGAAGGTTCCTGACGGGCTTCTTTGTCGTCATGGGTATTGGTGAGTACACTCAATCGGCACAGCGTGGAAACGCCATCTAACATGTCCGCAGCCCTTCCAACACTGCTGTGGCATTCGGCAGAAATCGCGGGCGGCGCGGCGGCCATGTCCATCTTTGGTGGTCTGTTGATATACGCAACCATCATCAGCTTTACGCTCTTCTTCCAGGAGCAAGAAGACTTCTGACTAGCCGGCGGAACCCAGCAATGAGGGGCCGCTTACAACTCTGTAAAGTGCGTGAGATGGAGGGATTCGATAGCAAAAGCTGGAAACCGGAAGGAACAGATTGGTGCTGCTTCATGTTTACCCTGTATCCATAGTCTGCTGAGCGTTTTTGTACAAGTAGATCAAACATAATGCATAGGACGCTTTAAGCTGTCCGTATGAGAACATCAACTCGAAATCGCTGAACAGCTGGATATAACACAACAAACTGCCCGTAGCGAACATCTTCCGTCTCCCGAATACTCGTACATGATTATGGCCATCTCATCCGTGCCTCCGGATATGCAATCGTGATGCGCATTCCTCTTCCCGTCGAATTTCCCTAGCCTGTTACTCCGCCAGCAATCTACAACGCCAGGTTGTAAGTATACTCGTCCTCCATGTTCTGCGCAACCCAAAGCACAGCAGAGCTACAACACGTTAGCCGTTATCCCGCGACCATCCAAGCACACCCCAGCATCATCGTGTACTCACCTCAGCATAATCAAGCCATTAGCAGCTACATTACCAGCCCCCAACCAAAGCGTCGGCCAGGTATGCCCCACAACAACAAACTTCATAACCATGACCACAACACTCCCCGCCAGTCCGCCGGCCAACAAGGCAAAGCCCAGGAACAAGACGAGCCTGGCCTTCCACGCCACCCCGTTGCCAGAGTACGAGAAGCTGTCGGCCGACAAGCGCGACTTGTCGATGCTGTTGATGACGAGCATGCCGAGAGCGCTGCAGATACCGGGGATCCAGTCGATGAAGGTGATGTGGACGGGGGGGTCGGAGCCGTTCATGGCGGACTTGGACCACGTGGATATGTCGATGAGGGTGTAGAAACCCATGGCGAACTGTGCAACATTGCAACGTCAGCTTCTTTCAGTCACAGACATGTTTGGGGGTGAGGCTGCGCACCAGGGCTCCTGCCATGTAGACGCCGGCTGTTCGCGTGTTTGCGCTGTTCATCCACGCGGGCTTTGGGAAGCGGAAGAGGCGATTCGAGTCCTCCATGTCGAACTCGGGGGCACGTATGCGACGGGTGTGTTGGGTGTTGATGAGTGTGAGCTATGCGAAGCTGGTGTTGGGGTTGCGCCTAAAGGTTCCACAAGGCTGCGCCTCGAGGTCCACACAAGGTCGCGCCAACTCTTTGGCGCTTGACGTTCCGCGTCCGTTCGGTCGGCATTAGCAGCTCCCCAAAACGCCGACATAATTTCTCAAAACGATTCCTCTTTGCTTGCGACACACCAACCTTTGCAACTTTTCGCCAATCTCACCACCCATCTTTTCGCATTCTCGCCAAAATGGCTGCCTCGAAACCCTCGATCAAGGGCAAAGGCTCAAAAGGGAAATCCGGCCCAGCCAAGTCCGGCGCCAACAAACCGAAATCGAAATCTTCAAAGCCTACCGGCAGCGCGCCCGAAGGAATCTCGAAGCGCAAGCAGAAATCCATGTCGCTGGCTAAGCCTGGTGGCGCGCAAAAGACCAAGAGCTTAGTGTCCAAAGACGGCAAGAAGAAAAAGAGGGTCTATTCAGAGAAGGAATTGGATATCCCGGCCTTGAATGGAATAATACCCGCGGGCATTGCGAAACCAAAGGGTGTCAAGAAGGGGAAAAAGTTTGTGGATGATCCGGCTAGCATGGTATGTACAAAGGAAAATTCACTTCCAAGCTTATGGGGATACTAATTACGACATGTTTGCGCAGATGGCCATCATGTCCGTCGTCAACGCCGAGAAAGAAGGGCACCTCGAGTCCAAGATTGCAAAAGCCCGCCAGCTAGAGGAAATACGCGAGGCCAAGCGGAAAGAGGCTGAGAGTAGGAAATCAGACAAAGACCAGGCGTTTGAGGAGAGGAAACAAGACCTCAAGAAGAAGAGGAAGAGGCATAGTGAGCCTGGCGCTGGCGCTGGCAGGGGTGACGAGAGAGAAGGAGATAAGATCAAGGAGAAGGACAGGAAGTTCAAGGTTAGGAAGAGGGTTAGCTTTGGCTGAGAGGAGGTAGCCTGCGCGTGTGTGGACGAAGCTGTCACAGGGTAGGTACAGATACGGACGCGGCACGTCCAGGCAGAGGCAGGAGCACGATGTGTGCGAACACGATGGGGTCGACGTCGAGGGATGAACAGCGCAAGAGCACATGTCGAAGCATAACAGCAAACTGTGCTCTTGGCGCAAGAACAAAAAAAGAGTGAGGTCTAAAGTGCTGTACAGGATCTACGCATATCTAAAAGTCTATGATACCCCCAAAACAAGTTTTCACAATCCAATGCAAAACTCTCCAAGGCTGCCTAATCTATCAATTTACGTCTAAGCATCAGGCAATATCAGCCTCCTGTGATTAGGATCAAAGATAGGATACTTCTTTCCCTCCAACCCTCCCATATTCACATCCTTTCCCCCATCAACACCCTTCGTAGCTTCAAAATCCACCTCGGCATGCATCTTCTGCAAGAAAGAAGCAGCAGCAGTCGCGAACCAGCGCCCGCCACCCAACTGGAAGGAGCCCAGGTGACCGCCCCAATCCGTCGTAACAAGCAGTGTGTTCGGGTTCTGCAACACCTCCTGGTACGGCAAGCCCGCTTTATTACTAATCGGATCATCTTCCGCGTTGATGCCCAGGAAAGGGATGCGAATAGCCAGTACCGCATCAACGGATTGCGAGTCCCGGTAATACGCGCCTTCGGTCGGGTAACCCCAAGTAGGACACTGGACATGTCGATCGAATTCGTGGAGGTATTTGGATGCTAGGAGAGCGGTCTCGTCGATTCCCGGGTTCTGCAGTATCTGGTCGCGGTGCCTCTTGAAGAGGCCCATGAGGTTCTTGCCCATGGTGCGCGAGTAGATGTGCAGGCCCAGGTACGTGGATTGCAGCGTCGTGTTGCAGACTTCTAGGTTCCAGGGATTCGAACACGAGACTGCTGCTTTGAGGGTGCAACTTGCGCCTTGCTCGCCGCAGTAGTTGGTTAGGATGTTGGCGCCTAGACTGAAGCCGATGGCGTATAGAGGCCGGTTGGGAAATAGATCGTGCAGCGTCGTGACGACCTGGCGTAGATCCCAGGTTGCGCGCGAGTTGAAGAGCTGCGGCGTGGTGATTTTGGATAGCGCGCAGCCGCGCCCGTTGACGACGCAGGCGGCCCAGGGTTGCGTCGAAGAGGCTAGCAGCGGGTAGAGGGTTTCGCGGAGGTAGACTTCGTGGGATCCGCCTGTCAGACCGTGGAGCGCTATTAGCATTGGCTTGTCGTCGTCACTGCTGATTCCTTGCCACTCTTTAGCGGTAAAGTTTGTCGTTCGTTCGGGCAGCTCGGTATCATCCTTGTCTTCTTTCATCCGTGAAGCAGATGCCTCACCCTCCTCCTTGCTGACGACAAAATCCACGGCAAAAGTTCCGGGATAGACAGAGTGGTTAGAGTCGAAGATTTGGCGCTTGTAGTAGATGGGTGGTCCTGGGTCTTTGACGGCTGTGTACATGGTCTGCAAGTGGCCGTTGAAGAGGAAAGGGTTGAGACGGCATGGTGGGATTGAGGATTTTGCGATTTCAGGCAAGGTGGTTTTTGAGCCGGATTTGGTTTCGAGGGGCGTTGGGGAGGAGTGGGATGTGTAGGTTGTTTTGCTGTAGCCTAGAAGCCACGACATTGTCAGGGCGAGGGGGTGGATACAGCCTGGTGAGGACCTGGTGTGCGGTTTGCAAGGTGGATGTCTGCGTTATAGGTCTGGAGGTACGGCCGTATGGAGAGTACAACTTGGCACCTAAGATATGTCTTTCGTCTTGTTCCTAGCTCTTTCACCGTTTCTGTCACTCAGTGATATCAATTGCCGATTGGCATCTGATACTGGGCGATCCAATTGCCTAAAGATGCTTCCGTTCAAACCGATTCCGAAGGAAAGGCAAAACTATTTCTCAGCGATAAACACATGCAAGACATGTGGTAGGAAAAGAACGGGGCCTCGGTCTGTCTACCCACTAGCCTGCATGTGGTAGTGTGCAAGCGCGCGTCTATCGGCCAATGGCGCTGAAGTGACCTGGCGCGCGTTCGCGACTACCCAAGTTCGCGACTGCCCATTACACGTCGTCGCAGTTACACCCCGCTTCGCCCACAATGCAACGCCCATATCTCGATTCCCGGTGACAGTCTGGCTGAGTCTTCCGCACCATGGACCCGCGATACAACTGGCAGCCCCAGGGCTATCCGAGCGGCCATCCAAACAACCAGTATCCTCCGTATGCGCCGCCTCCGCAACAACAACAGCAGCCGCCGCCGCCGCCGCCGAATGGCTATCAACACCATGGCTATCCCCAATACCCTCCCATGCAGATGCAGACGCCTCAGGGATACCCTCAGTCACAGCCAGCCCCATACCATCTACCACCACAACCCAGCATGCCTCGACCGATGAGCCAGCAATATGCGCAAATGCCTCCTCAAATGCAACCCCAGCAACCCCAGCAACCGCCGCCACCGCAGTATCAACGGCAGCCTCAAGTCATTGTCCCCGCGAGGAACCCCCAATACGCTTCTCCCATCCAGATGCCGCAAATGCAGCCCCCACGGATACGACATGTACAAGTACCCGTACAGCGAACAAGCAGCGCAGGCATCGCGCAATCAGACGGCTCTGGGGACCAGCAACGGCGATATAGCGCACAGCAGCCACCCAACCCGCCTGTATCTAAGCCGGTACAACGATCGCCCTCGCATCAAGAGAATGGCCCAAGACCGCAGCAGCGGCCCGTTGTTACGCCGTCGAATGGTCAGGCTCCATATCGAGCGCCGCTACAGCCGCAGACGACGCCTCAGCAGCAGCGTGTACCGCCGCAGTCGCAGTCACAGCCGCAGTTGATGCCTCAGCCGCAGCGCATGCCATCGCTGTCGACGCCTCAGCAGCAACCTCCACCGTCGACGCCCCAACAACCGCGACCTCCACCGTCGACAACCCAACAACCGCGACCTTCACAGTCGACACCCCAGCAACCGCGGCCCCAATCGACCCCCCAACAACAGCGCATTCTTCCGCCGTCTCGAACTCCATCGAGCCAGTATGGCAGCCCATTTCCTCAACCACCCTCTTCGAAACCGCGGATGCACCCCCAGGTTGTCATTCCCAAAACCTCTTCGTCGCACCAGCTCACACCCACGAAGCGTGCTCATCTTCCTCAGAAAGCGCTTCCTGCCGAGCTCTCGGAACTTTTACTCACGGCTGCGGACGAATATATCGCAGTTGCGCGAGGCATGGGGTCGCTATTCATACGGGAAAGAAAGGAGGCAGACGTGAGCCAGTACTACAAACTGATGTCCACCGCCATGGGATGCATGGATACTGTATTGAAGGACTTCAACATGCCGCCTAGGGACGAAGCGAAACTACGGTTGAGATATGCTAGCTTGCTCATTGAAGAGACAGACATTGAGGCTGCCGACGTCTCCAGTCGAATCGAAGAGATTTTGTCAAAGCAAATATCCCTCTGCGGACGCCATCGCTTGCAGGATCTGAAGTTTGCGGCTTTCCATCTTCAAGCGCGGTATCAGTTCAAGACCAATCACCGCGCTGGCCTCAAGTCACTTGATAAGCCGATACAGGAAGCGGAAACCTTTCAACACATCGCTTGGGTGTATGCGCTGCGCTTTCTCAAGGTCACGCTGGCGTTACAAATACCGGGTCGTGTAGAGGTGACACTGGCTCTCCAGCAACTCCATGCTATACAGGACCACGCAGGTCGACGAGGCGACCGCGCCATATATGTCGCTTGTCACGTGCTTGAAGCCATGATTCATCTGCGGTCAGGTGCAGCAGATCGGATAGACAATGTCCAGCGCGCCATTGCAGCAGCGCGTAGTCTGCAACTCGAGGTATCAGCCAAGCAACTAGGATCATTTGGCACTCTCATTGATATAATCGACATTGCCAGCGGTATCCAAAAAGGGTGTCCAAACCCGCAAAAGTCCACTGCCCTTCTCGAGTCTATACTACGCGACAACAACGATCAGAGAAGCTCACACAGCAGCGTCTTTACTGTTCTGATTGAGCGAAGCTTTGGGGGTAACCTCACATTTGACACTGCTGGGGTCTTCCGAAAGAATGCAGAGCAAAAAGACGAATTGGTCTTTGTATGGCTCCCAAAAGAAGACTTGCAAGCGTTGTGTTTTCACATCTGCGCTCTGGATCAACACGTCCACGAAAAGGGGCTGAATTTCATGAAAGAAGCACACCAGCGGTTCCGCGAAACGTCAAAGCGACGCGCCTTCAACGGCATACCCATCTCCATCGCTTTTGCACGCATAGAGTGGAACATGATACTAGACTGGTACACCATGTTCGCCATTGGCCTCATGGCTCACAATCGCAACGAACCCCAAACCGCCTCCGACGCCCTCTCTTTCCTCAAGAAGAAGATTAGTGCAACTCCTTACAACAACCAAGAAGCCTTCGTCCGCACACTCACCTACTTCTCCGCCATAACCGACCAACTTAATGGCCCCCTCCATGCCTCTCTCTCGTCTTACTCCTCTCCAATCCTTGGCATACCCGAGAAGGCGCACGCAACGCCCGCGAAGATAGATTTGGCGGTGACTGCAGCGCTCAACCGACTCCTTATCCTCCGCGACCCATCTCACCCCCAGCACACTCAAGCGCAATCTCTGCTAGCCCAAGTCAAACCCTACGCCGAAGATCACCCCAATCAATACCTCCGCATCGCCTTTCGCCTCATTGCCGCCTTTCATGCCGAATCCACAACTTCCATCCTCCAGCAAAAGAAGACGGTGCAAGCAGCCGTCGGCCTAGCCCAGGAAATCAGCAAGAGGACACTGAACTTTGAGTTTGTGGCCATGATGATGTGTTACTTCGTCGCGCGCTTCTTTGCTGATACCGTTGGGGAGAAGAGTATTCAGGCGATTAGGGCTGCGAGGAGTCAGGCGGGGAAAGTAAGGAGGGGAGTTTGGATGGGTGTTGCGAGTGGGATTGCGATGGGCGTTTATGCGAGGAATGGGATGGGAGGAGAGGCTGAGAGGGCGGCGAGGGAGTGGGAGGGGGTTAGGGGGTCGTTGCCGGCACCGCTTCGTGGGGGAGAGGAGGAAGATGCGGAAGGTGATGAGGATGATGCTGAAGGTGAAGAAGAGGATGGAGAGTTGGATGCAGATGGCGATATTGATGTTGTGGGGTAAAAGTGCTTGTTGCTTTTTTTTCCTTCCCTTTCTGAGCATGTCTCTCTCTATGCATTCGGCTTTTGGCGTATCATGGATGGCTGTATCATTTGTTGTAGCGCGAGAGATACCATGGCGGTTTGTGCATGGCGCTTTATTGGGCGTTGAACTACGGAACGTATCACAGTAGGGTACGCGAATAAGGACTTTGAGGAAAAGTGAGGCAAAAGAGGATATCTTATCAAGACATTTAATAGTAACACTTACCACTAAAATTGATCCTTCCAGTTCCTTTTTGCAACTATTTCTACTACTGTGGTATCAAGCATAAGTTTTGTATCCGGGACGCTAGTCCGCGGGTTCCTAGGTAAGATGCACGTCGAGTAAGATTGCTTGTTGAAGCAGCTTTGCCAAATCGCACGTGATCCATGTGCCACTCAAGGTTACCCCCCTTGCGAGTTAACCACATACCAAACTTATGCCTAATACTACAGTACATGCTGGAGCCAAACTTGTCATTGCATTAGCAGTAACAAGCCTAGGCATAGTACTATTATGTCAGCCTGCAACTTGCTGACAGGTTAACTCCGCAAGACGCTAGGTAAGTCGACTAGGTTAGGCTTTCCGGATCAATAGTCCTAGTCACGTTGTGCCCCACCCCAGCATAAACTACTAGTCTTGGACTTGTGCTAATTCGCATCACAATGGTACAAGCACTACCTGCGGTCATGGACAACCTCAACTGATGTTTGTTAGCAGGTGAACCTCGGAGTTGTTAGCGGAGCTCGACGTCATATTTACAAGTCTGAAGGCCATGTCAGCACCTTTATCCTTGCCAATACCCACACGCAATGAGATACTATAAGTTCTTTCTGCATGCGCGAATACTGACTGTTTCCTTTAACTCCGATCGAGTACGTATATCTAGGTGAGGACGTTTATACAACCATCTCGCTTTCTGTTCATCCTACCCATCCTCATCTGCAAGCACTTTACCATGTCTCCAGAATTCAACAGGGACTCGCTCCTGTTCCGTCACCGGCAGCTCGCGCCTACAGCCTCTGTTCGCGTGTCACCCCTATGTCTCGGTACAATGACCTTCGGCACGGCGCATAACGAGCGCTACGGGGAATGTAGCAAAGATTCCGCCTTTGCTATCCTCGACCATTTCTACGCCCAAGGCGGCAACTTTATCGACACAGCAAACGTGTACCGAGATGGAGAATCCGAAGCCTGGCTCGGAGAGTGGATGGCCAGCCGGCGCAACCGTGACGACATGGTAGTAGCAACAAAATACACAAACCCGTGCATGTTCGACCCGTCCGAGCATATCACGTCCAACTACTCTGGCACTGGATCTAAGAGCCTGAAGCTATCGATTGAAACATCGTTGAAGCGATTGCAGACTACATACATTGATCTTTTCTACGTCCACTTCTGGGACTTTTCCACCACCATTCCCGAGCTCATGCACAGCCTCAACGACCTCGTCGTCGCGGGTAAAGTGCTCTACCTAGGCATCTCCGATACGCCAGCCTGGATCGTAACGCTCGCCAACGAGTATGCGCGGAACAATGGGCTGCGGCCGTTTGTTGTGTACCAGGGTATGTGGAATGCGGGCATGCGCGACTTTGAACGCGACATCATTCCAATGTGTCGGCAACAGGGCATGGCACTGTGTCCATATGGCGTCTTGGGCCAAGGCCGCTTCCAGACAGAAGAGGTGTACAAGGAGCGCGAGAAGAGCAAGGAAGGACGTAACTTTGTACCGTTGTCTGCGCGGGACAAGCAGGTTTCCGCCGTTTTGGAAGGTGTGGCGAAGGACAACAAGAGCGCGGCCGACGTGACGCTATTAAACGTGGCGCTTGCCTACGTCATGCAAAAGGTTCCATATGTTTTTCCCATCGTTGGGCAGCGCAAGGTGGAGCATCTGAAGGGCAGTATCGATGCGCTGCGTGTTGCCTTGACCGAGGAAGAAGTGGCGCGGGTCGAGGAGGCGTATGAGTTTGATCATGGATTCCCACATACGTTTCTCAGTGGCGCGCTCTTTGGGAATGGGCCGCCGAGACAGGTGGAAGGGCCGGGGGATGTATGGCTGACGAAAAACAATGGACCGTTCGATTGGGTGGATGAGAATGCTAAGCCTATTCGGCCGCCGCAGTAGAGTCGAAGAGACTCGTCTCGTTGTGCCTAGGATACTTCTAATTCGAGAGTGGTGTTTCATCCATTGTTGCTCAAACACTCTGACGTCCTGTATCAATCCAACTTTGAAGATTAGCCGTATTGATCGTCTCGCTTGCATCTAGGCGAGCCATGATGTCAGTAAATGCCTTAACATACTCCTGGGCTCGTTTTGCCGAAGGATCAGGTGGTTCGTAGGGGCACGCGAGTAGTCCGACTGCCACATCGCGCACCTTGTAGACAAGGTGGAGACCATTTGGCTCAATGTCTGCTTGCGGGGTATTGTGAAGTACGTGGAGGAGCTGAGTGGATATATCCTCGCGCTCGTGCCAGTGCTGCTCAGGCGAAGTCAGTAGATCCAACTGGTCCAGTAACATGCTTTGAAGCCAGAGGTGTGTAACATGAATATTAGCGCGCAGCGTGCCCAGCTGAGAGGCTGAAAGGCTATGTGAAGCGGAGTCGAAATCGGACAATGCGTATTGTCGAAAGGGCCTAGGAGCATCGTCCAGGGCATATTTCAGATCTTGCAAGCGCCGTTCAAGATGTGCCACTTGCGCTGCAGGTGAGTGGTCGCGACAGCACAAACATTCACCCCTTTCATTGCCGCATGGGTTCTCGATAGCTTGCCAAAACAGGCGAGAGTGGATGATGAAGCCCGTAGTCATGCTCACGTCCGACGTAGACGAAGAGATGGTCTCATGCTTGGAGATATACTCATCTTCGACTTCGACAGGCATGAGCGCCTTGAGGTTCGTCGTCGCCATGGTAGCATGATCCAAGAAAGAGAGTTTCTCTTTACGAAAATTCTGTACCTCTGAATGTACGTAACCGTAGAATAGAAGCCAAAAGCCCTTTCTCCGCAGCTGTTTCTCGATACAGTCCAGTTCCTCATATCTATCAACGCGGTGAAGTTCAAGCAGTCGTCCGAGCTGCATGCTCTCCACCTCGATCATACGAGCATGATTAGGCTTCCCGACCTGGAAAAAGGCGATAGCCATCAGATACGATGCTGCCCATTTGCTAAAGCCGATTTTCTCGAAAAAGTCGGGCGTACGCAAAGCGATGAGGAAGCTGTGACAGCGATCGAGTACCACGGCACGTGAGAGAGCCATGGATAAGTCGAGCCTACGATAGCTCTCATATTTACTCGGCAGCAACGCAACTACGATTGCGCATATAGCGATGAGAAGGCCTAAGAAGTCGTCGTCATAGTTATCACGATCCTCGTTCAGAGCGAAGCAGAACGATGGTCGGTGAACCACGGGGATTAATGGGTAGATATACAGAAGATAGTCGTCCACCATAGCTCGTAAAAGCGCTCGCGAACAAACGGTGTCAGTGCGAAATGCGCCTTGCTGGACAGCGACGGACGAAGTAGGACTCGGAACAGGCGCGACAGAATGCTCGCTCATGGCAATTTCAATTTGCATCCGCTTTCTATAATGTGACTGTTAGCAGTGATGTAAGCTTCTCAGTCCACCTTGCTCAAATCTCTGGAGGCCTCCAAAAGGCAATGGACGGTCGTGCCTGACAAAACCTTGGCAACCGTGCAAGAGTGTCTCAAAACCAAGATGACTCCACCGCAGAGCAGTCATTTTTGAAAAATTGATTGAATAACAACCTACCGTTTTGGACCCCTCCTACCGACCGCCAGTTCGAAAGTGCATTGCAGCTGAAGACGCTGGCAGCGCACGCATACTGCATCTGGTACGTTCACGTCTACACCCAGGTCACAACGCGTTTTCCTGGTCCGACATGTATCGCACGCGCGCGGTGGTCGTGTGCTTTGCGGATTAACCGTACTGTTGAGCGGCGAAGACATGAGAACCATGTGCGTTTGATGATGCGGGTCGCGCTGGGCTGGGACGCGCTCGCCAAGGCCCTAAACAAGCGCCAGACGTGCCCTCGGCACTTCGGTCCTCGTTCATGCCTAGAGTGCTTCATTTCGCATTTACGTCATGTCGTTAACAACATCAGCCGACAGAAGATCACAGAGAGACCTCATAGAGGAAAGTTTTGCTCGTTCATGCATGTCAGTGATCGCTCTCAGTTGCGCCGATACCTGAGTTACTTTCAATCACGTTGGAGAACGGAACAGCACCGACGAGAGCAGCAATGACATTATTTGCAAGATGATCTTTTACTTTGATTTACGACAGCCAGTACCTAGCTTTGGGCGATACGATCGAGCCCGATAGATGACAGCCAGCGCTACTCGTCCCAACAAGGACGTTGTACATTCCAGCATGACTACACCACCTTCCTTCCTTCTCCTCCCAGAAGCTTGTATCCCGAAGAACGTCGATCTCGACAATCACTTCGGCGCTCTGGCCTGCTTCAATGTGGCGCTTCGCGAAGCCCTTCAATTCCTTCAACGGCCGACGAATAGGTGGTGAGATCGGCTCAATGTAAACCTGCACGACTTCAGCGCCAGCTCTGGAGCCCGTATTGCTCACAGTGCAGCGCACGCTTAGCCGGTCGGTATCTGTGTCCATATCAAGCTTGAGATTGGACAGAGCGAAGTTCGTGTAGGACAGGCCGTGGCCGAATGGGAACAATGGTGCCACTTCGGTCTGCTCGTAGAAACGGTAGCCCACGTAAACATCCTCGCCATACAGCACACGGCCACCCTCGGAGCGATAGTTTAGATACGTCGGATTATCCTTCAATCGGCGGGGGAAAGTCAGGGGAAGCTTTCCCGAGGGGTTCACAGCACCGAAGAGGACGTCCGCAATACCGTTGCCGCCTTCATTCCCACCATACCACGCATGTAAAATTGCCTTTGCTTTGTCACTCCAGGGCATTGCAACAGGTGTACCGGACTGAACCACGATAGCCGCATTCGGGTTAGCTTCGAGGACTCGTTCCACGAGCGTATCTGTATTCGGCGGAAGATCCATTGATACGCGATCATCGCCCTCAGATTCCCATTCAGGACCCAGACCAACACAAATGACCACTTGATCAACCTCGCACGCAAGACGTACTGCGGTATCAATCAACTCCTGTGGGTCCTGGCGTATACAACCACCGAAACGCAAACCACCATGACCAAAGTCCACCGTGCCAGGTGTCTTCCTTGTGCTTGTCTTTGCGCACCCCCATTGCACGGTAATTCGATACGATCTTCCTGCAATGAGAGTCTTCGATCCAGTCTCTTCGAGAGTTCCAGAACCTAAAAAGCTAGGTCCAGGCCTCTGGTGCTCAACGTTGCTGACGAGAAGCTCGTCATCGATATACAATCTTCCTGTCCCATGCACGCACAGACCGAAGTCATAGGTGCCGGATTGAGTTGGAGCGAAGACACCTTCAGTCTCAGCGTACCAAATTTCTTTGAGATCTGGATGATCATAATCGAGGAAGAAGATGTTGGAGTCGTGCAATATCCGTTCTTCAAGTGGAGTCCTCTCCACGTTTGTCGGCGGATCATTGAAGAAGCGCAGCTTGAAACCGGGTTTCCCGTCCACGGTGAGCTCTTTGCCAAGTTCAGGCAACATCTGGAAAGCATATGCGCCTTGTGCAAAACCTACACCGCCCTTCGCAAGCGATCGAATACCGTCTAATGGTGTGGTTGTGGAGTATGCATTCAGTGATGCGCTACCGCCGCCGCAGTAGGTAGCAATCTTGGCGTTGGGGCCGATGACCGCAATCTTGCGATCGCTAGAGAATGGAAGGATATTATCCTGATTCTTAAGGAGCACGATTGAGTCTGCGGCTACTTTCCGGAGAAGACGTCGATCAGCTGGTCGATTCAACTGAGTCTCTGGTGCATTCTCTGGGATACCCGACTGTGCAGACTTTTTGACAAGCTTGAGGACCGCACGCACTCGCTCGTCGAGCTCAGGGGGAAGAACCTTATTGGCTGAGACCGCGTGGACGAGCGCCGGTCCTCGCCATCGTGATGGGCCGGGCATCTCTAGGTCAAGACCGGCGTTTACTGCTTCGCTTGTGCTGTATGTGCCAAACCTGAAAGCTGTCAGAACTGCGCAACAAGTGTATGGAAGAGACAAGGCAGTCTTACCAGTCGCTCACGAAGAGTCCGTCCCACCGCCATTCGTTCCTGAGTATGTCTTTCAGAATGCTTCGGTCTTCCGCGACGTGTACGCCGTTGACTCTGTTGTAGGCAGTCATGATCGCTGCTGGGTTGCTGAGCCGCGTCGCGAGCATGAACGGCAGGAGATAGATCTCCCTCAGCGCACGTTGAGTGATGATGGTATTGACTGCCATGCGTTCATGTTCCTGATCGTTACAAACAAGATGCTTGACCGCAGCGCCTATGTGTTTATCCTTGAGCCCATTAATGTAGCTTGCTGCAAGCTTGCCAGATAGGTAAGGATCCTCCGAGTAAGACTCGAATCCTCTACCACCCAACGGTCCTCGTTGGATGTTTATCGTTGGACCGAGAACGACGTGCGCTCCTTTTGCTCGAGCCTCATCGCCGAGTAGATGGCCAATCTCGACGACCAGATCGGAGTCGAACGTAGCGCCGATGGCCGTGCCACACGGAAGGCATGCAGAAGGTACGCTGCCAAAGAATTTGGTACCTCGAATGCCGTTTGGACCATCTGATAGTCGTATGGAAGGAATCAAAAGCCTAGGTATGTCGCGCGTGTGCCAGAAATCCTTGCCTATTGTTATGAGCGACGCATTTCAAGTTTCACAGACGTCCTACCTGAGAGAAGCGACACCTTCTCATCAATGGTCAGCTGCAGAAGCACTTCTTCGATGTCAAATGGTGCGAACGGAGCCGCATGCTCTTGACTTGTGTTCTCGTCATCGGAAGGCGTCATGGCGCTGGAGGTTCGAGAGTTGAAAGGAGTGGACTGGCTGACACCCGCAACCACGACAAGGCCTCGGTATATAGATGCCGTTCAACAACCACGACATTGTCCGACCAAACAAATAGCTTTCGGCGCATACCTGACGCAGTTCATGGGTACTACCTTGATGTGTGCGTTAGCAGCAGCGGGTCGGTCGGAGGTCGCGCTTGGCGCGCGGAGGCTATCGGGGAAATGACGACTCCTATTTCTCCGTGTAAGTCCAGTCGGAAAGCACGCGCTATTAGAAACTTTATTTTTCACCGATGCGCTACTCCGCAAAAATCGAGCACCTCCACAAACTAGCGCGTTTCCAATTTTTGGGGACTCCACGTGCGCAGCCACACTTCCGGCAATAGTTTAGGGGTCACGGTAGCTAACCGACACGCTGTATCGTGATAGTCTTGACCTGGCCTTGTTCATCTGAGATTTATTATAAAAGGTTAAGCTGTGTGGACAATCGACCGACCAGCATCACGTTCTCTAGCCCTCAGAGCATCAATAGCCCCTTTTACGCTGTCATGGCTACCTCCAAGTCGCAGAATGGACTCGATGATGGCTTGTTGGCTGTCTTGCCTGACAGCAAGCCATGGTACACAAAATCACATCTCATCAAGTTGCACTTCTGCATCTTGTCCCTCACGATGTTCTGTAAGTAGCTCTAATGCCCCCTATCATTTAGTGTCACTAACACATGTCCAGCCTCTGCCAACGGCTATGACGGAAGTCTCATGAACGGACTACAGGCACTGCCTCAATGGGAATCGTTCATGAACACGCCAACAGGTGCTTGGTTGGGCTTCTTGAATGCCGTCTACTGGCTTGGGCTGGGTCTGTCCTACCCCTTGACTGCGTTGGTTGCCAACAAGTACGGGCGTAAGCTCGGTGTATACATTGGCTATATCTTTCTGTGCGTAGGCTCCCTGGTCGTGTTGAGCGATGCAGAGACTGCATTCGTGCTATCTCGATTCTTTGTTGGTTGCTCTTCAGCATGGTTTGGAAACGCTGCTCCTCTCCTCATCAACGAGATCTCTCATCCGATCTACAGAGGCATCCTGAGCGCTCTCTTCATGTGCGGGTACTATGTGGGCGGCACTATTGCAGCTTTTGTTACCTTTGGCACCCGTGGTATCGAAAATGACTGGGCGTGGCGGATTCCATCTATCTTGCAGTTGCTGCTGCCCCTGGTCGCACTGCCTGGACTACTGATGACACCTGAGAGCCCTCGCTGGCTTGTGTCTGTTGATAGAAGTGAACAGGTAAGTCACTAGACGGCATGATTAGACTGCCCTAATAACCGATTGCAGGCTCGTACAATTTTGACAACATACCATGCTGGCGGCAACCCCACATCGGCTTTAGTCGAGTATGAGATGGTCGAAATCACCACTGCTATCCGTCTCGAGTCAACACTGGACAATGCAAGCTACACAGAGCTGTTCAAGACAGCAGGCAATCGGCGCCGCCTGTTCATATCGGTGTCTCTCGGAATCTTCTCTCAGTGGTGCGGCAACGGTGTTGTTTCGTACTACCTGGCGATTGTTTTGAGAACTGTAGGCATAACGAGTGTCACCCACCAGACATTGATTGCTGGTCTGCTGCAAGTGTGGAATCTTCTCTTCTCAGTAGGAGCTGCACTTAGTGTCGACCGACTTGGACGTCGCCCACTCTTCCTAGCCTCAGCTGGCGTGATGCTTGTCGCGTACATACTTGTGACGGCTCTCAGCGGTGCATTCGCAGAATCTGGAAGCGCCCCTACTGGTATTGCTGTCATACCGTTCCTATTCATCTTCTTTGCTGGCTATGATATTGCTCTGTAAGTCTCACTTCAATGCCTCAATAAACCACCATACTGACTGGCGTGACATAGGACGCCGTTTCTGACGGCCTATCCTTGCGAGATCTGGCCATATAGGCTCCGATCTCACGGCCTGACTGTCACCTGGATCGCGGTAGTAATCGCTCAATTCTTCAACACCTTTGTAAACCCTATCGCCCTCGGAGCGATTGCCTGGAAGTACTACTTTGTGTTCATCGTCGTACTTGTCGCAATGGGATTCACCGTGTATTTCTTCTACCCAGAAACCCGTGGGTACACTCTGGAGCACATGGCAGTCATATTCGATGGCGATGATGCAGCATCTTCATCTGAGGAAATGACTGCAGGGGCATCAAGCGTGGCTTCAATCTCGGAGAAGAAGAACAACAACATCATGACTGCGCATGAGGAGAGTGTTTGAATACCGAGTGTTATCCGAAGGCTTTCTGTTCTCTAGAGAAGCTTGATCAGGATCGCAGTGCTTGGTGAGGGGTTTTGGGTAGATCGGCGTGTATGACTCTTGATGTCCTTGTCCAGACCGTATGTTTTAGATTCTAAATTTCGTCATCATATCCGTGAAATGATAATTTGTGTCTAGACAAAAGGTGCTTACATGCAGCATAGCATCCATAGAAAACTACGCTGATGCCGTTTGAAGTTCGTACTCGGGTTGTAGCCGCTAGCTGTGCAATGCCACCAGTCATTATTATTGCTTATAACATCCTTCTCTCAGTCATCGTGCCAGTACCGAGACTTCTGTGGAAAGGGCTCTAGAGTGGTTACATCTTCAATGCAAGATATTGCTCACGTATGCTAAGTGTAGCAGAGGACATTAGCTCTTGACGGATTGAAGTAAAGGAGGGCCTAGAATCAATTGTAATCATCAAGTACGGTTGTTGTTGGGGGCCTAATTGCTAACAACAGGCAGATGTTGTCAGCTGCATATAAGAGTCCGAGTGTTAACTAGTAGGCATCTTCATAGAGATTACAAGCACGCCACAGGCCAGGGATTCCGCCTTCGCTTCTAGATTTCTAGTGTTAGTTTTCTGCATAAATTCGCATTTGCCAGATTCGTTACGTGTAATCGTTCGCGCTCTAGTGTATGCGTCATAGTGTATAAAGCCTCAAGTATCTAGCGCCCAATCTCGAATTGATTCACTTCATTTCAGTCATATAAATCATCCTTAGATCTGTCTTAACCTATCTTAAAGATCTTTTCTGTTGCAACAAGGTATCAGCATCCAACATTAACATTACTCACTCAACACGCCAAGTAAAGGTTCCTAGGTGAAAGATCCATCATCTACCAGACAATTTGTCAATCCAATACTCACTATGCCTACTAGAGGCAATTATCGAAGGAGGTTTCAAAGCTAAGTATGCGGCAAAGAAGTTAGATAATATGGAGACATAGTAGGGCGAGGTTAGTCATACCAGACTGCTTATAAAGCCTCAAAGGACAGGCAAGTTGAATTCTAGTAGTCAGTAAAATTACGGGCTCTTCGTGAGATCCTCAACATCTAAACGCCGCAGCGTTCTCTGCAGGGAGACTGTTCGGGAACGAGGTGTTCGACCTTGTATTCTGTGGCGCGACAGGCGCAACGACTCGACGTGCGTGTGCTAGTGCCGATAGAGCTCTAATATTCAAGACAAGCACGGGGCAGAACAAGCGAGCGTAAGGAGGGGTAGACGGAGCGCAGAGCGCAGACGTAAGTTGATGTGCGACAGCGAGGCCAAGAAATAAGTGACTAGGTTGCGATAAGCCAGCGGAAGTTTGAGAGGCTCTCCTGAGCTCCGCGCAGGAAAAATCACACAAACGATAGCTTGGCAAATAGCACCGAGCAGGACCTAGATCGGCTGCGGTAAACCTAGAACCACACCACGCCACCACGTTCTCCACTAATCGACGCACCCAACACCCTGAACGCAAGGCACATCCGTGTACAGAATGAGGTGCATGCGGCTTTCATAATGCATCCTCCACAAGCAATCGCTGACGCGTCCACATAGTCTCTTGAATCTGCCTGGTATGCGCCCGCTTGAGCCTGACTACTCTTATCCATCGTACCGACTAGGTGACCGGATGTCTTTCAGCTGATCACTGCTGGAAGATCCACTACTAGTAAACAACGGCACAGCCACAGTTCACTAGTCCCCTACATAGAAAATTCATCCCATGGTCCAGGAAGGGACAAATATCAAGCCATCCCTGCCCAGGAAGAGTGTGCTCAATTCAGCTTCGAACAACTCAGGTTAGGTATGAAACCTGACGAGCGGTTGCGAGTGCTCCTAACAGTTGAGCATTCCAACCTTGCCCACAACATGATCGTTGATGACGTTGAGAAGTGAAGCTCAAGCTGGTTCTTTCCGCGCGGATAGGCTTGATGTTCCTTCAATCCATCTTGATGGCTCCATGTTCGTCGATAAATGCTTGAGCAGGATGGATGGTATTCCCTTCACGCCCCGAGTATTTCAAGGCAAAAGAAATGTCGTTAGCCGATGCAGCTTCGCAGATCCTTCTCATCTCTTCAAATTTTCTGCTCATCGAACTCTTGATGTAGCTCTGCACTATTTCAATGTCACATCCTCTCGCCCTAGAGACCGACCCGCGTCAGCACCTCCCGACCCTTGTAACACGTTGGAACAGCTAGGCTATAGACGTTTATCTCTGAATTTCGATCTGTCTATTCTAGCATACGTATTTGGCTTTCCGCATCCGACGTCCTCTTAGAGTACTCTGCCTCTTCTTGCTTAAGTGCTGAAATACGTGCAGACTTATAGCTATGCGTATAGTCGTCTAGCTGGTGCGACTGAGCCGAACCACCCATATTACTTGGTCGTCCGGCTTGTGATGAACAACTGCTGAACAGTGACTTGCGAAACAGGGGTTTCAAAGTGGCGATAGAGCTGCCTACTATGCCAATGCCTAATTCCACAAACGTCCACATGCCCAGAGTGGCAGCGTTATTTAGGTAGTCCTTGGTGCTAGTGTTGGAAGCGAAGTATACAAGGCGGATGATCGTTGCAAAACTAGCACTATACATACGTCAGTTTAGCTAAACATACAACTTACAAATTGTGTACTTACAGAAAACCCAAGGCAAATAGGCAAAGGACGCCGATTTTTGCCATCAGTTGGAGCTGCACATCCCATAAGACGAATACAGGCAGAATTGCGCAGGCTAAGTCCGACACGATGGACGTGGCTGATAAAAAAAAAGTAATAGCCCTAAGGACGTCGGGGCTGCTACAGGTTCCGGCCGTAGGATCCCAATTAGCTGCGACTGTAGTACACCGTGAAAGCAATGCCACAGTTACGGTGATCGTCGCTGCGATACTTAGGGCCATTACCGTGTAGAGTATCGCCTTGTAGGCCCTGCTTTTCGCGAAGCGGAGCAGGCTAGCACAGATACTGCACTTGATAGCCAGTCCTGCCGGCGCGTAAAAGAGTCCAAAAATCCAATACCACTGTATTCAGTCAGCTCGAAAAGTAAAGAGCCATGTTATTTTGAGACGTGCCTTGGCACCCACGATCAGGGAATTGTAATCTATTTTCTTGTCCGGCCTGCCGATGCCATGGGAGATGGATACGATAGAGCAAGATACAGAAAGTGAGAATAAAATCTAGGTACTGTCAGATGTGGATCATCGGACGGAAAGTGACATTTTTCATTACCAAGCCCACGACCATCAGCAAATCATCTGCACCCAGGCTTCTGATAAATCTACGAACAAATAGTCGAAGGATAGCGGTAGCCCAGGAAAGCGCAAGCATTACCGAGGTCACAGTGACCACAGTGGTTGCAGGGATGATGTCAAGCGCCATACCGTCTTCGGCGACACGGACGAAGGATGGTAAGGATTGTACGTACGGTACAGACAAAGCGCGTTCTTACTGACCATATATAGGCCATCAATCGCGCCCTATTAGAATACCTACTGTCGTAGCCTCGTTTTAAACTTCCACTTAATAGTGTGGTAGGTATAGCCACCAGGGTAGCAGCTACGGAAGGAGTCCCGCAGCCTAGTGATACGATCCTAGGATAGTTAGCGCGTAGATCTAGCGGCGATCACAGCTCCCCGTTTCCCCGTACAGATCCGACATATGCTCTACTCGAGCGGAGGGAAGTCTGATTTGAGGCGCTCCGCATTGCGTGGAGCTGAGTTATTGGGCGCAAGGATGGTATGCTCGGTGTTTTGGCTTCGCACTGGAGTGCGCTGCCAGTTTCGCTGTTTCTGGCTATAATATGTGAAGGAGCGCGCTACCTTGTCGGAGCATGCTCCGGTATAAATCCATCAAGGAGGAAAGAAAATGGTTCTAGGGTTGTCTCTTAGTGTCAGTAAGATAGCCTTGTTGGCGAAAACGACCAGCACCGGGACATGTCAGCATGCCAAGGCAAGTGAACAAATCCCAATTGAGGTGACTTTGCGCGCTCGTGTGCTGCGTTCCATCAGATATGCCAAAAGAGGTCGTCAGGCTCCGCTGTGTCTGGGTGTGTTGGAGCGCGACCATGAAATCTTCGAAATTTGGGCGGCGAGCAGCCGCTTCCGAGTCAGCACTCAAAGCAACAACAACAACCTCAGACCGCCTTAGAGATAGCAGCTCATATGTCGCATTCATACACGGAGCAAGTCTTGGTTTTGAACTTCGCCATGCGCCCTTGCGGCACTCATCAATCAGAGAGTCGCGGAATCTGATCCACCGCCCCCGAAGCTCGGCATACCTCAAAGTTCAGGCTCACCCACCAATCCCCCAACCATTTCTTCCAACGGCCCTAGGGCTGTTACAGCTCACTGGTTTCCTTTTCGCATTCCTGATCAGCGAGTGGTAGATTTTTTTTTCAATGTATCGTGCACGGCCGTCATCATGTAAAGGGAGACATTGCCAAGAAGAAGCGCTGACACGCTCAGTCCCGATTAGGTTGTTAATCGGAGAAACTGCTAGACCCAGGACAGGTTAGCTTGGTATGGCTACCCCACCGCATACTGAATGTATTCGCCAGCGATGAGCCGACCAGTAGTACGACACTACAAGATCGAGGGAACACCCTGCTCAGCGACGCTGAGGCTGAGTGATCGTCCCACAAATGATCATCATTATAGCATAGGCTCACATGTTTTTCACAATAGCCCGAGCATGGACCTTTTCTGTTGCATACGATAGCGCGGCAACTATCGCCTTCTCACTTTAACGCCTCAAAATGGAAGCTTCACTCCGCCTGATAATGGTTCCCAGAGATAGTCATCATCAACACGATTTGACACACTTGGCAATGTGAAGAAATGCTATTTAAGCGCGATAGTCCCCAAAGACCCTACACCGCTTGCTAGCACGTCGTCTCATTGATTTACTTCTCGTTGAAATATGAATTCTCGCGATGGTTACACATGGACGCCAACAGACGGCCTCAAAGCTGGCGTGCCGTCCCTCGGCGTCATAACACCTTCCACGAACCTTTCGGACTCGGAAGAGTTTCACGATGTTATCGTTGTTGGCGCCGGCTACTGCGGGCTCACAGCCGCGCGCAACGCCGCAGTCGAAGGGTTGAAAGTGCTGCTGCTGGAGGGCCGGGATCGTATTGGCGGCCGATCCTGGTCATCAAACATCGAAGGTTACCCTTTTGAGATGGGAGGTACATGGGTGCACTGGGGACAATCGAACACTTGGAGAGAGATCGTAAGATATCAGATGATGAACGACGTGGAGAAGTCGTTTGACTTCTCACACGGTGTCAATCATTATGAATTGAATATTGGGCTTGAAGGCTCTACCATGAGTCATGACGAGGAGGTCTGTTCCAAGAAATTGTTATAGAAAGAGCCACGTACTGATGAAATCAAGGATGCACTGCTCATTGCAGCGCTGAATAAGTTCACGAACATAGACGGAGCTTATGGGAGAAACGTGATTCCTCTACCTTATGACATTTTCCACGTGGCCAATGCGACGCACCTTGACGATTTCTCCGCTCAAGATCGCATCGATGAGATTGCATTATCACTATCGCCACAGGAGCGTGCCGCTGTCGAATCCTTCGTCCTGTTATGTAGCGGGGCCACTCTCGCGACAACAAGCTTTCTCGAATTCATGCATTGGTGGGCCATCTGTGGCTACACCTACGCAGGCTGCATAGACATGCTTATCACCTGGAAGTTCAAGGGTGGACAATCGAGCTTCGCAATCAAATTTTTCCAGGAAGCACTTGCAACGAAGCGTCTCGCATACGCTTTCAACAGCCCGGTGAGCAACATTCAGGATACGGGTCGAAAGGTGCAAGTCACGACACGGGATGGCCGCCGGTACCACGCAGCGCGACTGATCTCAGCAATACCTCTGAACGTCTTGGGCGAGGTGACTTTCGATCCGCCGCTTTGTGCTGGAAAAACAGAGGCTATTGCAACAGGTCATGTCAATCAATGCGTCAAAGTTCACGCAGAGGTTTCAAACAAGAATCTCCGCTCTTGGACAGGCGTTGCATATCCGCACAACGAGCTCATGTATGCCATTGGCGACGGAACAACACCCGCAGGCAATACACACATTGTCTGCTTTGGCGGTAGCAACAAACATATCGACCCTGAGGAGGACATTGACGCAACTAAGCGTGCAGTTACGAACATGTTTGTGCAGCAGAAAGACCAGCCTAACATTGAGAGATTAGTATTTCACAACTGGTCGAAAGACGAGTTTGCAAAGGGTGCGTGGTTTTTCTCATCTCCTGGCTTCCTCGCGAAACATCTGGACCATGTGCGGGAGAGGCACGGAAATGTGCTGTTTGCCAACTCAGATTGGGCACTTGGCTGGAGGAGTTTCATCGACGGTGCAATTGAAGAAGGCACGAGGGTTGCTTTCGAAGTGCGAAGAGAATTGATGGAGTCACTGGACCATGGTGGAAAGAGCAGTTTGTAAGAAGGGATGATGTATAGTTTCTGTAGAATACGAAAGCGTCCTTCCCAGTCATCAACAAACCTTCTTCTGCGCTCAGAATGTACTCACTTTTCTTTGCATGCACACACAAGGTAGCCGGGTAGACCATGTGCACATTGAGGATGTAGCTCAATTGACCATCTCAGAAGTCAAGTAGTGCGGTATTTCAGTGGACGCATTTGAATATGTCGTACTCATACCGATTCAGAATACTCACATTAAGCCATGCGCCATATGCTAATAGAAGAGGACATCTGGAGGCTAGCCAGATATGGAAAAGGCCGCTACAGTGCCCGTGCGTCAGTTGAGCACCAACGCCAGTTGAGCACCCCCACCAGCTCAACAACAAAACTTCAACGCGTCATAACTTAACTAATATAGATCTGATTCAAGAAGCGATTGCAGAAATTAAATCGCGAGAACTAGGAGATAATTTCTCGTACTAAGCAATCGCGAAAAAGTATAGTATAGCACAGATGACGTTGATGAGACGACACCGCGGCGAAACTAAGGCCTATAGCGTACGCCACCTCTCCCTCCATCCACAACACGAAAAAGAGCTTCTACAATACGTTAATACGCTTACTGAACGACGTTTGCCACCTTTAAGAGAGATAATACAACGCTTTGCTACAGACTTAGCTAGAAAAGAGGTTTCAGAAACCTAGGTTACCTAGTTTCTCTAGCGTCATCCTAACTTTCTTATCTTAGCGTACAGCAAGGGGTTAAGTAAACTTTGTTACAACGCTGATTCAGGAGCTAAGTATAGCTTGTACTTTAAGCTTTTAATTAAAAAGATAGAGGAGTACGACGTCTAGCTGTCCTATATATTTAATATAGACGAAAAGGGGTTTTAACTTAGAAGGATTAGCAGAATAAAGCGTATCTTCTCTAAGGCACGTTATATAAAAAAGGGGGTACGCTAACCGCTTAAGGATGGCTTAAGTGAGTAGATTACTGTTATGGCTTATATTTATTCGGATAGGAGCGTTTTGAGTCCTTCTCTCATCTTTAAGGCAGCTAACGGAGCTATACAAACCAGCTAGGTTAATACTGTACAAGCAGGAAACTACTCAGTCTTTACTACGTCGTCGCCCTCCAGCTAGAGCAACAACAATATCGGATTACATTGGCTTAAGGAGGTGTTCGAAAGAGAAACCTAGCAGTATGCTTCAACTAGGTATTAATTACTACTTCTTGACGGCCATAGATCTCATGTTACAATAGACTTTATTAATTATTGTTACGATTACAAGATCCTGTTAGCTGTATACCTGCCTCACGCTACCTATACACTTTAACTACTTAATGTAGTGATGTTTAAACCTTTAGCAAACGCTTACTCAAAAGAGCTAACCTAATACCTTTAAAACTGCTAAGAATTACTCAATATAACCAAAAGAGACTTCTTCCCGCTCTTCTAGAGGTCCTAGGTCAAGGTTTTCAAACCTCTCCTTATTAAGAGGTCCTTTAAAGCAACTAGTATACACCCACCCAACCCAGCAGTTGTACTTAACAAGTTTGCTAAGAAGAGGTCAGATTTAGAAGCCAGTTTAAGCTCTATACTCTCCGCTAAGAATTAGCTTAAGCTGAAGTTAATTATACATCAGGAGGTGAGGGATTAAAGCAGTAAAGAGGTTAAGAAGCTTTAACAAAGTTTACACCACCTTACAGCTTAAAATATACTCCTCTACGGCGAACTCTAAGGCCTCAGGCAGTCCCTAGCTATTAAGAAGAGGCGGGAAACCAAATCCTATACCCTACAGCTTGAGGATCATCCTGAGTATCATAGTGGAGCTGTTTGGTGGTCACCAACAAGCGTTAAACGAGTTCAGGATAATAAGATACAATAATAATAATAAGCCGAGCTTGAAAAGCTTTAAAAAGCTAAGCAAGCTGAGGCAAGTAAAGCGGCTCGCGATTGTGAGGCAAAGCTTAAAGCTGCGAGGCGTGTAGAGCGGGAGAAGGGTTGGGAGGAGACTAGAAAGCGGAAGGCCGCAGAGAAAGCCGAAAGGGAGCATTGTAGAAGCCTCCGCGACGCTGCCAAAGCTATACAATTACCTAAATTAGGTAAGCGTAAAGCTTCAAAAGCTTATAAGCTAGCTATAAAGCGTTAAAAGCGTGGTGGTGTTGCTACAACTATGGTAGGAGCCGCACGGGTTGCACTAGCTGCTCCGCCGCGTAGTCGACGAGACCGCCCTATAACGCTATCTAAAAAAATATCTAAATAAGCTAAAAGTTTCGTAGGCCTGTATATAGTATAAATCTACTTTTGCGCAATTTTATTACGATTTGTGGTGGCTCTACAACCTCATTTTGTTGACTATATTGAGTTGTTGGGGGTGCTCAACTGGCGTTGGTGCTCAACTGACGCACGGGCACTGTAGCGCTGTAGCAAAATCAGCAAGCGCCGACCTCGGCTTACGCTTTCGCGCAGCCATACAAGTATCTTTTTCCACTCCTGCTAAACGCGCCTTCGCCAAGCCGCACACGTTGCAGACATGCCAGCACTACAAGCACAGTACAATCTCGATGAATGTTAGTGCATAAGGCTCAGAGCAGGTGAGATGCTGCGATAGCCGTGAGCCTACGTCGTGGCCAATCTACGAAGTTATCTACCCTATCGATCTGAGACGTAGGTAAAAGGATGCCCGAAGCAGCAAATAGAAAAGAAGGGCGAGGCTGTTTCCAGTGCTCACGCCGTAGGGTCGTCTGCGACAGGACCGAGCCATCCTGCCTCAAATGTGCGAAGAAGGGTATCGAGTGTTCTGGACTTAGCAGGATTCGATTTGCTGAAGGAGTGGCTAGAAGGGGCCGGCTCAAGAACTGCAGGATTCCCACGACCAAAGGAGATGGTGACTGTCAGAAGTTGCCAGATAATACCAGGTTCCAAGCAGCACTAGTCTGGCCGGGTGAAGACAGAGCTAGAAAGAGGAAACGCAATGCGAACGGAAGCATTGGGACGAAAGACCCGAGAAACCCAACGCCAGATGCACGACAAGAACCACCAGACGACAGTAATTCAAGAGAAAACTCTCTAGAGCCTACCAGAACCGATCAACAAGGTAACACCCGAGCGGACGACATCTGCAGAAGTGAAGATTCGCTTGTGACTGCGTATTCCCGTCACTGCCATGTCGCTCCTTGGATCGCACCGGTAGCCCCAACATTACGGATGCTCTTCTCATATTGTATGTTGATGGTTATCCTAAATCAAGTCTCAGGCGTCGCCCACTGACCTCAACACAGTCTCCAATGTCGTCGCTCCGGTCATGGTCGTGCTTGATGACGACACGAATGGCTATAGATCTCTAGTGCTTCCAATGGCAATCGAGGATGAAGTTTTGCGTCGGGCAGTGAGTGTTGTCGCTACGCAACATCTCAGTCGTCAGCGACCCGAACTCCAGAAAGCTGCTGAAGCTGAACGTGCCGCTGTCATTTCACGACTGCGCAGTGACTCTTTGCAGCAGTCTGCGGAAAAAGTGTTCAATAAGTTCACGTGGGCGACTCTGATTGTGCTGCTAGTAGGCGAGACAGTAACGGGGAGTGCGGATTATGGCTTCCTCATCCAGATGCTGCTCAGCTTGTCCTTGAGCAATCCTGGCCGAGACGCCAATTCTGTTTTACTGAAATTTTTGCAAGCGCAGACTCAACTGTATGTAACCTAGAGGATTACGATACTGCTTCTAACACGTGATAGGTTTGAGCTGCTTGGGGTACCACTGCTTGGCGAAGAAGTGGGACTACTGACGACGATGAAAGCCACAGAATCTCTGATGAGCTGGCTGGCATATCCGCATCTCGCAGAGAACAGTGATGATCGACGCCTTGCGGATCTGATACGGCAATGTTTCGTTTCCGCATGCGACATATACATGCGATCCGCGGCCAACGCCGATACAAACTCAACTTTACATGAATCGATCCAGTCACATTCTATTCAGCAGCTCATTGGTATGGTATCGCAGATTTTGCCTGACACTCGTGGTGCTCACGCACTAGTCTGGGTATACTTTGTCGCCGGAGCAGCTTCGACCGATCAAGGTCAACGGGATTTCTTTGTGCACCGCATGGAACTGGTTCACTTCCGTACGCAGTTTCAAAATGTTTCTACTGCGATACAGAGCCTCAAAAACATATGGGCGCGCGGGCATAGAGGACGCTGGACCGCCTGTCTTCCTCAATTATCTAACGTGCTAGTCATGTAGGTCATATGCATAAGCATTTCACTTCTGGCACAACAAATCTATCGCCTTCAAAGATATTCAGTGCACCTCAGTCTCGATGATGTTCAATCTACTTTGGTGCCGTCTTGGTTCATACGCATACGCTGTGGTAGCGAGGTCACAGAGCTTTGGATCTAGCACTACACAAGAGCTGAAGTTTCCATTTTTATCGATGGCTCATGTATCTGCTAATCAAGCTGCAAGGCTCTTCCAAGCTTCTCTGCGACAAGCTCCTCACTCAACTCCCATAATCTCTATGTCTTTTCTTTGCTATCTGCATACGGCGGCACATCAGTGACTTGACAGTCACTCAAGTATACGCCTTTTTCCGGCGTTAACTCTCGATCTAGCGCAGCTACTAACGCGATCGCAGCACCTTGGTTAATGGTCTTCTCGAATGGATCTGGGAATTCTGCCTTTCGCTCTTTGGCCATCATGCCCGACACCTCGTCCGCTGCTCGAGTCTCCACGCCTCCAGGGTGCAGCGCGAAAGCAAAGATACCCTCGTGTGAGAAGAGTGTGTTCCAGTGAACAGCGAATAGTATGTTAGCTGTTTTGCTTTGTCCGTATGCAATCCATGCAGAGTAACCTTCGTGCTCCTCAGAGCCGAATATCTCCTAGATGTGAACGAGATTGGGTACGCTGCGGAGTGATTTGAGTCCATCTAATTTACCCTCACTGAGACCATCGTTGAGGGATGGATATCATTCTACGACCCTGTCTTGAGATTGGTAGCCGTGAGGATTCGACCTCGGTCTCCTAGGTATGGAGGTTGATGAATCGTTATTCCTGTCGATGTTGCGGAAACGGGAATCGAGACTTTCGCCAACTTTTCGCCAACTATCAGCTACCAAGTGGCCGATGACATGTATCGATATGCGCCTTTTCTCCTAGTCTTCAGGGACTTGAAAGAACGCAATCAAGAAGCGTAGAGTACCAAGATAGTGTTTTGGCACCCCAGATGACAATCCGATATCAGTATGGCATTGAACCTTGGCACGTAATTGGAGAATGAGTGCCGATAGACTGCATGCAGTCTGGAGATAGCATACGCAACGATATTGAACCGGCTTACTTGCCGCCATTTACACGATTGAGGCTTACATTACCTAGCTCTAAGTGTATATGATACTCAACAAACTGGTTTTCCAGACTAATCTCGCTGCCATCGTTCCTGCCCTGCGACTTTCTGCTCCAACCTTGACCCTGAAGTGCAGTGGGACTAATGATGTCCACCGAATTAGCCAGCTCGCCATGTTTGCGTACGACTATTGGGCTCGGTAGTCCGCAAATTCGAATCAGCTGATCACTCACTTGTGTTTCTGCCGAGCAAACGAGGAGGCAGAAGTTTCCTGGTTCGTTGGAGATGCTGACAAAGCAGATCTTTCTCTTCAATTCCGCCAACAAGGTACACATATATATCTGAGTTGACATGAATCTGAAAAACCATCTCGGCACTTTTACTCCGTCCATCCAGCGAGTAAGATATATGTTCAATCTGTCCCTCCTTCGCTGAGCAAGTAGTTTTCCCCATTGTGTTCGTTCTCTCTTGGTTGGCCTTGGAGCCCCAGCGCTAAGGGGCGTAACCTCGAGGGCTAGTTCCTGATCTTGGGGCGGGAAAAAGAAACCCGAAACCTTGCATCCGATGTTCTCGGCCCAACTTGCCCACTGAAGCATCACTCGCATATTCTCCAAATGGGAGTTTCTTTCAAAGGCCTCGAAAGTTCTGCTCGTTGATTGAAAGGATACGCAGCCGCAAATGGCTCCAGTATCTTCGGCAAGCACCGTCAGAATACGCTTAGTAGGGTCTATAGATACCCGTTGATGAGCACGTTCCTTCTTCACCATCTCTTTCGTTTCAGACGAAATACGTGGATGTCCCCGGAGAAGATCAGTACCAGGAAATCCTGGCAAGTCTCGCCACGTGTTGCTCTTGAAGGTAGACCAATCCGGGACCCATGACGGAGTGTTTTGCAGTCTTCGCGTAGCAGCTATAAACAGTATCCGCAAGTTCTCAGTCACTTGCAGCAGACTCACGGTCAGCTGCCAGTAGACCAAAGGTATTTGCGTCCCATCATCGGCATCGTACGCGGGTTCTGGAAGAACAGTTGCGCCAAGCTTGGGCAGAATGGCCCATATACCGTATGCCATATCCCTTGGGTTTGTAGCTGCTCTCTGATATAGAGCGCCCACCAGGACATCTGACCCAGTGTCATCGAGGTCGCGTCGAAAGGGATTATACAAGTCGCGCACCTCTATCACTGCGTATAAGACTGTTCCAGGAATTGCACCAATAGTCAACAACATGTACACCAGTTCGGTAATGGGTCCAAAACGAAAACTGATTCTCAGTTTGGGATCTTGCGTAGAACAGATACCGACAATACCGACCAGAAGGGCTGCTGTTAGACATGCCAGCACAAAACAGACCCAGGCAATCTTGAGAGTCCGTCGTGCTGCGAGGACTTTCTTTACAACCCCCTCGTGCTCTTGTAGAGAATGTAGTACGTTAGGCTCGGCAGGTCGAACAACGGAACTTATCTTGCCCCTATCGAAGGCGATATTCTCCCATGTGATGATGACCTTTGGGAAGTTTGACCCAGAAGTACTCCGCAATAAGAGGAGCGCCCGTTCAAGATCCGACCACTCAACATGTTCAGATCCACATACCATTACGGGGTGTGAAGCTAGTAGGATTTCTTGATAAGTCCAAACTCGACCTCTCCACGGCCGGTCGAGAACGTAGATAATATCATACCAGTTGACATATTGCACCCGGCGTGAAACGTAAGCTAGCACAGGCTTCTTGTTTTCTTTGACAATCAGCTTGATACAGTCAAGAGATAGGGGGCTGCCTACGCCGCAACGGCAGTGGGTGATATCCGAAACTCAACCCAGCAAAAGAAGAACGCAAAGCTGCAACATAAGGTCGGTATCGTGGCGTTTCGTCCGGCGCTGTTCGAACAAATGTACGGAGTCCGCCTCTCGACATGTATCTCATGACTCGGTCAGACCTATCATCCCCACGACCCAACCATATGTACACCTGCCGGGCCTTGGTGTATATGTCTCCCATGAGAGGAATTTGCCACTCTTTTTCCTGGCTGTTATTTCCTTGATTGATACATATTGCGTCCACCCAGATTACCAGTCCCTGGAGCTTCTTACTCAGGTGCCATAAAGCTGAGTAGCAGTTCTCGGTAACCGAAAACAGAACACCATCACATACGATGCTGCGGTTATGTTCCGGGTCGCCCCACACGTACGACAATGCCGTGAAGTCGGGTTCGCGATCGAGATGGATAACGCGCAAAGTACAATTGACAGGTGTGCCTTCGATAGCGTCTTTGGGAATAGGTTGTACGTCGAGTACTCGTATGGTGTTTGTATTCGGAGGGAGCGCATGTCTCTCGTACACGTTCTGTTCATCTTGTGAGGTCTGCTCGAGTTGCAGTGTATGCGAGGTTATATCGGCCATGATTGTCGGTAAAGTGGGCGTGTAAGGCTGACGCAGGCTGAGGACTGGTATTATGCAACCTCAAGATGGCATTGACGCAGAAAGGTAGCACTGCCACTAGATAGCTTCTGAAGATCAGGATGATCAGACAATAGGAGTTTTAATGTGAGGTCATAGGGAGTGAGAAAGATAAAAAGCGAGGATGCTGCGTTATCGAGCGAGGAAGGCTGAGAAATAGCCCCCGCTATAGCATGTCCGGTGCGCCACTATTTCGAGGTTGTGTCAACGCAAAAATTACTCGACCGGTATACAATTCCTATTGTCACGTTCATACCCGATGATCGCAATCCTTGAAATGATTCGTCAAAGCGAAGCGCAAGGCTTCGGCGTGTATGTTCCCTCTCGATGGAGGCAGCGGTACCCAGGCTCATTATCTCTGAGCTTCTACCAGGACTCCATGTGCAGGCAGCCTGTATGAGCTTCAAGGTGTACTAAGGAGATGGTGCAGGCGCGCACGGGCGTAGGCACCCTCCCGAGGTCGTCACCCCGCACTTGGTTTACCTGCCCGTCCCACGAGCGATCTAAGTGCGACTCGAGGTTCAATTGCGCACGCTTTTGGAACGAGCTTGTGTACTGTTTAGAAGTTTTTAGACGACCGTAACGTGGTCAGGTGGGTGAGCCCGTCAACAGACGCCGCTCGTTGACAATGCCAGACGTCTGAAAGACATCAGTTACCCTTCCTGACCAGATGCGTTACTTGTCTACCGTTTCGAATACCGAAAACGTATGACCGCACATATGCTGTTAATACTATGTAATACCCCAAGAAGCGATGAAATGGTCGTAGAACTGGAAACCTGAATCCAAACATATAGCTGGGCACGCAGCATGGCGATCATCCATTGTCAAATCCAGTCTACAAAGATGTGGATGTTCCACCGACGTCATGAACTTACACCAAGCTCGCTAAAGAGACAGCCAATCGTACGAAGCCTTCGTGCTAGCAGGGTAGAGAGGCCCCGCTTTTTTATCGTTGCTTTATTCGTGGACGGCAGCTCTGCTGCCTCGTAGTGCTGTGATACACACATGAACTTGCACCAGAAAACATATCGCACACCGTGTTCAAACTGCACAATCGCTTAGCCACTAGGTATCTGCTTCATATCATTGAGATTCCGGCGAAACGACATTGAACAACTGCGACCACCCGAGTCTGGATGTCTGGATACAACCTCGCTTTCTCAAGTACGGAAGGATTACCTCGGAAGTTCCATCATGAAGCTCGCGGGTTGACCGAGGTTCCGGCAGCATCGCAGTCATTCTTTATCACTCATTAACTCTGCTAAGCTAGAGGATGTCTCCCAGTGTTGCGTCGGCACAGACGGTGTGATGAGTAATTGCTAACCTCAGTGAAGGGCTTCTGTGTCTGTACGAAGATCGAAAAGATGCGGGGAAGCTTAATGAGATGCTCAATAACGGCCCCGATCTCCAACGCGTAGGACAGAACAACTAAACCTACAGTGTTTGCCAATCGCGTCCTATAAGAAGGGATGCACCTACTATAACAAACATACAAGGCCAGCAACACATTTTTCTACACTCAGCATCCATACCACACATTCACGATCTCGATCGGCATTATGTCTACCCAATCCCTGCCCCCAATAGTTCCCTACACATCTATGAACGTTTCGGGCGATGAGCGAAGCTCCGCCATCGATTCTGTCAATCGACTCAACTTTCTCTTTGAAGAATGGGATACACCAAAAATCCTACAAGCCTTTGTTCCAGATGCGAAAGTTTTGCATGTCCACGGTACACTCTACGGACATGAGGCTATCATCGAATTTTTCAGAAAGGTATTCCCTCCTTCCATACCTGGTGTTCATCAGCACGCTTCCAATCATATCGTAGACCGAGACAAGGAAACCGGTGGCGTCTTGGTGCGCTACCATAACTACCTCTACCGCTACGCATGGCCAGACGACACCGAGGGGGTCAAGGGCACTGTGTTACAGTGTAAGGAGGACACGGAAGGTTTACCAGCACTCTGGAACGGAGTCACGACGATGAACCGATTGGTTCTTTCAGCAGATGGGTGGAAGCTCAAGGAACGAGTGTTTGGCGGATCGGTAGCTAACAAGGAGCTGATGCCTGATGCTAAATTGACAAAATGAGACATGATATTAGGAACAACTCCAGACAGAATATATGTTCCTGGACCCTTTCAGATTGAGTACAGCACATATTCTACCCCTTTATGGCAATCAAAGATCTGTAATTTGACAGGTATGTTGCGAGACATGTGCATAAACTTGGGAAAATGGCACTCCAGATGCATAGAGGTCAAAGAGACTACCAGGGAATGAAGAAGCTAGAGGGGCGCGTAATGTCATGCTCTGAGTGTGACTGTTTCCATCTGCAAGAGTCATGCGCGACGTGACACTGGCGACAGTGATGGGCGGTGGTGCGAAAGTGAGCGACAGATTATCGGTGCACATTGCTGCAAGGGTCATTTGCGTTGGAAACCCGCATATTTGTGCCGATTTCGACTGGATATACGACCGTGCCGAAAACTGCAGACGCGCATCAAGCAGCCGATTGAGCAACAACTTGCTCGTCCCAGGGCCACAGATCTCCAGGCCATAGATGATGCGGCGAATGATGCGACGTCATGAGACTTCTTGGTCGGCAGCGCAAGCAATATACATGCCGCAACGCAATAGATTAAACCGCCCGAGGTGAACCGGGAAACTCAACCTCGTAAACCAGCGTTGAGCCCGGTTTTCATCTACTGAACCGGGTTGTAGGTATTCGCTCTGTGGGGGCGCCACATACATCGCGACGTCGAAAAACATTGGAATGAAGATGTCGCAGCGCAAAGGAGCTTGTATGGCTCGGAAGGATGCTGAGGTGGAGGCACATGCGAAGGCTTGTGTTGGAGCGCGCTAAGGGCCAAAGCGACCGAGCTCCGCCTTCTCTAGACTCTACCCAACCACGTCCCACGAACCACCCGCCCACCGAACCCTCATCTGCGCTAAGTACCATTGCAGCTGCACCGACCGACCGCCATGGACGCGACAATGTTCATATATGAAGTCGAGGCGATCTAGTACCCCTCCGTCTCTAGTCAGCCTCAATCTTGCGTTCGCTTCTAACGACGTCAAGACATTCCAAGCTTGTACTGCACCAAGAGCCACCGGCACAGACCCAGGACCCTGCTCGGCAACCGGAGTACACTGCCTAGTACCCGTTGGTAGCACATCACCTCTAATACACCATCATCAAATGTGGAGGCGGGCCGAGTCAGGAGGCAGCACGTTCTGTGCATGCTTCGAGAAGATCCGGGGGCGCAGGTACCATGTCGACATGGTCAACTGACCGAAAGTATGTCTGGGGAAGTTTTGAAACGCATCAACGGCGGCATCACGGACATTGACACCGGCTGAAGTAATTTGGGTATTGATGAAGGCTAAGTTGATCGCCAGTACTAGGGTTGAGCCAGAACATACAAATATGTCTTCCTGACGACGGTATTGTTCTTCACGCACTCCATCTCACAGTCTCTTCTTCGGTCAAGATGCTATCCAACATCCTTCTTACTGCTGCGCTCGCAGCAGGCGTGGCTCAGGCCTTGCCTCAAGCGACCAGTGTCACGAAGACTACCTCTACGGCTCGCGCCACGACCACCGCTGCAGCAACTGGTAACCCTTTTGCTGGCAAGGACTTCTACGCCAATCCATACTACTCGTCTGAAGTCTACACTCTGGCCATGCCTTCGCTTGCTGCATCTTTGAAACCCGCTGCATCCGCCGTCGCCAAAGTCGGTTCATTCGTATGGATGGACACAATGGCCAAGGTGCCCACCATGGACACCTACCTCGCCGACATCAAGGCCAAGAACGCTGCAGGAGCAAAGCTTATGGGAACCTTTGTCGTCTACGACCTGCCCGACCGCGACTGCGCAGCCCTTGCTTCCAACGGCGAGCTCAAGATCGCCGAAGGCGGTGCAGACAAGTATAAGACGCAGTACATTGACAAGATCGCCGCCATTATCAAGAAGTACCCGGACGTCAAGATCAACCTTGCCATTGAGCCCGATTCTCTGGCTAACATGATCACAAACATGGGCGTACAAAAGTGCGCAAACGCCGCGTCAACCTACAAAGACCTCACTGTCTACGCCCTCAAGACACTCAACTTCCCCAACGTGGACATGTACCTCGATGGCGGTCACGCCGGCTGGCTAGGCTGGGACGCCAACATCGGGCCAGCTGCAAAGCTGTACGCCGAGGTATACAAGGCGGCTGGCTCGCCCCGTGGCGTCCGTGGTATCGTCACCAACGTCAGCAACTACAACGCGTTCCGCATCGCTACCTGCCCTGCCATTACCCAAGGAAGCAAGAACTGCGACGAGGAGCGCTTCATCAATGCTTTCGCTCCTTTGCTGAAAGCTGAAGGTTTCCCAGCTCACTTCATTGTCGACACTGGACGCAGCGGTAAGCAGCCCACTGGCCAGCAGGCTTGGGGTGACTGGTGCAATGTTTCGGGCGCTGGCTTTGGCATCCGTCCTACTACTAACACTGACAATGCGCTTGTCGATGCTTTCGTTTGGGTCAAGCCCGGTGGCGAGGTACGTAATGATCCTTTGAAAGGTTGTCTGATGAAATGCATGCTAACGGTAGTGTAGTCTGATGGTACTTCTGACCAGTCCGCTGCGAGATACGATGGCTTCTGCGGCAAGGCTTCTGCTTTCAAGCCTGCGCCTGAGGCGGGTACTTGGTTCCAGGCTTACTTTGAGATGTTGTTGAAGAACGCCAACCCTGCTCTCGCATAGAGTGGAAACACTGGGGCTGAATAGAAGATTGGGACTAGACCTGTGTAAGTATAGAAGGGAGAGTCAGAGGATGCACTGTACATAGCCACGATAGCATCTTACTCTTCAAAGTCAAGATTGAACGAACTTGTGAATCGAGAATTGGTATGATTGGTCTCTTCGCGTTTGTCAAGCTCTCCTCTGTGTCGACTTCAGTGTATGCAGCTGTTCATGTTCAGCCCAGGTGCGTACCCACGTGGGGGTCTGGCAGCGGGAAGCCACATGTCTTGGCGGAGCTAACAACGGTCGATCTTCACTTTCGCGCGACCCTACGCCACACTTGACCTGACAGGCCGCCCCCCCACTACTCCTTCACCACTACCCTTTGACGTACTAAGCCGAATCACCATTTGCGCGCATCGCTTCTCCCTACACGTGCGATTGCTCCACGCTCGTTCACCTCGCAGCGCACCCATTGCGCCCACCAGACACTCATGCGGCTCCAGTTCTATCGATAAGGCAGCGGAGAGGGCAATGCAACGCCCCCAGCTTTCACCTCTGCGGTCGAGACTGCTTCCATACCTCGCCGCTACAGGCGCCTGTATCGCGCTATGGAGCTCCCCGATACCTGGCGCCCACGCTGCTGAAGTCCCTGCGGCCCCCGACCACGACGTCCTTGACAGCCCCGTACTTTACGCCCTTCCCAACGGCGAAGTGTCGCAGATTGGGCATGGAGGATACGATCGCATAGAGAGTGACGGCTATGAGCCGGACTTTGCCTACCTCGATCGCAGTCTGATTGGGCGGCAGGCCGACGTGCTTGACACGTTGGTCAACAACGAGGGGATGCCAAAGGACATCAACCCGGAGGAGACAATGCACTTTGTGTTCAAGAAGGGCGAATTGCGCATGAGAAGCGCTCTTGACGTTCCCACGGAAGCTCTGGAAGCACGGGGAACGGAGAATGTTTCGGACGGAGTTGGATCGGCGGATGTTGTTGCGCCTGGCACAGGCAATGCGAGTGACGAGGATGAGGCTGGACTGGACAAGCGCCAGTCTGGTCGCAGTCGCGTCTGGCTAACTGCCAACACTTGTCGTCAGCCTATGCCGAACGGAAATGCGACGGACGCCATGAAGAACCATCCTCAGCTCGTCATGTACGTCTCCACATCAGCGCAGAACCAACGGCCAGGCCCAGATGCAACGCAAGACACTCTAACCAACATAACGGGCGTGCTGTTCGATGGTGGCTACGCCAGTTTTGAGCTCAATGCTACGTCAGATGTGTACATTGGCATTGGAGCGCCCAAGCTAGAAGAAGACTGGTTCGGCAGCTGGCATTTTGAACTCGCTGCCAGCACCGACGGGCCCTACCACAGCTACAACGCCACTGAACCGTTCCTGTACATGGTGGATACTGACAGCGAGTCTGCGTTATTCATTACGTACGACCTGGGCGATTCGAACAAGACGGAGGATGTCGATAAATGGAAGGCGCAGAACCCTTTCCACATGTACGCTTTTCCAGATGACGAGTGGACTCCGGTTACGGGGCTGGAACGGTCATATTGCGCGCTCAAGGAACAGTTCAATGTGAACACCACGAGGAACTTCACCATTGACACGAGTATCACGACGAAGTTTAGCGGCGACAGCTTCATGCCCAAGAGCCAGTTCCATGTCAGGAACTTGCAAGCCGCGAAGACATACAATGGTTTCGTAGTAGTTGAGGGCAGCCAAGAGCCACTATACATCGACCGCGTAGGCACAACGCGAGGCGGAGGCCGGGTCTTCCAGGCCTTCAACTGGACCACAAAAGCCGGTTCGTAACACACTCTCCCCCACTCAATCGCTCTACTAACGACCATACCCAGACGACTCCTGCCAAGTCCTCTTCGACCTCGACTTCTGTGACACGGTCGCCTACGCCGTACCATCCAACACCCGCTTCAAATACAACGACACGGCCCTCGCAACAATCTACGACGACCAGGCCCGTGAATACTACGACAACTTCACAAAGTCGCTGGCACAAGTTGCTTGCGACACCGTCTCTGAATCGCAATACTCGCTCGCCCGCACCTGCGACGACTGTGCAAAAGACTACAAATCCTGGCTCTGCATGGTTCTCATGCCGCGCTGCGAAGACTGGACCGCAAACGACTCGTCGCTCGTCCCGCGGAATGTCAAGACACCTTTTGCCAACGGCTCCCTTCCTGACATGATTCCTGGCTTCAACGACAGCGCGGCGTTTGCTCGCAGTAGGAATCCGCTCATTGACGAGGTCATCCAGCCTGGCCCGTACAAGGAGATGTTGCCCTGTGACGACATGTGCTTTGATATTGTGAGGAGTTGTCCTGCGCAGATGGGGTTTAGTTGTCCGAATGGGGCGCAGAGGGAGAGCATGTATGGGCGGAGGGATCCGGATAATGATCGGTTGACGTGTAATTTTCCGGGAGCGGTCGTCAAGTTGAATGCGAATAGTAGTGGCGAGGCGTTGGGGGTGCAGATGCAGGGTGTGATGGCTGTTGTTGGTATAGTCGCTGCTATGTTGTTGGTTTGAGATGGAAAGAAGATCGTTGTGTTCCCCTGGCATTCAGGTAGAGAAGCGCATGGGGGGGCTAGCATTGTCCTGGCGTTGCAACGAATATCATATATGACCTTTGCTTCACCAAGGTATCTCACACACTAAACTCCAACCTGTTCCCCGCAAAGTCTCGTGCAAAGAACCTCGTTGGATACTCAACGCCTTCCGCCCCACTATTCTTCGCACCAGGCTTATCAGCCATCAATGGCGCGCTCTCCCCTTTTCTCTCAAAGTGCTCCCATACCCTGATTTGCAGCTCGTTCAGCGCTTCTACGCTGCCGACCCGGAAACAAGGGTGGCGTGAGGAAGGATGAGCAAAGTCCTCGGGCTTGCCGATTGCGACGTGGACTTGCTGGCCTGATGTGCCGATGTCGAACCAGGCGAGTGTTTCGCGCTGGAGATGGGGTACGGGGCGTGGTGTGAGGCCGAGGGTTTGGGAGTAGAATTCGTTGGCGAGGTGGAGGGTTGATGCGGGTACCACGAGGTTGATGTGGTGGATGCCTGTTATCATGTTGGGCGAAGGGGTGAGGTGACTTAGTTAGTGGATATGGTGGTCGATGGTTGGGGGATGTGAGGACTTGGCGCTGCATGTTGGGGTGAATGCTAAATGCGGGGTCAAGACGTGGAGGCGCGCGCGAGCCCCTGGTAGTCTAGTGGCGGCTCGGAGACGACGTTTAGCCTGCGCCGCACGCGACATTTCTCAGCTGAAGGACACTCAGCCTTTCATGTTGTCTACAAGGTGATCGCTTGAATGCAGCATATACTCAGCCTCTGACGTCTTCCAAGGCCAAAAACGTAACGCTGTGGTATCATTGGTCTGACATGAGCACCCCGCACAAGAGGTCGCGAGTGCTGCCTACGTCCTTTGATTTTAAAGAGTCGCCAGACGTTTCTTCCATTCAGTTGACGCCTGCCGCTACGAGATTCTAAATAGCACCTAAAATGTCTTCTACCACATTGCCCAACGTACGCGACCCTTCTCCGTGGAGTGCGGACCACCTCTGTGATGACTGCAGCAACATGGGACACGAGATTAGGCAGCTTTGTGAGGTGAAGGGTTCCAAAATATCGAAGTCCCGAGCTCTGGTGGAGAAGAATAGATCGACTTGCGCATTCTGTGGGGTGATTGCTTCTCGTTTTGAACTCGAATCTGGAGAAAGCGAAGGAGAAATCGATATCTACCTCGGCAAACGTCAGTCAAGATCGTCAAGATCGGGTTTCCATTACGTCACCGAGGGTATTGACCAATTGGGGGTCTTTTGTCGTAAGGAAACAGCAGCAATTTCGATGGATGTTCTTACCACCGAAAGTGAGAACTTGTTCCTGCTTTTGAGTTTTAGGGAGAGATGTCTGTGGGCTGACCGTTGATACAGGTAGTGCTCCCGCCATCGCCAAACATATTTCAGGCAGATGTATCACGCCCGCTTCAAATCTTGAACGAGCAAAGGATTGGTTGAACGACTGCATTCGCAATCATAATCACGATCAGGTTAGAACTGCGACCCGTCCGTCTAGATTGGTGGCAGTAGGTACTGCAGATGGGTCTGCGTCTATAAAGATCGTGGACGGCTCGGATCCAGACAAAGGGTACTTAGCAGTCAGCTATCGCTGGGGAGGCGAGACTTTGCTTACTACATCCGAAACTTTTGAGCTATTTCACATCTCAATACCTTGGAAACAGCTCCCTCAAACATTTCAAGATGCTATACATATCGCACGCGGGCTTGGCATACGCTATATGTGGATCGACTCCTTGTGTATCATTCAAGACAACTTGGCTGATTGGGAGACCGAGTCCGCTAAGATGGCAGACATCTACAAGGGCGCTTTTTTGACTATTATGGCTGCCTCTGCATCAGATAGTCAGGGAGGCTTCTTTCGAGATCGTGCCACAGTCAAAGAAATAGCAGCTTTACCATACACAAATGCCAATGGGGCATCGGAGTTTAGTGTTTTTGTCCATGAAACACTTCCAAGCTTTCACAGCTCTACGTTCGCCTCACGGCTGTTCCAGCGTGGCTGGGTATTTCAAGAGCGACTCATGTCGAAAAGGAACTTAATATTCGGTGAAGACCAAAAATACTGGGAGTGTAATGGTATCGTCCAGTCTGAGTCGAATATCCAAAGTCCAAACGACTGGTACTTGAGGCTATACGCTAATTTTCGAGTCTTCTGTGATCCATTACACAAGACGGATGGCATAGATGGTCAGGTTTCACCGGCGATCTTGTGGAGAAACGTAGTGGGGCAGTTTTCTGCATGCGTCTTGACATACGAAGCAGACAGACTTCCTGCTCTGAGTGGAATTGCGCGAACATTTTCACAGCGATTCGACAGTTCCTATGCCGCCGGACTGTGGCAAGATCAAATGCCCAAAGGCCTTGAGTGGTGTGTCCACTTCCAAGCATCGAAAGAGACCCATCAAGGGGTATACTGCGCCCCATCGTGGTCCTGGGCATCAACAATTGGTGCGGTCACTTTCGTTGATGGCATCAATTTCGAACTGGAAATTATAAGCATCAATATAAAACTCGCTGGTCAGGACCCATATGGCAGAGTATGTCCAGGTAGTAGCATGTGCGCTCGAGGCAGATTGTGCAGTGGCACCGTGGTCAGAGGAAAACCACATGATCCAGCAGTGTGTCTGGAAACTGAACACGGACGCTTCAGAAGTTCACTGTTCCTAGACCGAGACGATCAGGACCTGCCTCTCGAAGTCGTCTGCTTAGAGGTGTCATCTGGTGAACTTGGGAAACGAAATGCGGGTTGTCTCTTGCTATGCAAAACGGGAGAAGACAAACATTTTCGAAGGGTGGGTATAGCTTTCCTTAAGCACGTTCCTCGAGACGAAGATTACCTATTTCACGGCATCGAGAAGCAGGTCGTCATACTAGTGTAACTCAAGGATGCCTTTCGATCTCTGATCATACTAGTGCTGCGTACGCACAAGCGTTCATAGAAACTCACATTCTTAGAAATGACTCTTTTAATACCGAAGTCTAGACCAGCTGTTAGAATAGTTATACACTTTAGCTCTAGATAGCTTATTAATTTACTATTATATGATATAGGAAGTAGTCTAGAGTCTGAGTAATATGTAGCCAGCTCTAAAAGTAACGATTACATTTGATGTTGTGGTGGAATCCTACTGTAAAGCGTGGGGTTGCGATCTTTCAGGGGACAAATCTTGTTAGCCGCCTTAGCTATGCTGTTGGGTATCACGTCGGGGCGCTCCAAAGACCGGTCTAGAAGCGTGGGATGAGTACATGTTTATGCTAGGCTGTAGGCTGTAGTCGCGGTCGAGATGTCGCAGTGCATGCCAAGGAGCCAATCATCTATCTTCTGTCTCAGCTATGATATATGTGGCTGACAACGGAACCAGCAACATGTGTGCCATGTCGAAGCGAAAGCTGAAAAACAAATGACAAGAAACTGTATAAGAGCAGGGTGATCTCCGACTGCATGCTTATAATTGATCCACATTCGGCAGTAACATCTCTGCTCGTATAAAATGACCTTCGTGCATTTTACTTCCGACCACCCAGGGCTCGACTTAGGCAAGCTTCTAAGTCTCTGGACACTCGCCCTTGCTCCTCTCATTGTCCACGTAATAGCAGGCGCCCCGGAGCCAATATACCTCTGCGCCAAGCCACCAAGATGGATCGACTATGCTGTATTCTGGAACCCTACATCAATCATCTGGCGTTACTTCATTATATTCGATCGCAGGATTCGTGCCAGAAACTGGAATCGCGAAATTCTGGCCTCGTCCAATGCGCTTTTTTGGACGACGAATGGCTGGAATGGAAGTGAAGATATGATAAGAGAGGGGGGGAAGTATTGTATAAGGTTACCGCCTAAAAGTCACGCAGAGCTGTTGTCGAAGTCGTTCATGAATACTGTAATCGTGACATTGCAGGGCGTGCAGGCTTTGTACGAGTTGCTCTTAATGGAGGAATTCAACAACGACATGAATTTGGCTACCGTGTTCCTGCCACTTGCGCTGCTGGGTCTCATACGGCTTCCCTCAGCTCTCTGGATCACGGATGGTTTCGCGTACAATCACTACGACATAGATCTAAGCAACAAGAGGGCCAGTCAAGTCACCACAACGACAAAAGCAGGATACCACGAGTTGAGCACCGTACCATTGTCAGACGACGACACGCCTCAGTGGCCACCTCAGACAAGGGACGATACCAGCTACGAAGAATTCCGCCCTCGGACAAGCATTCATGGCTACATCGCGAGAATCATCTTCTTAACTCCACTACTAGGCATGGCGAGCCTAAGCGGCTTGTGGACCTATCGGCTTTTGAAAAATACCATTTACTATTCCACTTACATTACCGGCACGGGACTCTTTTCACTCATGCTCTGGTGCACCTTCAGCTTCGGAAGTGCCGTCATCTTCATCCTCAATATCGCAAGAGCACAGGACAGAACTACCGTCGTTCCTGGAGTGTCGACGTTGTGGTACCGCTTATACTCCGCTATCCTTTTCCTTCTCATGCTCGCATTGTTCATCACGGCGAGTATCGAGACTAAACAAACATGGTGCGGAAAAACCACCATCTTGTACGATTACGACGTCTGCCCTTGGATCTCGTACCTACCGCAAGACACATACATGTACTTCAATGCGACTGCTAAAGATGGCTCGCGCAGTTGGACAGGCTCCATTAACGCGACGAAGGCGTATTTGGCCGGTGATTACTTTTTGAGAGCTGTGAATGCCTCCCTTGATGCTACCCCTGAGACCGCGCACGCGTTTCTAAATCAGAGTTTAGAAGAGTTTTTGAGAAACGTCGATAGTTAGGAGGATTGTATTAAGCAAAGTACCAAGTAAGATATTGCGTACAGGTCAGACAAATCAGTGCGCAAGGCTTTAGAGTTCCTCGCTTTTTAGCTCAAGAAGCACAGCTGACGATTCCTGAATGTATTGAAGCAGGGACCGGTAAGCATGCCCTGCGTTTGTGGGTGTGGACTACGGACCCATGGTGTCGAAAACTCTGTTGAGATTAGATGGTCATGGAGACAAGAGAGTCAAGATTCTCATTTGGGATGTACGCGAGATTATCTGTTGTCATAGCATCGTGCAAGCATACTCACGATGTGAAACCCATCTCACACAGCACTCCCAGCTAACGGATTCCTGGTGGTAGCCCTCATGTCACATGCAGAAAAGGTTTTCGAACTCGTCCAAGTATATACTACATAGCGCGATCTACAGCAAAGATCAAACTCGTACGCGTTTTTCCTCCCAGAAATGCTACAAGTCAATTACAATAAAAACGCCGCCCATATGCTCAAAGGGTATCGCTCGTACCGAATGCTTTTTGGTGGCTGGATCGGGGGAAGCGAGCCGAACCAGATGTATGTCCCAAACCATGAAACGCCATGTCAGTTCTTCCATTGCCATCACATCAGCTCTTGTTGCACACTCCTCCGCTCCCCATTCTCGCACCATCTCCATATCTGTCGATCAAGCAGACACCAAGGGACCATGAAAGTCCCTCAACGCAGCAACAAGATCATCCTCGCGCATCAACTGCAGCAGCAGCTTCTCCTGCACCTCCTTCCACTTTCTTAAATCATCCAACTCGCGCGTGCTCAGCCATTTTTCTTCGTTTCCAACGACATCAGAACGCTCGGCTTTGGTAAGGGTGAACTCAATCTTCTCCCTTTCGTACCTGATCCTCTGCAAGATTCTCACCATACCCTTGTATGTATCATGCAGCAACTTCTCCCTCGCGCGCTGTCGATCGTACCACACAAGATGGAGCGAGTGTTTTGCTTCGCGGCGATCTACCTTGGGTATCTCTTGTGTTTGAACGAAACCTTGAATAGTGAGATCATTTACAATGCCCCGGACGTCTGCAGCCGACATCATCATCACGTTGCACATGGCTCTCTCATCCAGTCTACCCTTTTTGCGCAGGGCGCGTACGAGCTTAACTCCCAACGAACCTTTGCGTGCCGAGATGGTGTTTTCGAGTTCCGTTTGTATCATCTGGCGGGCGATTTCGTCAAACTCAATATGCCATTGTGAGAAGCCAGCACGAGAATGCCAGGTAACGAAGTGGAAGGGATCTTCAGCCAACATCTGGATGTGTTTATCCACCACCTTGGTCCTCTCTTCCATGTTCAGTTTTGTGGGATCGGTCGGTTGCGTCCAGATGTTTGTGCGGTTGACATGCCCTTTACGGGTGATTTGCACAGCGGCGTTGGGGTCGATGCCCTCGAAGATATCGAGATCACCACGCTCGCGGCTGAGCTTCGTCGCAACGTCGCGCGCGGTCACAAGGAAGCGAGGGTCAATCGAGGCGTCGCCAGATTCACCGCCGGGGAGAGGTGGATCGGGCCATTCTTCCCAGCACCGGGGTGTCTTGGATTCGAGCATGCGCAACATGGTTTGGTACACACGCGCGGTGACGGATCCCAGACGTTGCTCTACGAGGTGTACAAGCTGCTCCGACCGCATGGCGACTGCAATCTTCTCCGGGTTGACGCGTATGACAAGATCGTCGTCGGATGAGGGAGTTGCGTAGCCATTTGCGCCGTTCATCTTCATGCGCTTGTTGGCGCCGTTGGGTTGTCCGCCTTTTGCGAACTTGGGAACCGTGAGCCATTCGTCACGCATTGCCCGTTTACGTTCCAGGGTGCCTCTGTTAACGACGTCTTTGTCTTTGGTACCGGTAGGTGTGATGCCTGCGTTGTCTTGCTCAATGGACTCTTGGTAGAGCATGTCGTGCATGTCACCTGGGGACAGGTATTGCGTTTCGGTAACTGTCCTGACCCACCCACGCTCTATCAATAGCTGTATGAGCTCGTATAGCTCGTCGACAGAGGTGATATCGCTGTCATCCTGCTCTTGCCCAGGCTCTTCTGGCGCGCCGTTGTGGGTTACGCTGTCGACCTTTGACGCCTTATCGGCCTTGTGTACGCCGTTAGTTTTTCCATGGCCGTTTGTGAGGTCTGGCTTTGCGTCGTCCAACTCGGACGGCATGCCGTTCGCGACGCCATTTGTCTTCACTATTCCGTTGACGTGGTTGCCGTTGGTCCGTTTCCGCTTGGAGCCTGCGCCGTTGGCAGTGCCGTTGTCTGAGTCATCGTCGCTTTCGGTTTCGGGCGGGAAGTAAGCTTCCTTCAAATCGGCGATGCGCGTGTGGCCGAGGGCAAGCAGGTTGGACATGACATTTGCGGCTTTCTTGCCGAAGCGGTCTTCGACCAGTTTGACAACCTTGCCGAAGCGGACGATTGCGTAGGAATTTTGCCAGTCGATCTCATAGTAGGTCAAGGGCGCATCGCTGCCGGAGTGGAAGATGAGGTGTTGCTGGAGGAGGATGACGAGGCCATACTTGATCTGTCGCCCGTTCAAGTAGGAAGCGCGTGCGATGGATGCGAGACTCTGGCGCCCATGGCGCGCGAGGATTGAATAGACGCGCTACGAGTAGTTAGAACAGTGTGGTTGAATGCGCCCGTCGCATGCCTGAAGTAGGAAGATTTCTGCGCCTGAGCGCGACAATGCGCGGCAGATAGTTGGATCAGGAAGATTGCTCGGTCAGACATACAGCCGCAAGTTCACCGTAGACATCCTCGACAAGGAAGGTGCAGAGTTCAGCAAGGACCTGAAGGATGGTTGGTTATGATTCATTCGTCTGGCGCATAGGCGCGGCGGCGGCGCATCTTACCGGAGTCTCTCGCTGGTTGTAAGACATGTTTGGGCCTAGATATTTGCCAGATATCTAGGATGGAGTAATGCTACCGTGGAGACATTGGTGGGCGCGTCTTGAATGCTGTGGAGGAAAAGTGATGGTCTGGAAAATGATGGCGGGTGGGGTCGTTTCTTCCCAAGCTCCGGCCAATTAGGGTAGGAGCGTTCGCACTTACGAGTCTTGGCGTTTTACGAACTTTGGTATCATTGTCGTAGTCTTGCCTCACCACCAGACGTCTCCATCCATTGCCGTCCCCCACACCCGAATCAGCCCTCCGCCCGGCGCCTTCCACACGATGCTCTCCCGAACGACCGCCTGCCGGGGCGCGCAGCGTGCCGCCCGCGTGCCGCCCGTCTCCCAGTGCCAGCGCCGCGGACTCGCTGCCCCAGCTTCAGGCTCCTTTCAGTACCAGTCCGGCGAGGCCAAGGGCGTCAAGTACGCCAGCAGAGACTTTGCCGGCCCTACGACGACGCTGGCCCTGGTTGCAAAGGCCGGCACGCGCTTCCAGCCGCTGCCTGGCCTGACCGAGGGTCTTGCCAACTTCGCTTTCCGGGTACGAACATCTTGTCCAGCAACAAGGCATCCAAGAGCCAACTGACGCTCTGGAACTAGGGAACCGAGAGACGGTCGACGCTGCGCATTGTACGCGAGTCGGAGCTTCTGGGCGCCAGCCTCAACGCCCACCACTCGCGCGAGAACCTCGTGCTCGAGGCCAAGTTCCTCCGCGATGACCTGCCCTACTTTGTCGAGCTGCTCGGCGAGGTCGCCAGCTCCACCAAGTACCAGCGTATGAACCTTGAAATGACTCAATGGAGATGGAATTGACACAGCACAGCCCACGTCTACGCCGAGGAGGTCCTCCCCATGATCAACTTCGCCCACAAGAAATTCCTCGCCAGCGTCACCGACATGGCCACCCAGTCTGCCCACAGCCTTGCCTTCCACCGCGGCCTCGGTGTCCCCACTGCCTCGGCCGCGCCCACGCCCTACACCAAGTACCTCGACGCCGAGACCATTGAGTGGTACTCCAAGATTGCTTACGCGAAGCCCAACTTTGCTGTTGTAGCCAACGGTGCCGACCACGGCGAGTTCTCCAAGTGGGTCGGTGAGTTCTTCGAGAACGTGCCCAGCGCCCCTCTCCAGGAGTCCAGCATTGGTGCCGACCAATCCAAGTACTTTGGTGGTGAGGAGCGTATCGCGCACGACAGTGGTAACGCCATGGTCATTGCCTTCCCCGGCTCGAGCTCCTTCACCGGCAAGTTCTACAAGCCTGAAATCGCTGTCCTCAGCTCGCTGCTTGGTGGAGAGTCGGCCGTCAAATGGTCGCAGGGTTTCACCAAGCTCGGCCAGGCGGCTGCTCAGGGCGCCAAGGTCAAGACCACCAGCGCCATCTACTCCGACGCCGGCCTCCTCTACACCACCATCACCGGATCTGCCAAGGCTGTTGCCCAAACCGCCCAGGCCTCTGTTGATGCTATCAAGAAGATTGCCGCTGGTGAAATCTCAAGCGAAGAGGTGTCCAAGGCAAAGGCCGCTGCCAAGTTCAAGGAGCTCGAGCACGGCCAGGACATCCGCGCTGGTCTGGAGCTCACCGGCAACGGTTTGATCCACAACACTCAGCCGTACCAGATCGACGAGGTTGCTAAGAAGATCGATGGCGTAACAGAAGAGGCTGTCAAGAAGGTGAGTTTCTGCGACATCATTTCCAATGTGCTACGTGCTAACAAGACGTTCAGGCTGCCAAGGAACTCCTCGAGAACACCGCCTCCGTATCGTCCGTCGGTGATCTCTTCGTACTACCGTACGCTGCGGATCTCGGCCTCAAGGTGTAAATACAGTGATTATGTAGCGCAGTTAGATGGAGAATCTCGTTTGTGTAACATTATCTTGTGATAGTCCCTGATAGATGCGATCTCGTATGAGAGTTCTTTTGTTCGAAAACAGTCCAAGTTATGCTGTGCCTGCGTGAGACAACCAGTCACATTCCTTCTTGTATGATTGATGCTGCTCTCGCCTGCCACGTGCCAGCGCGTCAACGCACGGACCAAACCGCCCAACATCGACGTCAACCCAAACACGTCTCACTGCACATCTCACAACAAGGCACCCCCGCCCCCACCCCCACCGCCAACAGCCCATTGCACGTACCACCTGGCAGCCAGATACAAAGCTCTCTTGCAGTGTGCTTCAGAACCTACTATGGCGCCAACTCTGTACCCTCGCGGCACCGTCAAGAAGATCGTGAAGGCGCATTCGAACCGGCAGATGAGCAAGAATGTAGATATACTGGTACGTCTGATGGATACGGGTGAACCGAAGAGAAACGGAAAGCCATGCAAGAGCACAAGACTAACATGCAACACAGATCTACCTCAATTATGCGTTGTTCATGCAAGAGTACGTACCGACCACCTGACAATATTCCACTACGTGATGGCGACACGACGCCCATACCTTGCACTGCGATACGCAATGGGATCGACAGCGAGTTCTCTGAGAGATGCGGAAAAGTGGGAGGGAAAGCGGGGGGAATCGGGTTGTGTCGCCGTGGACGTTGGGGGGAAATTAGTGGAAAGGGAGACGTGGGCTGACGCGCAATCTCAGACTCATCAACGAAGCAAGTATCAAAAGCAAACAACGCGGCGAGAGGGCTTTGTCGGCGAGGAGCGTGAAGAGGGTTAGTGAGGATGTGTTGAGGAAGTACAAGGGCTAGGGTGGCGCAGGCTGGATTGAGCATGTGCTGGATCCTTAATGAGCGAACCAGTATCTGTTGGTGTATCTCGGCTGATGGATCGGACGAGGGTGTACTTGGCGTTTTAGGGAGAGATTGGTTGCGTTTTCAGGATACCCGGAGAATCACTGCTGGCGTTCTGGGAATAGTGGTTCATTGACTTGTCCACGCTGTCGCACCATCCACATTCGAAATGATTTTACACCACCGAACATACATTCCAGCTATCTGATCAGAGCTTTACACGATACTGAGCCGCTTCCCAAGGCGCATGTTAGTCCTTCAGGGCTTTTACCACTTCTTCTGCGCCACGCTTCCCAGCTGTGATAGCACCTTCTAGATAGCCCTTCCACTCGTATGCGGTCTCACCACCTGCGAAATGCAGGTTTCCAAATGGCTCGCGTAGCGCTCGGCCATGGGTCCTCAACATCCCCGGTCCCATAGCACTAGTAGGTGCACCATCAAGATACGGCTCCTTGGTCCATTCGACAGCATTCACCTCGAGGCCGTCTCGCGCTTTGTCAGCTAGTTCAGGTCCGACAAAGGAAACTAGGTGGTCGATGAGCGCCTCCTCACGACTCAGCTCGCTCAATTGGTGCCAAGCTGCGGCGGTATTACCAGCAACAAACAAAGCAAGCGAGTACTGCTTTGTCGCATCGTCGCTGATATCCCAAGAGAAGCAGATGGGGCCCTTCATGGACATAAACTTGCCCTGTAGCCCTGCGTCTTTCCACCACGACGACGTATACGTTACAATGATCTTCGCATAAATACCAGGCTTCGTACGCGTTACGAGGGCTCTCTTCGAATGGGGCAGCGGAGGGCTGAATCGAATATTTGTATATGTGTTGGTGGGAATGGCAAGGATGACCTTCTTTGCCTGATATCTGGTTCCGTTTGAAGTGGTTACTTCGCAGATATCCCCGTACTGCGTGATGCTGTCAACCGGAGCATTGATCTGTACAGATCCGGGCTCAATAGCACCTGCTAACGCAGTCGCAATAGCGGATGTTCCTTGTTTGATCTTTAATGCTTGCGCTCCCCCTGGACCATGGGTATTGATGCTCGCGAGGCCGCCGGCTGACTTGACGTAGTCCAGGATATAATGGATCCCACACTCGTGGGGTTCGCGACCAACCCATGCCGTGGTGAGGAACCTTGCAAGGCCCTGGAGTAAAGCATCGTTATACAGACCTTTCGTAGTCAACCAATCCGAAACACTGATGTCTTCCTCTTTGGGAAACGATTCAAGGTTGTGGATATTTGTCTCCTCTGCGGCCAGGGTTAAGGTTTTCACGAGCTTGCGAAGTCTCTCCGCCATCTCTGGGTTTCCAATCTATCTTAAAGGATTAACATTAGTCTAGTCTCCATGTGCTTCATTCAGATCCACGGGACTTATCTTACCTCTGGCAGGTTCGTACTGGCCCGTACAAAACTCCCGTCATGCAGCTCCCATATCACACCACCCTGAAGGTATTGGTCCTTGCAGTCGAGTCCAAAACGCCTCGTCAGCTCATAAACGGTTGGTTGTGTGACCTTCTTAATCCACATCGCACCCAGTTCCACAAGTCCAGGGCCACTTCTCAGCTTCTGCGTGCGACTCCGGCCGCCGATGCGATGCTTGGCTTCCAAGAGCATGACGCTGAGACCAACCTGATGGATATCGTATGCTACCATGCGACTGGAGAATCAACCACCAATGACGACGACATCGACCTCCTTAGCATGCGAAGGCTGATTAGTGCCGTCCTCCTCGACAGTCCAGATCTGTGCCAGGCCTCCAACACACCACTGCTTCGATCTCGAACTTGGCTTCCGAGAAAGCAAGTCTCGGGACTGGAATGAGAGCCGTGGTGGGTTGCAGGGGAGTCCCACCGTCGCTAATTGCAAGTAGCGAGAGAGCACCAAACAGTTCCTCATGCATGTTCTCGCTCCAGTCGACGATGTAGAACGTCAGCTTCATAATGTCCTTGGCTGAGGTGCCAGCTGCTCTGACCACGTCGAGGAGATTTTTGGCTGCTAGAAGTGCCTGTTCCCCGAAAGCACTGGGGAACGAGCCATCGCTATGCTGGCCCAGCTGAGATCACAATGTATCGAATCTGGATGTGATGATGAGCGCTTGAGTGATGACCATTAGTGATGCGTTGGTCCAGAGACTTTTATATGCGTTTTGTAAAGCTGACTGTTGGAGTCACCGTAGTCCGTCAAGCTCCGTTAACACTTTCTATTGGCCTACTGGTGTATCAATCGCAGGGAAGTCGCAGTCCTCGGTCTTATCCATCACGACGGTGATTAGTTCCAGACCTTGGCCTTCAGCTTCCTTGGACAGTCTTCATCGTCATTATGACGGGAAGTTTGCAAACAGTTCTGCGACTATGCCAATGCAGAGCGAAGATTGTCCAAATCGTGCCGAGGTATAGCTTTGAACAGCATACAGAAGCCATGAATCGAATTACAAGTGGTACAGGCTAAGGGAGGTTTTAATAGCCATATGCCATATTTTCGCTGCCCCGCGGAATCAGAGAAAAAGGGCCGACAGCATCTTATCTAGCCGCGTTCCAGTATCTAGCCGCCGTATCGATAAGCATGTAGCCGCTGAGTATTCTCCCAAGGTCCCATCTGAATGTCTGTACTTACTTGGACACCACACGCAGAACCCACTTGTCGAGGAATCGCGCCCCTATATCGTATGCCAATACTAAATGGAAACGCGCAGCGCCGTCCCTACAACCAATTCGTTTACGGAAGCATTACGCAGACCTAGCCGCAACTTTCCAAGGTCCACTTCTGGGTGTCTTACGTGTAGACAACGGAAGAAGAAATGTGACGAACAACATCCAACTTGTTCTGGCTGTTTGCGCAGCCATGTGGCATGTCGTTGGCCTGCTCCCTCTGCATCCACGCGATCGCCCACTCCACTGGCTACAGGGATGCGCCTCAAACAACAAGAACCCCGCCAAAGCTACATCAATACGGAAGCTATCGCTGTCTGGAACTTGTCACGTCTCACTTTCCTGAGCCCAGAGCGTCCATGTTTTCTGACCAAGATATCTGGAACTTTGCTAGAGCACTACGTCACCCGGACGGGTACTCACCTCGTACCTTTCCCACCCTCGTGCAATCCCTTTGTGCGATTGCTCTTGCACATGGCGATCTCCGATGACCTTGTCATGCATAGCCTCCTCGCTCTCAGTGGAATTCATTATTCAGGGTACGATAACATCGAAGAAGGGCTTGTGTCGCGTGCAACATGGAGTCACTATGCTGCTGTCGTTCGCAGCCTGCGGACAGAGCTTGCATCTTTCGGAACCGGCCTTGAAGATTCTATTAAGACTTTACGTCTTCTTGTTGTTCTCATCATACTATGTCACTATGAGGTATGTGCAAAGATGCTTCCATGCACGCTTCCCATCCTGCTGTAAACCTGCTAACACCAGGCTCGCTTTGCCTTTGAAGGTGATATCTGGTGATACCCAAGGAAAGATGTTTCAGCATCTTCGTGCAAGCAGACAACTCATCCTGTCATTACGGGTTCACTCACGGAGTCTACCCACTGACTCTTGCCGTCAACTGTTTGGCTTTATGTGTGAGCTATACGCATACCTCGTCCTTGCCAATACTTTGACCCCGCATGCTGCCATCCAAGAACGCACGCTAGTCTTTGATTCGTTCATCATTCACCTCGATGAGATTGGTGAGTCTGTCTATCGCGGCATTATGCTTGGAGGCTCACATGGCCTGTTGGAACTCATACCGTTGATCTCAGTATTTGCTGCCAGTCGGTTGAGAGAAGATGCTGTCGAAAGTGATAGCGTCGCACAAGATAGGGGTGGTGCGGCAAATTATCGACCTGTCTTGTTGGACACGTACAGGATACTTAAAGCTCGGATAGACGGTTGGTCTTTGCCTCCCTTATCGGAACAAGCAAGCGATTCAAGCATTGTCGCACCCACGACTTGCGCAACAGCTATCAGAAGTCGGTACAAAGAGCGCCGCATAGCTGGAGAAGTCTATCGCCACGCCCTTTACATTTACCTGTCTTCTTCGATGGCTGGCCAACTATGTACAGATCAAGACGTTCGTGCCTCGCTCCACACGCACGCATGCGCCATTCTGGATCTTGCCACGACCCTCTCAGAGCTATCATTTGATTACACGATGCTCTGGCCTGTCATTATCTGTGGCTCATGCTTGACATCCAAGTCACGCCAGGATTTTCTGCTCGCAGCTCTTGACTTTTCTAAATGCCACATGGGTCATATGAAGACAGCGTCGAACTTGCTGAAGTTGCTGTGGGACGATCCGGATCCGAGGGCTTTTGGTCCTTATGGATTGTATTTAGTTATAGAAAAGTATAAGATCAACTTTTGTGCGATATGATAGATAAAGCGTTTACTACCTGTGGGCAACGAATTAGACTTGACACTCTGTCCTAAGCATTGGCGCACGTCCTACCTTATACTCTTCATGGGCTGATGTTGGCAGGCTCAAGAGTATACCTCGTATTAGAGTTAGTCGCTGCGATGCGATAGGGACCGCATCCACTTGACCCGCACCCTCATGTGTTGCACTCTTATCTCTCAACAACAAACCCTTCCCAATCCGGCATTGCAGCCCTGCACGACCTGTCATACTCGACCAAGCCTTTCAGATAATTCAACATCTCTCTCTTCTTCCCAGGAATGTTTGCGCCCATGTACCAGCTGTCCGCATCCTCGAACACCAACATCTTGCTCGTTACTGCAATGTCATCTGCCCATGCTTGTGCCGCTTCAGGGGTGGCATCAAGGTACTTGATCTTTTCCTCCCGCACCTTTTTGATCATGTCCACAACGATGTCGACCTGAACCTCAACTATCGTCGGTCCGTTACCTAATGCAGTTGGCGCTTCATCGCTGTTAGCTGTATCATCTCGCTGTTTGAGCGATGCAGCTTACCTTGAGGCCCGTATACCATCCACATATTAGGATAACGAGGAGCCGCCAAACCCAGATGCGTTCGAACACCATCCTTCCACTGATCCATCAATGTTTTTCCATCAGTTCCTTCGATGCCCATGGTAGAGAATGCGCCTGTGTAATTGTCGAAGCCTGTCGCCAGTACGATGATATCAAGTGGTATCTCTTCCCCTCCAACTTGCAAGCCTGCCTTTGTAAAGGTCTCAATAGGCGTCGCTTTCAGATCCACAATTCTGACATGATCCTGATCGCACACCTCGTAGTAATCCTGCTCAAGACCATTCCTTTTCGCTATGATGGGATGTGGTGGCTCGAGAGGCGCGAGGATATCTCGCTTCACTGGGTCCTGGATTCGCGCACGCGTTTTCCGGGCCCAGTAGTCGTATACCATGCGGTTGTCTTTATGATCGACCAAAGCAGAGGAAAAGTTTCCACCTGCAAAGTTGAAGCCGCCGCGTTGATATAGCTCTTCGAGAAACTTTTCTCTTTCCTCTTCCGATAGCATCTGCGGTGATGGAACAGGTGGTGGATTGTATGGGAATCCGCTGAATGAATTTCGAGCAGCGGTCCTCAGCACGCTGTTCAAAATCCCCTTGAGCGAATCCTGCTCCTCCAAAGAGAGTTTCCGCTGTCTCATAGGAAGTGCCATGTTTGGCGTACGGATTAAGGCCACGAGCTGTTTAGCTTCTCTTGCCATCTCCGGCACGATCTGCAGAGCTGTTGAGCCACTTCCAACGACTGCAACTCGTTTGCCATGTATGTCCACGCCTTCCTTCGGCCACTTGCTAGAGTGTAATAGCGTTCCAGTGTATTGGTCGAGGCCCTCCCATGTTGGCATATGTTGCTTGTAAGTCGAGCCCGTACACAGCAAAAGGTGCTTGCAGGTAGCCACATGGCCTTGTTCAGTCTGTACTGTCCAGCGACCGAGCTCGGTATCGAAAGTGGCCTTGTTTACCCGTGCATTGAACGTGCAGTCTTTGCCAATGCTGAGAACTTTGTCAACATGGTCGAAGTATCCTTGCAATTCCTGCCACCCGGGAAACCGTTCGGACCAGGTCCATGTCTTGTATACTTCAGGGATTGAAAGCTGATAAAAGGGAAACTCCGAGTCGACTCGAGCTCCGGGATAGGTGTTGTTGCTCCATACACCGCCTAGCCGCGGAGTGCCTTCGAACAGATGGATTTTGAAACCTTCAGCCCGTAATCGCCATACTGCATACACACCACCGAATCCTCCGCCTACGATGAGGATGTCAGTATCAATCGCTTTGCTGGTCGCCATGGTGTCCTGTTCACTAAAGAATTGGATCTTGACAGAAATTGGTCGTGCATCAACCTGCAATATATGCTACAAGTGTGGCGATGGCCTGTACGCCCTGTCGCCCCACGGGCCCCTCGATATCCAGGCAAACATGTCAATCCAAAGTGCCGAGGTTATTACCAGAACTTTTAATCTACTAGTATCAAGTCGCTGGGCGTAAGGCATCCTGTTGCATCGAATCGTCTGACATTCACGCCCCGTAAGCACCACCAACGACTGTAAGGCCTGCTTCCTCGGAATTATCATCGCATGTATTGCCGAATCGCGCACGTCAAGGGGCTGAATGACACTTTGTGCCGTGTTTGCATGATCGATGCAGCGATAGCGTATAAGGCTCATGCAGGTGCTACATTTCCGGTGATGGGGTCAGCGCTAAGCTGCCAGATACCGGAACGGATCTCATCCCATGCCCAAGAAGTATTCCTTTCTGTTAGGTCTGAGGTACTTTGAAAGCGATGATGATTGGGTAGATACACTCAGCCGCTCGTTAGGGCGGATGCTAGGTGCGGGGTAAAGACGTAAAGACCCAGACTATGCATTGGAGGAAGTCGTCTTCAGAGTATGGAAGATACGAGATATAAGCTAGGTGTATCATTCAGCGACATAAAGTCGTCGTCGCAAGGCTTTCGGCCTTCGGAGTAATGACTTCGGTATCGGTTCATTGATATCAGATGAACGACACAGCCTCGCGCTGAGCTCGCGGAGGTTTTGGAAGTTCACAGCATCGCTACTGGTGGGAAAGCGCAGGGCTGTCCTTAGCTGTCTTGGCTGAAACGTCACCCGCTAGGTTAGGTGGGATCTGTGCGCAACATTTGATTAGATGCTAAACTCGAAGAAATCACCTTCGTTACAATGTTCAAATACTGATCATTACAAGTTAGCACAGAGGTTTGTCCGGATGGTATCCAGTCAGTTCACCCCGGTGAAGATACCCCGGCTTGGTCGCGCATCAGCACGAAGTTTCGCCATGACTGGTGTATAGGTGTGGTCGGTCCAGTCCGAGCAAAAACTGATCGAGGTATAAAGGGCATCTAGTCGCAGAGTATAGTTGTAACAACGAGTGCACAGTATCGGATATCCATAAGCTCTTTGATCATATGCAAAAGTAACCCGAGACAATGAAGAGATTCTTTCATGTTCTCCTCTCTGCTGCGGCGTGTGCAGTAGCATCCCAAGCAACAAAGCGGCAATCCTCACCTCGACCGATGGAAAACCTTGGGCGAGGTATCGTCGCTGTTCGTGCCCAGAACGACAGCGCTTTCATCAGCTGGCGACTACTTGGTCTTGATCCAGAAGACATCGCTTTCAATATCTATCGCTCAACTGATGGCGCCAACGCGACGAGGCTCAATCCAGAGCCTGTTACTGGCGGCACAAACTATCTCGACTCCGGACCTGATCTCAGCCAATCTAACGAATACTGGGTACGGTCAGTTATCGATGGGAATGAGCGATCATGTACCAATTCGAGCTACATACTCCAGGCTGATACGAAGCAAGAGCCGCTTATACGTGTTCCCATCAGATCAGGTGATCAGATCAAGTACGTGTGGGTTGGCGATCTTGATGGAAGCGGCGAGTACGGTTACCTTGTTGACAGACATGGCGTTCAGCAAAGTTTTGAAGCCTATCGCAGCAACGGTGAATTCCTGTGGGAGGCGGGTATGGGGCCAAATAGCAAGAACCAGAACAACATCGAGCCGGGATCAGCAGCCATTGACGTCGGTCATTGGGATGGCTTGACCGTGTACGATCTCGACAGCGATGGATTCGCCGAAGTCATCGTACGCATAGCGAATGGTGTTGTATTTGGCGACGGGGCCATATTTGACGAAGGCAGCAACGACGATGAGCAATTCATCGCTGTTCTAGACGGCCAAACAGGTGCTCTTCGCGCATCAATCTCTATTCCAAATGACTATATAGAGCACGGCCCTTTCGCCGCACGTTTGGGCATCGGTTACCTCGACGGCACCACACCGCACATTGTAGGCTTCATGAAGAACCGCCGTGACGACAAAGTCTTCAACCGTATCATGGCCGCATGGACCTTTGACGGCATCAGACTCAACCAAAAATGGATCTGGGACGACCAGAACGCTGGAGCAGGATCTGACGGACACAACACGCGCATTCTTGATGTCGACGGCGACGGCGTCGATGAGGTTGGCGAGATTATGTTCCTCCTTGAAGGAAACGGAACCATGCGCTACTCGCTCACAGACTCAGGTATCGGGCACGGCGACCGCTGGCAAGTCGCCAAGATCGATCCAGAAAGATCGGGTCTACAGGGTTATGGCGTCCAGCAAGATAACCCATCCAAGTTGTGGGAGTACTACTACGACGCACGTACAGGCGAGGTACTATGGAAGCACTACGGTGACGCTGTCGGAGATATTGGTCGAGGCATGATTGGCGATATCGATCCTAATCATCCCGGCATGGAGTCCTGGAGTGCAGGCGGAAACGGACTGTACAACGCGCCCAGCAACTCCAGCATCACCAATAGTAGCGAACTCGCTCCCTGGGCTCATCTGGGTCTCTGGTGGGACGGTGACGACACAATGGAGCTGTACAACGACGGCAAAGTGGAAAAATGGAACCCAGAGGCTCCTACTACATCTTCCTCGCTACCCCGCTTGTTCCGCATCAGCGATTACGGTGCAGTGAACCCTGGTGACCCCAATCCAGCTTTTCTAGGCGACATATTTGGTGATTGGAGGGAAGAGGTCGTCACAACGAATGAGGATATGAGTGAGCTGATTATCTTTACCACTGATCAGCCGACGAAAAGGAGACTGTACACACTGGCGCACAATCCAAATTACCGAAACGGTATGACGCTGAAGGGCTATCTGCAGAATGCCCATGTAGATTACTTCATTGGAAATGGCATGGAGACACCACCGCAGCCGAACATTCGGTACGTAGGCGTCTGACTTCGATGATGGAAACTTTCGACAAAGATGGTTCCTGCCTCGGAGGATAGGCGGAGTCTTATTGCAACTCTTGTCATTTCGAGTGCGGCTGATGAGCGCTGATATGAGATAGAAGGATACAAGTCCAGAGCGAGATTTTGGGAACCCAAGGTCACGTAACGGGTAGCAGTATGAATGAAGACCATATGATCTGTGAGATACTAGGTTATGAAGAAGAGAGAGCCATTGTTCGAGTTTGAAGTTCCCGCACGGATCGTCTCGCCTAGCCAGCACGTCCCACGATCTAAAACAAGTTGACGGTCTGATCCATGACATTGAGCTGTGAGAAGTGCTAAAAGAAGATTGAGGCTATTGTAGCAGGAAATCACTGCAGGTTTACCATCAAAACTGATCCTAGCTTGAGATCGCCAGCAACCTACTCAATACGCATCTACACGCGGTTCAGGCGCCCATCACGTGGCCGCGCGAGTTGCAGCCAGAATTGTGCCTCGCCTTCCAGTCCCAGGGATACGAGAATGACATGGTCTAGGACCAAATGCCTAGGTACAGGTACGGCGCTCATGGAGCGCAGCGAGCCGTGCCGGTATGCAACTGCGTGCGAAACCAAAACGGCCGAGTACACAGCGCCGAACGACAAATTTAGCTTGCTAAGGCGGGGCACGATTGAATTTCAGGAGTCTTCGCTAGCCACGGACCAAGTACACGAGCTACCTCGTAATCACAAATTGTGAGAGGACTGTCATGCGTTGCGCACCCAATATAAGTATGCAAAAAGTCGCTGTTGCTTCCACCTTACTCGTCTTTCGATTATCGGGTAAGGCCACAAGATAGTCGTTGGCGACACAGTCGTTTCACTCAACCACATTCTTTAGTCTGTATTCAGTCATGCAGATTTACATTCGTTACATGCATATTGCATTTTCTTTGTTGTTATCATCTGTACCCCAGACCTCTGCCGCGCAAGATGGCCTTCGTCCTGAGCGCGTGGCCTCGCCACAACTGAAGAACATACATGCCGAAGATTTCGAAAGCCTTGACAAACGCCAGAGCAACGGGACTGAGAATTCGCCTGTTTTCTTCAGAGACAACAATGTCTGGTACCGGGATTCGAATGGGCGAGAGGTGCAAATGTCGACAACAGGAACGGAAGATAGTCCCTTCAGCAACATAACGTACCCCTCACCGGGCAACGAATTTGTCGTCGTATTCCAATCTACGCCCGCCCAGGATCACATAGTGTACGAAGTCGAGTCGAGCCCTTACGACCAGCTGCAACCCCGCTTGCATCAATTCCAGTACCTTAAGCCTGGTGACAATGTGACCATTGATCGGCCTCGAATGTTCGATTTGACGAACAAACGCGAGGTTGCCACGGACAATACGTTATTCGAGAATCCATACCAGATCTACTCACTGGATGGTGGGTGGAACGTGGAAGGCACCGAATTTCGCTTCATTTACAATCAACGGGGACATCAGGTTGTGCGTATAGTTGGCATGAGTACTAACGGACGTGTGCGCGCCCTAGTAGAGGAGAAAAGCGATACCTTTGTTGATTATTCACAAAAGCTCTACTACAAGGAGCTCAAGAGTTCAAATTCAAGCGAGTTGATTTGGGCCAGTGAGCGCGACGGTTGGAATCATCTCTATCTGTACGACATGGAAAGCGGGAAAGTGAAAAACCAGATCACGGAAGGAGAATGGGTTGTGCGCTCCGTGGACTACGTCGACGAGATGAAACGACAAATCTGGATCAAGGTTCTTGGTGCTGTATCTGGCCAGGATCCCTACTACGCCCACCTAGCGCGAGTAAATTTCGATGGTTCAGATTTCAAGATCTTGACCGAAGGCGACGGCGACCATTCCTGGTCATTCAACGACGACAGATCGACCTTTACAGATACATGGTCTCGCATGGATATGGCCGAGAAGACCGTCACGCGTGACGCCGAGACTGGAAACAAGACCGCCGATGTTTACGAAGGCAATCTTGACTCTCTCCTCTGGCCCATACCCGAGCGCTTTGCAGCCCCAGGCAGGGACAACTCTACCCTGATCTACGGCCTTGTTTTCCGCCCTTACCAAATGGACAACAGCACGAAGTACCCCGTTATCGAGAAGATCTACGCTGGACCACATGACTTCTTTGTACCAAAAGCGTACATGAGCCACGACGAAGCCCATCGGATTGCAAACCAGGGTTTTGTTGTCGTCCTCATCGACGGCATGGGCACCAACTGGCGCTCCAAGGCTTTCCATAACGTATGCCACAAGAATCTCAAAGACGCAGGATTCCCCGATCGGATTGCATGGATGAAGGCGGCCGCTTCAACCCGCCCTTGGATGGATATCAGCCGCGTTGGAGTATATGGAGGTTCCGCTGGCGGTCAGAATGCTATGAGTGCTCTTCTCTTTCATAACGATTTCTACAGCGTCGCTGCAGCAGATTGCGGATGTCATGATAATCGCATGGACAAGTTGTGGTGGAACGAGGCATGGATGGGGTACCCCGTCGACCAGAGCTACGAAGATAGCTCCAATGTTGTGAATGCAGGAAAGCTAAAAGGCAGCCTGCTACTTACTGTTGGCGAGCTGGATACGAACGTCGATCCGGCAAGCACGATGCAGGTTGTCAACGCGCTCACCCAAGCAGACAAAGATTTCGACTTGGTGGTTATTCCGGGAGGCGAGCATGGAGTCGCAACCACGAATTCATATGCGTTGCGAAGGACCAAGGATTTCTTGTACCGGAAGTTGAAGGGCACAGAGCCACCGAAGTCTTGGTTCTAGAGCGAATTTGAGTTCTTGTATATAGACGTACCCCAATGCGATGCAAGATCCTGCGCACGCTGTGAAATGGCCACCAATGGACATCGCGAAGAGGGCGTATGTGGCTTCGCGCCGCTTCTTTATCCTATTTTCGATTTGTCTACGGTTCGCGTGAAGCCATGGCATGCATTGACCATTTTTGACGCGTTTAGGCAGATTACCACGGGTCTGGACTCCCGAATGGTCAATACGCGGTACAGGGGCTATGAAGACGTTGATTGCGCGTGAATGAAGACATGATCTAGCAGCGTGACAAGATTTGCAGTGCACCAACGAGTTTTCCAGCTTCTAGATCGGTAGGAGAACATAGGATTTGGAAAGGATTAATCGCTACCTATGCTCCTGTATGCTCCTGTATACTCCTAGATTGATGAAGTTGGTGATTGCGGCTACGCTTTGAGGAACGAAATTTGAGGCGGGACTTTGGTGAGAATATTACCCGACTGTTGTAGGATCTGCAGGTCCGTTGCGTGGAGATACATCCTATAGTGGAAAGACTCCGCTCGGTTGCAGACACCCTTGCTCTTCACCTTCATGTAGCGTCCATTCCTCCCCAATCAGGCAGGTCTCTCATATTTGCAGATGTCGAATGCGGAAGATACTCCACCAAGGCGTAATCCCATCCACAACTACACCTTGGCGTAATTAAGTATTCTACGCCCGATACCTCGCTTGGTGAGAACTTTCGGAAAGTGGATGTCGTTCTGATTCTGGAATCACATTGGAGTTCATAGATCCATTATGGTCTAAGGTCCTATCCAAAGACTTCCGTAGGGTGTTTGGACGGGCGCCGTCACGAGGACATAAGGACGACTCATTGTCTTGTGGCGTCTTGTCTCGGTCATCATCTGTAACTTCACAAGGCGGGTTGATCGTTCGAGTTGTTGTTTGCATTGACCATGTGAAAATGGCCTCCAAGTTCGGTGGTGGATAAATGTTGTTGTAACAATGCACGGGTGGCCTTGCATGAGTTTTCAAGGCATCCAACTCTACCATTCAGGCCCAGCTAGTAGCGCATTCCTTCACCAAAGTTGCTCGCACGCGGGTTGGCGGACAGTGCCTGTAATACCCAGTTTTCCTTGGAGGAACATCGCTAATCAGGATTCCAGTCTCTTTGATGCTATAGTCGACATGCGCCCAGCCTGAGCCGAAGATTGGAAGATGTAGCCCGGTCCACCAGTAGCCAACTATGTCGAGTATAAGAACAGTCGCGCGCCTCCCTATTGTTGTCCCTCACCACCATCAGATCTCGAGTCAACAGCACCAAGACATTCAATCTCAGCTCTTCTTGAACCAAAATCTTCACGATGAAGCTTTCTACCTCTCTCGTTCTTCTGGCCTCAGTCACCGGCACTATGGCCGGCTGCTACTCCGGCGGTCAAAGCTGGATTGACGATTGCAACAAGAATTCGTTCAAGGGTGCCATTAGAGACCTGTGCAATAACGGCCAGCTTGCAGGCTGGTTCCAGAATACTGGTACAACCAAGACCTGGTGTGCCAACAGTCGTTGCAACGGGATCAGGGTGGACCTCGCAGTGGGCTGGAGAGGAAACGGAGGATATACCTTGGCCGCCAAAGACTGCATATCAAGACTGGAGGATGAGATCAATGGCTGCTGGCAAGGAGGAGAGTCTACCAAGTACGACTGGTATGTCAAGTAAGTGTCTAACCCTAACCCTGATTGTGGAACGATAACGATAGCTAACGGCGTTCGTCTATAGGGCTGACCCTAACGACGGTTGGTGCCCATAGAACTCGCTTGGCAGATACGACAGCCAGCGTTACACGACTTGTAACCAGGATGGTCTGGATGATAGGCGGGGGAACGAATTCAGTCAGCGGATGCTAGAGTAAATGTTCAATGAATTGCCATAATGACTGACTTGACCGCATCTGCTATCAATTCTCTCTTCCACTGTTGAAGTACCTATGCTTGTAGCTCGCTGCCAACTTCGTGAGCCGGTCTTGTGAATGCGGATAAGCGTTTGTCAAGTCTGAATGTAAGTGTTGAAGGGGGGAGGTCAAGGAATGTAGATGACCAAACTATGCGAGCAGCTTGAGGTGATTGCTGACAACGCAAGAGAGCATCTTCGTAATCCTTATAAGTATCTTTCCAGACTCCAGATCGTGCTTTTGAGAAGCACGCCTCAAGACTCTCTAATGACTAATGTCTCTTTACGACTGTCTGTTCATATAGATTTCTAGTGTATACTTCAATGAGCTACGCTCTTTGAGGTGTCTAGGCTGAAGTTCGGATCATGAATGAGAACACTCAAGCGGGAAGAGACTAACAAAGGATATTATATGCTTTGAGATCATCAAACGTAATGACAAAGCCTCGCTTCGCAGCGCTCGATCGACCGCTATGGCCTCTTCTTCTACGGGCAAGACTAGGCGTTCGTTATGAGGCTTTGTGACTTACAACCATAATCTTCAAGGTCTCACAGCTTCTGAAAGGGTGAATGATGCGTTCTGCCTCTCTGTCGTTCCGGTATAGTCTGCGCAACTTACGATCATGCTGCGTGACCTTCCACTGAACTCACGTCTCGTGATGTACTCAAAGCTTTGCATCTCACACGATTGTTTGTCGTGGAGCTGACAACCTCTAAGATCCCTTTCGCCTATCCTTTGCGCTACGATTCATAACTCCAATCGTACCTTCAAGATAATCTGTTTACTTACATGCGTTCTTATCACCGGCGATGCTAGAATTTCAGAAGGCTTCTATAGCTCTTTGCGACATGCCCTGATATCAGCAAGACTATGGCAGGCGTATGATACGTGCGAGCACGTCATTACTATTAGGAGACGGACCCTCCATCCTGATCAAGGACCAACAATCACAACGAATGGATATCGCGCTCCTGTGCGCATCTACGCGTTCTCCTAGTGCCACGCCATAATATGCTCTTCGCGCACGCAAGAGAAGCTGCGACTGATATACAAGTTGAGGTGCTCGGTCCACGCACGATGACGGCATCACACTTCCGCAGCACCGATCAGGGTTCTTGCAGGTCCACCATCCCTGGCAGAGTCTGTCCGCCTCGTTCGCTCCTGGTCCACTCCGTGTCCACTATGCCGAGTCTCTGCAACCATCGCACTTGTCGTTATTTCCGATTTCAATTCTCCGCGAAAGAGCGCCACCACCTCCGAGACCTTACGTGATGCAAGTCAAGCGTATGCGCAACAACATGCGAGTCACTCCTTCACCCAGCGGATCTGGCTCGAGACACCCAAGGTGAGTACCCATTCTGTGTGCGCCACAGATACAATAGAGGAAGTGCGCGGTTACATGACCCTGGTGACCGATGGCTCAATGCTTGTGATCAGCTAAGCTTCTGCCACGAGCTTGATCGGCAACACGCGAGCCTCAATACCCCACACTCTATTGGTTGCCGTTGCTTTTCTGCATCTCGGCAACGCGCATGTTTCCACTAAGGAGACCACGACAAATCTCCAGCTCGAAAATGAAGGGCTTTCTATTTCTGTCACTAAGACGATTGGCGGTATCGACACGCTTGCGTTTGACGGACAAAACCTACGATACTTAGGGCAGATTTCAGTTCTTTCGCCACATCTGATTCTCGCATCGCACAACGTGCGACCATGGTAACGGATTACCAAGGAGTGCCGGAGAACATGGCTGGTTGGTGGTCCTTGCATTACTAGATACGTCGCAACACAGAGCTCACCTATACTTTTAGGTACAAGAGCAACGGGCAGCTAGCGACTATCAAATCCGTCTAAGAAGAGATGATAGACCACTCTAATCCGAAATGATTGCGCACCCAAGACTGCATTATCCTTCTACTGAACGCGTACAATCCTCTGCATCCTAGAACGTCCAAGAGCGGTCTTGTCAGCAGGCTCAGCCAGGAAACTGATAGAGCGATACGTCACTCAGCTAGGGAAGGACGCCACGGTTAAGGGACTTGCCTCTCCGCCCGTTGCCGACGCATGCGCCTCGCGCATATCGTATCATTGCGTTTTCCATGGGAAGAGCACATGCCATCATACACGGCGGGCTGTCGATCCAGAGATCAGCTATCGGTGGATCGCTCGTTACTTCATCGCGCAAGTCCGTGCGACTAATATCTCCGGAGCTTGAAGCAGAGTTGCAGGGTTCGCAAACGGCCGAAGTAGGGCTTGCCGCTTAAACCTAGGACCCTCATGGTCAGATCACGACATCATGTGGAACTACTCTAAACTCGAAGTGGAAGTATCGTTGCGGTAGTTAGCAGGATATGGAGATGACACACCTCGAGTAGTCATGAAGAAGTAGCAGATGCGCCGATGCCCAACGAACTCATGAGGGGGTGGCCACAAGGGAACTTGCCGTTAACAATTACGAGTGATCCAGCTGCCGAGACAACCACCGTCTGCCAAACTTTAAGAGCGGCACACGTGACGCAGTGTTGCAGGGGAGAAAAGCAATGGTCTAACTCTGCACCGTGAAACAAGTCTTCCTCGATGGGTCAGCTTTGTGCGGCTTGAAGCGATCACGCTTAACGCCCGTCATGCCACGCTACCCATGCCGCAATCCCGTAGACCGGCTATCATCTTCTGCAAAGATGGCGCTCCTACAAACTGCTCACCGTCTTTTTCGAGATCCGCCGCGTTTCATAATCACAATGAATGCTTCCATCCGGATCAAGTACTTCCAACTTTTACGCGGAAAAGGTCGAGGCCTTCTCGTTTTGCCCTGCAACCCATCGCTACTTCTATTTAGCCATGGACCGGCCCTATTTCCCGTCTCCCTCCGCTTTTCAGCCCGTTTAAAACGCTTGGAGAGACTAGCGAGTCATTGTTGAATTCATCGCTACAAATTCCCTATCACGTCCATAGCCAAGCACGACTGGAGACACAAAATGTATCGCAGCACTGTTGGCACAACACTTCTTCTGCTAACATATAGGCTAAGAAGGACCGCTGCGTATAAAATGATCTTGATCTTGATTCCCTTCGCGAGCTTCACGCACCGAGTCCAGTATAACAGAACGCGTTCCAGTATTGAAGCAACAGTCTTCTCTCATGACGGCTCAGACCCTCTGGATCACAGGTGTTGTGGAACATTCGTGGTTCATGCTCCGTATACCCAGTTTTCAAGGTTGTGAATAGCCGTTATCTCGGCACGCTCGGTGGTATTCGCAAGCGTTACGTGCTTCGCTAGCTTGCCCCCGCTGTTCACGTCGGACATCTCCACTTCTGAATCCCACATGTTCCGTCAGTGCGACCCTTCGAAAGATCAGGCGTCCGGTCCTTCCCGTTTCTGACGCACAAACAGGTTCTTGACCTGGATCATCGCGCGTTTGCCCTATCTTGTCGCAAGGTTTCTCGTCTAGGCTCATGCAGGTGACAGATTGAAACGGCGGTCCCAAACTTGGATTGCAGGACGTGTGACAGCGGCAGCAGCCGTGACGTACAGCATGGCAAAAGCGCCTTTCTCCACAACGTGATTCCGCGCTTAAGCTGTGCACACAGTAGATACACACGCAGTCACTTGTGCAGGTGATGGAATCGGCAGTAACAACATATGGCTCTCCAACATAGGGTGAACGCCTCGGCATCCAGTTGCATACGCTAAGGACTGCCGATCGCGTGGCTGCACAGACCTGCAGAAGGCACATGGCAACGGACGCTAGGATGATGCCAGCGAATGAACGCTGGCCAGAGCCAAAATTTTGCTCGGCGTTGCGTGGCCTCCCCGGTACCCGGTACCCCTTAAGCCTATCTTGAAAGTGACAGCTGCACGAGCTGCTTGCGCCATCGACCTAAAACCAGGGTCATTAGTAACGACTGACCCCATGAGCTTCACCTAGTGATGTCTGAACAGACGCTGAAAAGGAACATAGTGCTCGGACTAGCATTCAAACGAGGCAAGCGTGCCTTCACTGATAATCATGTTACACCGATGTTGGGTTGGTATGCATGTCCACATCCATCAGGGTCTATTCACACAATTATTGAAGCCTTCTCTCCCAGCTCCTCCACGATGTAAAGTCTCTGTCCGCTCTCGCAGAAAAGACAATGTGCTGTGACTGTCTCGAATACACAAGAGATTCCTATTCGCTGGAAACAAAAACATGCAGTGCATGAATGCACGCCAGCCACCTACTAGGCAAGCCTACCAAGGCCTACCGAGGTTCTCGGCGGGATCATCATCAAGGACTACGCGACGCCGTTAAATTAACGGCGTCCAAAGGATGTATGCATGCGAGGACACTACCAGCTACTCAGCTCTGTATCAGACCTTTGCCGAGGCCGACAATGCCGTTACCCACTGGCTCGAATCATGTCTCCAGTGGCGGCCTGATGCAGCTGTTGTCACCAGACTTAGATCAGAATGGACAAGATGAGCAGCCGAGAGATAGAACGCTTCGAAATATATATTCATGGCTCCAAAGCATGGCCTGACCTTCCGCTATATCAACGAAATAACGAGTCGCTTCCCGGTTTCATCTACGCTCACATGCCCGGCGGTCCACATCCTCCTCTATCGGTCGTTGCCTCATGGCCGGCTCCGAACTATGTTAATCCTGAAGGGAGGGGCAGGGTGACGACTATAATCGCAGGTGTCCTGTCACCAATCACCTTCTTTGTTATATTCGCAAGAATTTGGGTCCGATTCCGTCTACAGCGAAATCCCGGCATAGATGACTGGCTTATGATAGCTGCCCTTGTATGCTCCCTACTTCCAATTGAGATATACACGCACTCACCTTTAGTAGCCATTCATCATTGCCTTAGCCATCCTTGTACCATACAGTAAGATTGCATGATATGGGAATCACTGGTCACTGCTAACGTCTTACAGCGGCAGACGCATATCACAGCGGGGTACATATATGGGATGTCGATCTGACCTTATTCACAGTACAGAGGAAGCTCATATTAGCGATAGAGATGCTTGTCATCATTGTTGGAGGATTTGTCAAAGTCTCTATCCTACTCTTCTTTCGTCGCCTGGGTTCACGCGGTGTCTCAAAAGCCTTTCGGATTGTTACCTGGACTGCAATCGGGGTCCAAACCGCATCCACTGTCGCTTTCCTCACCTGTTTCTTTTTCATCTGTCGCCCTATGTCTGCTTACTGGGAGCAGTCAGATATCATGAAGATAGCAGAAGGTGTGAAGTTCAATTGCTACGACGAGGGCGCGGCCATAGTCTCTGCCGGCGTGATTTCCACGGTGCAGGACGTGATTACCGCTCTGTTGCCAAACTTCATATACTGGAACGCACAAATCCCGATTCGCCAAAAGGTGGCTCTGATGGGAATATTTGCTACTGCTTATGGGGCTGCCGCGTTTGGGGCACTACGAACGCACGCAACCTGGGTCCTATTCTATGAGACCTACGATGTCTCCTGGCAGCTCTGGGAAGTCTGGAATTGGACACTTCTTGAGGCTCACATCGGCATCATCTGTGCCAATGCACCAGCGCTCAAGGCTTTCGTGAAACAGTACCTCGAACCCATCAAGTCTATTGCATCGAAACCTCGAGGACGGTTTTCGCCAACCAAGTCCAAGTCCTCGCATGCACAATCGTCGCAGACTGGAAGCAAAGCGGAAAGCGATCCATCAAAGAAGTCCAAGAAGTCGTGGAATCCTTATGGACACTTTGGGTACTTCTCCCAGGCGACGGAAGTGACACAGCGGTCCGATGATGAAGAGCTCTTCGGATGCGAAGGGATACGAGGATTCTCATCAGACACCAAGCAAGGCACGACGCATAGTGATGGACAGTCTGCGAAAGATGACATTGAACTGGGATTAGCCCCTCCTATCACGACCTACTTGGCCCCGCCTCCGGAGCTTCACCGAGGGAGTCTGGGAAGTGTTGGCATGGTGTCAGTATATATGTACGATCAGAACGAAGGGGATGGATCGGGTGGAGACATGAGATATATGCGAGCTAGGTTATAGCTTTATACTAGTAATCTGTAATGATCTAAACAATATCCAACCGAGGTTGCTGATAGACGAGACGCCAATCTCACTTTCCAGCTTGGTGATGCCAAAACAGCTGCTGGCGACATGAATACATTCAACGTGACTTAATCTCAGAATGACATGTCGTTGGTGGTATCAGTGAATAGCCACAAATTGGAACAGTGGATCTTCCCGTAAGTGTAATTCTCTTCGGAGACGTGCGAGAAACACAAGCTCACCTCGTCGCAGGTACAATGAATCATCACCATGCGCCACTTGAAGTGGTATCACGTGCTGTAACTTAGGTCACAAGTTTGTCTTTCCCACGAAATACCTTAATGGCGATGATAGGAACGAGATAATCCTGAGCCTACCGTTCAATGCGACTGACTATGAGAGCGCTTTGCTACTAAGAAGCGTGGGTGTGTGTGTGCGTGTGTGTGTGCAATACGATGCGTTATGATCAGAGGTTCGGTAGATACATCTTAACTGGTGTATAATGTACTGCGGACTTGTCAGTGTGTTAAGCGATATGCGCATGGTGTGACCCGATCGCACGGGTCGCAGATGCAGAACAGGAGTAGGATCAACGCCCGGCTTCCCGGACCCCGCGGCCTTCGCCCAGACCTGCTGGCGCCCGAATGCCTCACCTATGTCCTCCGGCGCATAGTGACGCAGCAGCTAAGTATTTGTAACTTATGGTCTCGTCACAAGATACATTCAGATGAGAGTGTCAGAGAAGTGCTAGGTGTTCGTGATGTTGTAGGCCTCTTAGGCTATCCTTCCTCGCCAAAGACAAGGCTTCCGCCCGATATGACCACTAGCTCATGCACTGCTGATGTCAGTGTCAGACTCCACTTGCATAGTACGTTCGAATGCTCACAACGTCCCGATGTAGCTTATGCATCTTACACCTAATTCTGACCGGTAACAGTTTGTCTAAGGACAAGAATTGAAAGTGTTGCATAGTGTTAGGTCATGCCGCACAAGGTGGCGTTCAATCTGGGTACTTAAGCCATGCCTTCGCGCCTGGTAGATACGAATGCCCTAGACTTGAGATTACTATCGGATTGACAGAGGTACGTCTACATACCGTGATGAGGTCCACCATGGGCATTGTTCTAACAACGATTAGTCAATCGTATTGATAGCTGAAGATCGAGTGCGCTGAACACAATGCTATCTAAGAGAGCTCAGAGTTTAGTTGTTGGATCGGCTTTCAACGAGATGTGGGAGGTCATTAGGGAGAAATGGGACATGCACAAGAACCCCGACGGTTTTGTGAACCTAGGCGTAGCCGAGAACTACCTGATGCTTAGGGAATTGGAGGCCTACCTGACAGAACACGTTCAAATCGCTGGCAGCAACGCGACGTACGACGACGGACCAGTGGGCAGTCAACGGCTACGAACCGCCTTAGCTCATTTCTTAAGCGCGCAGCTGGAGACAGCGCAGCCACTAGAGGCAGACCAAATTGTGGTTACCAATGGAGTCTCGAGTGCGCTCGAGCATGTCGCCTGGGCGCTCGCTGATGAGGGCGATGTCTTCTTGCTAGGTCGGCCGTACTATGGAGAGGCTACCTTGGGCCTGCGACCCCACGTTCGAACTGTTGCTGTCACGTTTGGTACGACAGATCCGTTCAGCCTGGCAGCAATCGAGTGTTACGAAAAGGCGTTGATGCGCGCTCAGGCACGTGGAATTGTAGTTAGGGGCCTGCTATTGTGCTCGCCTCACAATCCACTAGGTCGCTGCTATCCGCGCGAAGTGCTATGCGCCCTGGTCGCACTTTGTGCAAAGCATAGCCTGCATCTCGTAAGCGACGAAATATACGCACTCTCAGTTTGGCGCGAACCTTGCTTCACTTCGGTCCTGTCGCTGCCGCTCGCCGGTGTCATAGATCCCGCTCTGGTTCACGTCGTCTGGGGCATCTCCAAGGACTTTTGCGCCAACGGATGGCGGCTGGGTTGTCTTTTATCTCCTGCCAACCCCGCGTTGCGCGCCGCTGTGGCTGCTGCTGCCATCTACTCCTACCCGTCTTCCATCGCGGACCATGTAGTCGCGCAGATGCTTGAGGACCGGGCCTTCACCATCAAGTACTTGCGCAAGAATCGTCAGCGGCTAAACGCTGCCTATACACTTGTTACCGGTCTTCTGGAGAAACAAAGCATTCCCTTCGCTACCAGTACCCACGCTGGCCTGTTCGTGTGGGTGGACCTTGGCCACGCATACCGCCGCCATCACAACCTGAAGCAAATCGACATAGACGACAAAGCTGTAGCGCACAGGATACGAGAAGCACTGTACACGCAAAAGGTATATTTGGCATGGGGAGGCAACTTCGATAGTGAGACGCCGGGTATGTTCCGTGTCAGCTTTGCGCACCCAAGCAAGTACATAGAAGAAGGGTTTCGACGCATTGAGCTAGCACTTCGAAGTAAGGCTCTGCTACTAAGCGTGCCGTAGAGATGCGTCCGACGTGCTACTCAATTGAGATTATCCTTGGCTCATCCTTGTGCAACCACTTTTGTATCAATGCATGTTCCTCCTCACTACTGCACTCAAAGTAGCCAACACGCTTAAAAGTCTCCTGTCCCTTTTCGACGAGGATCAAACCCGAAGTGATAGAAGAACAAACAACTTCGAAACACCAAACGTTTTTCCGATGTATGTCGCCAGCGATATCTCACGTTATAGTGACAGGCATCACCTCCCAAGATGCGACATGTGCGACAAGAACTAATCCTAACCAGTGTGCTTGTTGGAGCCGGCCTTGCAAAGAAAGGCGACCGCGTTCCACTTCGGCGTACGGGGATTGCTTGAATTTGTGCTCGATTTGACTGTCTATGTATTGGGCTTCTGTTTTTACAGTAAGATTGGATAACGTTAGGTAACGCTCGAAGAACCGAACTGGCTCATTGTGAGACGTCCATGACCAAGTTGGTCCGAGACATGTTGGCGAATCTGTGACCGGGACATCGGGTATTTTGAGCCGATACCACAGCAACTGCACTGTGAGATCAGGCTTCCACAAATCGGTAAGATAATCAGAGGAGTGGAATTCCAGTATCTCGCCAAACTTCCCAGCTAGAGCTGCAAAAGCCGGCAACCAATCGCTTACTTTTGGAACTTTTCGAAGCGTGTATCGTTCGATGTTTTGCTGCTAGCTTTCGTATACGTTGGACAATGTCACAATACCTTCCTCGAGCATTCTTGATCGTACTTCAGCGTTCCCACTAGGAACGTGAACATCAAAGGCCGGGTCTATGTTTTTCCTAACAGGGCGACCTCCACCGTTAATGTTAATATCTTTGGGATATGTCGGACATCCCTAAGTTGTTTGCTTTGATCCAAATCTTAGGCGGCATGTCTTTGTACATTGTCCAGCCTCATCTGCCGAGAGGCTCTCGATATTCGTCACTTGTTGGTAGCTCGGACAGAAATAGGTAACATTCTGTGGTGTGCTCGTCCTGCTTGCGATAGTACGATATGCGGAACGATTCGCTGTACACTCGTTCGAATGTACGGTCTTGAAGAAAGTCGTCCGTACTGTTAGCTGCGCTTGCAGTGCCGAAAGAAGCGCAGCGCCCCGGTAGATGCTTTGTATATCGGCAATCTCTGATACCTTTTCATCATCGTCGTCTTGAACAATGCAGAGAGCGTCGATCCATATATAGTGGGATCCGAGCGAGAAGCATACTTGGATAGCATCTCGTATCGTCTGCGCCAACCCAGACAGGTTGGTCACATCTTGTCGGGACTGCAAATTGGCTTTCGTGGTCTTGACTTGCTCTGGCTGCGTGTCTCCCCAGCAGTACCTCAGTGCTACATATCGAGGGTAGTCTCCTGGTGAGAGGCTATACATTCGCGCGTTTGCATGTTCTTGCACGTCCAAGATTCGCTCAGGTGCAATATAATGTCCCGCTTTCCTAGGAGCTTTTACACACTTTCGATGGCCCAAGCATTCTTTGAGATATTGTCGGCAGCGTTTCAGATCATCTGGCGTCCCTTTGAACATGTTAATAGGTCTTGTACTAATATGTCTAGCAGAAGGGTCATCTGTATCCGTTAGTCCAGTTTGAAGAATGTGAGTAAGCAAGACGTACCCTCATTATTGGACACATGCAGTGGAATGTCACCATCAAAGTCGTCTGTCGCCGAAAGCTGGCCTGACTCATTTTCCTAGCGAACATAGAGATTTGCAATGTCCTCTGAATCCGTGTTCACATACAACAACACTTTGTGAGTGATATACAGATCCAATCCCTCCCGCATCGCGCGAATCGCAGGCACCAACGGAAAAGCGCGCAAACTGTAGCGAATGCGCTAATATCACTGTAATCGAATCGGAAGTCCTGTCTAAGAAGCCGGCCGATCCCAGGCAGGCAATTCCTAGTACCGTCAAGCTTTATATCTTGACAGGGTAGGGTAGGGCGGTGAGCGAACCTCTGCATTACGCGTATCAGCACTGTAGTCCTCTGACATGCCGATGCTTACAGGGGGAACTGTTAGCGTCTAGCAAAACAGCCTTAGATAAATACTATAGGTAATATACAGTACACTAAACTAACTGCACTTTAATTGTATACTATCTTAAGTACCTACTACTTCTTACTTTTAAAACGCAATAATAGATAAGAGTATTATACTCGTAACTAGTAGAAATATAAGCCTTAGCTTCGCAGCTATAAAGGCCCTCTATACTTCTATTAAGCTCTATATTGTGCTTATAGGAAGTTACTTACTAAATAAAGCTAATATAGCTATAGAAAAGCTGCGTTTAGAAGTAGCTAAATTAAAATCTAAAGTTATACTAGTTTAGATAGATATTAAAGACAATACCTCTATCTAGAGCTTTAGGAAGGTAGTAGAATACTAATATAAAAGACTAGACGTTCTTATTAATAACGTAGGTTAATAACACCTAAACGCAGTTTTTAAGAAAATCTAATACTAAAAGCTATAATAAAAATCTCTTATAAAGGTTTTAGAGATAAGGGTCTTACACCTACTAGTATTTATAAGATTTTTAACTATATATTATTAGTAAATATTATATCTACCTACGCTATTACTTATATATTTACTTTATTCTTAAGTTATTAGAGCTCTATATTCTCTTTATTATATTTAGGCTAGTATTTCTTAATACCTATACTAAGGCTTATATTTATATAATTACTAAACTTACTCCTAAAAGCTAGTAAGTTTCGCCCTTAGATCTTATAGATATAATAACTATAATATTAACTAAAATTAAATTTTTAGGCCTAAACCTACCCTAGAAGATGTACTCGATCTTAGTAGGATCGAGCTGTTTTGTTAGTAGCGATAAGGATGCGATAAGAAACAAAGAGTAAGATTAAGGTAGTAGGATCAAGGCTAGCTATCTACGCTATATAGCTAGTAAAAAAGAATTAAAATAAGCTATTTTATGTAGAATTACGCAAGGATTTTAAATCTTTAATTAGTTTATTAATAACTACTCTTGTTGTTAAGATATCTGCGTTAAAAGATAAGAGTAAAATTTTAATGTTCCTTACGTAACTGCACGCTATATAGCTACTGCAAAGGATCTTAAGCTATATAATTTAATATAGAATTACGCTACAATTTTAAATCTATCTTTAGTTTATTAATAGCTACTCTACTTATAAAGATATTAACGTATAACGTTGTAAACTACTAGACTTTGCGCAAACTACTAGACCTTACACAAACTACTAGACTTTACGTAAACTACTAAACTTACCTACTTTATAATATTAATTAGTATACAGCTTATATAAGCTAGTCTATACTAGAAACTAGTATACTTAACGCAAACTACTAGACTTTATACTTTATAGAATTAGTTTATAGTTTATATAAAGCTGTATATATCTATATAGTTTCTTATATAAAAAACTACACCTCTAAGCTATTTTCTACTACTTTAACTCTATAATATAAAAATTAAGCTAAATAAGGTTCTTATACTATATAAGAGGGAACTTAAATATTAACTAATACTAATAAGTAGTTAAGACTAACGTATCTATACCTATTAAGATTATAGATTTTGCTGTTAAATCCTTAAAAAATTAGCCCGTGCGTTAGAAATCTAACAGCTAATTCCGACAGCTAATTCTAATATTTAACAGCTAATTCCAATATCTAATAGCAAAATCCGATAGCAGAATCCGATAGCAGAATCTGATAGCAAAATCTAACAGCTAATTCTAACATCTAATAGCAAAATCCGACAGCAGAATCTAACAGCAGAATCTAACAGCAAAATCTAACAGCTAATTCTAATATTTAACAGCTAATTCTAATATCTAATAGTAAAATCTAACAGCGAATTCTACTATTTAACAGCAAAATCCAACAGCTAATTCTAATATCTAACAGCTAATTCTAATATCTAATAGCAAAATCCGATAGCAGAATCTAACAGCAAAATCTAATAGCTAATTCTAATATCTAATAGTAAAATCTAACAGCAGAATCTAATAGCAGTCTATAGTAAGAATACTATTTACTTCTATATACAATCTAAAACCTAGTCTACCTTTTTTATATATAGCTAGTAACTCTACTATAACTATAATTATTCTACCTAGTAGTAGCCTAGTAAAAGCTAGGTTACGTGTAGGTAGGAAAAGAAAGAGTAGCGTATTAGTGTAGCTAGAAGTACTTAGTTACCTATATAGATTATCTATTCTATAAAGAGACTTTATATTAATAAGACTTGTCCTCTAAGTTAGGAATCCTATATTTATTTATAAGATTCTAGAAGGACCTATCTCTATCTTCTATAGGTTTAAGTAGTACTACAAACAACTAATTCTCTATATTTTCTTCGTTTACTACCTTAAGAAATAGCTACTCTAGAGGTGCTTCTTCTACTATACATCTTAGGAACAGAGGTTTAATAGCTTTATACGTTTCCTGTATATTCTTATTGCACGTTGCTACTATTTAGATCTAATCTTCTAGATAGTATATAGGTCTACGCTCTATAAAAGCGTATAGTATACTACTCTTTAGTATTAAAGCAAAGATACCTATCCTAAACTTTTATCGCAATATCTACTACTATTTACTGTAGTCTAGGTATTAGTTCTATAATTAGTAATGTATAGTATAGTTATCTCTTACGTAGTCTTTGTAATAAGCTTAAAGGAGCGCACAGAAAAGTTACTCCTATACTACTGTTGCTATCCTACGCCCTCTTGTGCTTATTACCTTTGCTCTCTTACTTAGGATATCTTCTAGACGTTTGTATTCTATATAAAGAGCAGATATAACCTAATAATACCTTATACTTCTAATAATATCTGCTATCTTATTTTATCTTACTAATACTAACAGATTCTAAAAGCCTTCTACTTCTTTCTTTATTAAGACTATATCTATATAACCTTGCTATTCTACTTATAATAGTGTAGCTAGCGTCTCCTAAGTTTTATACGCTGTGTCTTACGCACTACTTACGCTATAAAAGGAATTGCCTCTAGCTTAGAGGGCTACTACTATCGTCCCTATATAAGGAAATAAACGCTTACCTTTTCTATGTATCTCCCTCTACGCCTAAAGTATAGCCTTCTAGTCCTACAGATAGGAGGCTATAGCTACTACTTTTATATAGTTAATTATTTTAGCTACTTTACTAACTCTAACTTTCTGCAACTACTTTATAAAGTTCTAATACTTCTACTCTTCCTTAGAGAAGGTAATATCTATTCTCTTTATAGCAGCTACGTCCTGCGTACTAGCGACTATTTCTAGTAACGCGTAGTTAAGCTACTCTTTTAGCTGTTAATTTACCTGCTTTATAGTAGGCTCTCTCTGTGCGCGTTTTAATAAGTAATAGCTGTTCTTAGTATTGCTTACTTTAAAGGAAGAACGCCTGTTTTACAGCTGTAGGTTATTATAGATTTAGTAGATAATCTTTAAGAGGTGCACTTTGCTAACGTACTAGCAGATCTACTCTATAGCGTCGTTTAGGGTATAGGTAATAAATGCCTATATTAGTTCTATAGTATCTAGAAGTATGCGGAAAATAAGCGCCTAAGAGTTAACGCAGGCAAACGCCTATTTTACTAACGCAGTAAGCTTATTACTCTCTTTTAATAGCTTAGGAAGAACGCCTAGTAAATACGTAGGTATTAGACTCTAGTATTATCGCGGCCTACTAGAGCTGCAGTATACGCGTTAGGGGATTGTAGTTATATTCTTCTAGAGAAGATAAATATAATAAAACAGCTACTCTACTATCTATAAATAAGTAACTATAATAAGAAGTAGGGCTTTGCTACCCTACTATTATAAGAATAATTAGCTAGAGCTAAGGTTACTTCTTTCTTTATACAGCAGGCCTAACGTAAGACTGTATAGTAGGTTTTAGCCCGCATGTAGGTAAAAACGCGTCTTAGCTACAGGGTTTTCTCTACCCCCCTCTACTCCTTATTATATATAAGTTGTCTCCTCTACTACTTATAGTATCTAGGTTGTTTCTTCTACTATATACTGCATCTAGGTTGTTTCTTTTTCTATACTACTATACTTCTCTTACGCTATTTCTATCTTAATAGTAACTATAGTATCTTAGTCTGTCTTATTTATAAATACGCTATACTTCCCTCTTATATTAAGAATTATCTTAATAAATATTATCTCTATAATCTTACTACTAATAAGCGTATATAAATATAAGAAGAGGCTACGCACTTATAAAGCGCGTAAGGTCTTAAAAGTATATATACTAAGTTTTAGTTTACTAACTTAAATAGTAAACTCTTTCCTCCTATTACTAGCCTGCTGTTAGAGGAGGCAGTAATTTGTATAATATATCCTAACTAGGACCCCTATCTCTGCACTAGTAAGACTAAGAGGAAGACTATACTTAGCTACCTACGTAAGGAGTATTCTCTATTTAGAGACGCTAAGCCGCGCGGCGCGTCTACCTTCTATTACTATACATGTTCTGCCTACAGCTAGCAGTACTTTAGGGGGACTACGCAAGAGGCAATT